GGGCAAAGGAGCCGATGGAGAAAACTATGGAAGGCGCTTCTGCTGTTGTCAATGGGCCTTGCACTGTTGTTTCGCGCGCTTCATGATTGGACCTTACGGATATGCTGCGACGTGTTATATAAATTGCGACATATCTTAATGAAGGCGAGCATTTGCGGGACTTTAATGGACTGATTTCGTTTTGCTAAGCGCGCTGTTATCAGAAAATTGACAGCAGACACTGGTCCGAGTTCCGCAAAACGACCGCGGGCGGCAAGCAAGGTTATGAGCTTCTGCAACGGCATAAGCTGCAACCGGGATAAAAAGTTACGTTTGGTGTAGCAAAAGCGTATAATAATTTCGATCGTTGTGAAGGGTCTAGGCTAGCATAGAATGGAAGTCGAGCTTCTAGTAGAAGTCAAAGAAAAAATGAAAAGGCAGGGATGTGTGGTATACTACGTGTGGATTGTACTACTATGAATTCATACATGATGAATAGAAGAAGACTTGAAGAAGACATGCTTGAAAGGACTCTTGAATAACTTTTGGGGGATCGGCGATTACGCAAGATTGGGTGCCAGTACCGTAAGTCTCCCTGAACTCGCGGTTCCAGCGGACTTTAAAAAAAACGGGGTCCTTCCGGGATTTTTGCTCTGCCAATTCACCCACGCCGGCTAGCGAAGTGCCTTAAATACGCTGCTCATAACTACTCAAATTCAAACGTTCTCCCTTTCGAGTTTTAGTCGTTAAAAAACTGGAGAATTGAAAAAAAGGTGTGTGTCTTCATCCTGCATCACGTTCCACTCGCTCTCTGACTTTTGAATCATTCAGCCCACTAAGCAGCTTTGTACCATCAATCCTAATAGACAGGCTCAAAATTGGCTTGCAGGTCGGTGTTTGCGACGCGCTTTGCTTTGACTAGGTTTGTCTGACTTACATTTTCTTCATACAGGATCTTTGTGTGCAATTAGGCTTATTTTTTAATCCTTCGTCGCTTTCCTCGATCTGTTTTCTGTCGTTCACACCTTTGGAAGAAAAGCTGTCGACCTTTTTTGTTATTCGCAATGATTACCGCTGAAAACACTAATGCTTCCACCGATAATCGTTCCTCAGACGGGAGAAAGCAGAGTCCTCCTGCTTTCCTCGATCTCGCAGACTCGGTAAGTCCATTTTTCTTTCTTCTGCTGTCTCACTTTTCACAATACGTCATCGTCTTCTCTAGGCTGCGAGACTGGGTACTAACATGCCTGATATGTCGGCTGTGAGTCTCATTCATAATCGCCACTCTTAGTTTTTCCTCTTAATTGACCCTCCGTTCCGAAGCGCATCGAGCTGAAGCGCTTGGAGCACGAGCGTCAAAGGTTATTGCAACGGAAAATGTTCGAGGATCAAATGCGCGCACTCGAACAACAGCAGGCGCAGGAGTTGCTTAGCATTCCTTATGATCCGACTGCCTCAGCCCATCTCGCAGTCTCGGCGCCCACTACCCCCCCAAGAGTGAACGCGGTTTTGAATGGTGACAATCTCGTTAGGGCGGCTCTCTCTCACTCTTCTGTGGACGCGGAGACGCTTTCTAAGGCTGTTGGTTCTGCGGTTGCGGACAAAAGGAAGTCGGTCACTTATGCCCCTTCCGTTCATCGGTCCCCGGAGCTTGGGTCTAGTCATGGAATGAATGGTCACTATGGACGACCTGCTGGAGCCAAAAGCATGCCAGCCAGCCGTCGCACTTCGGCTAGTAGTCATGATGATGAACTTGCTAGTCATTTGCAAGGTCTCTCCTTAGTTGGAGAGCGTCCATCTCGAGCGACGCCTAGCCCTGGCGCCGTGGCTCATTCGCTTTTGACTCGCGGGAGATACAATGATGAGGAGCGCCCTCGCGGCCAGCAGTATAATGTGGGAATGATGCTCGACGAGCAATTGGATCAGGAAATGCACAGTAAGTGATGTCTATGCCTGGTTTGCTTTTCTCATCTTTCCTAGACGCAATGAGACATCTTCCAACTTCCGACGAGGACAAATTTGCATCCTATGCCAACAGGGTACTTGATCTGCGTTTTGTGCTGTTCTAAACTGACATCCAAACGCAAGATTACTACCTCGTCTGCTGCTCTGGATCTCGCTCATCGCTCCCAGACATCCCCACGGAATTCATTCTCTGCAAGAGGTGACAAGCACTCTGAGTGGCCTCAATTTTCCAACAACCCACGTGTACCCGATGGCTTGAGCTCCCGTAACGATCGCCGCACTGTCACCAATCCAACTTTGACGCTGACGTCTTCGCCTATTGATTTGTCTGCCACCACCCTTGGCGGTGGCGCTGCGACCCCACATGCAGGCCAACATGTGCAAGCGTCTCTGGGTTCAACTGGGCAAGTACCTGGATCTAGGCGGGGCTCCCCTGCCATGAGCACGACGCGTTCGGTGCCAGCTACTCCTTTGTCTATGGCGAACGGTGGCAACTCGCATCTTCTGCAGACTCCTGGCACTCCTCATACTCCTGACTCTCAGGCTTTAAGCGGACGACTTTCTTCGCAAGGTAGTTACCCAATAATCGAGGACTCTGGCAAGAGTGACATTCAACCATCTCTCTCGCGCATGTCATCCGGCCAGTACGACAATGTTTCAATGGGTTTCGAACAATACGGCGTCGAAGATGTTTATGGGTTGAACGGTCAGATGGACAGCGGTCGGTTTAGTTCGTATGAGCTCGACTCAAGCACCCGGTCTGGTAACAGCGTCAATGGTGCGAGCGGTTCGACCGCCCTTTACCACCACAATGGCACGCGATACGGACTGCATATTGGCCGTGGCAATGGCGCTGATGGCAAGATGAACGGTTTACACGGTCCAAAGCACAAGAGGGGTGACATGGATAGTGAGCCCATTTGTCTTCTCAAGCTAGTTCTTTTTCACTTACCTTTTATGTAGTGAACCGTTTTGCTGGCACACGCCTTGAAGACCTTCAGGGCGAAATACCCACACTTTGCAAAGACCAGCACGGCTGCCGCTATCTGCAGAAGAAGCTAGAAGAAGGTGTTCCTGAACACCGGGACATGATATTCCGCGAAACATTTGGTCATTTTGCGGACCTCATGACCGACCCCTTTGGCAACTACCTGTGCCAAAAGCTTCTCGAGTTCTCTACAGATGATCAGCGAAACGTCATTTGCGAGTCTGTCGCTCAGGATCTCGTGAACATCTCGTTGAACATGCACGGTACGCGCGCCGTACAGAAAATGATTGATTTCTTGTCCACCAGACGCCAGGCAAGTCGCTTTTAGCGGATTTTTATCTTCCAGACTTACAGTAGAGCGCAGACTGATCATAGATACAACACTCAGATTCATTCTATTATTCTTGCGCTAAGCCTTCATGTTGTTGTGCTCATCAAGGATCTCAACGGAAACCACGTTATTCAAAAATGTCTCAACAAGCTTGCACCGGAAGATAACCAGGTGAGGAGTGTGGCGGTGTTGCACCGTGGTGTTGGTAAACTGATTTTGTGGCAGTTCATATACAACGCAGTCGCTGCCAACTGCGTAGAGGTCGCTACCCACCGCCACGGATGCTGCGTGCTGCAGCGTTGTATCGATCATGCTTCGGATCACCAGCGGGTCCAACTTGTGAATGAAATCACTTACAACGCGTTGACGCTCGTTCAAGACCCTTACGGCAACTACGTTGGTACCCCCGTCGCTCATTCATTTTAATATCTGACAGTTACGTTACCAGGTTGTGCAATATATCTTGGATCTTAACGACAATCGTTTTAGCGATGCTGTCATTCGGCAATTCACAGGGAACGTTTGTGCACTTTCTGTCCAGAAGTTTAGCTCCAATGTCATCGAGAAAGTGAGTATCTTTTCGTCTTGATAATCCTTCTCATGCCGATTGGGACTAGTGCATCCGTGTGGCCGAACATAGTACCAGGAAAATTTTGATCGAAGAGCTACTCAACCGCTCCCGCTTGGAGAAACTTCTTCGTGACTCGTATGGCAACTATTGCGTGCAGGTACTATTTTTCTTTTGAGCATTTGGGGTTTGGACTGGACATTCTTGTAGACTGCACTAGACTATGCCGAGCCCGCACAGCGTATGCTCCTCGTTGAAGGCATTCGCCCAGTTCTTCCTTTAATTCGCAACACTCCTTACGGCAAGCGGATCCAAAACAAGTTGCAGCGGGAACAGGCCAACGCTGAGAACTTTGGCTACCATGCTCCTCAAGGCATGATGCCCATGGGTAACCAAGGCCATCATGGTGGTAACCCCGGTCATCATGGTCACGGTCACCACTCTGCAGGCCGGCACATCCCTCAAGGAATGCACCCTACTAGCGTGGCTGACGTCTATGCCCAGGGAGGCTTGTATGGTATGCAAGGCCAAGGCTCCTACGCCCACTCTCATCTCGGCCCTCAAATGCATGGCCTCCAGGCGCGTTCGATCGATGGATATGTCCTACAAGGCACCTCTCCTCATAGCGCGAGTCTGACACCCCCTCATACCCACGCCTCTGGCTACACGGGTGTTGCTGGATATGCTAACGTGAGCCCTTTTGGCACGGTCGGTGTTGCCGGGTCATTGAATGATCCTTACCAGAGCTATGGCTATGGCATGTAGAGCGGACGGGCACATTACATGCTGCTTTGGACGTTTCTATTCTTTCGTTCTTTGCGCACCTGCGCAGTCACTCTTTTAATGGTTTCAATGTATATTCTATGTTCTTGCGTTCGACGCTCGATACCTCACAAGCACGTCGGCTCGATCTCGCTATCTTCCAGGAGATTTTTCAATCATGAGCAAGGGCCGACTTTTATCATACCACTGCGCATTTGTACTTCCGCACCGGCATATTCCAAACCCCCCATTGCTATTAGTTGCTTTCTGATACATCTTTCTTATCTGCCACACCCCATTTGTATAGCCCTAATCTTCCCGTCATCTAAAGCAATGTCTGTTTAATGGTTAAACCGTCGCAGCACTACCTTCTGTACTTATTGTCCAATCTATGACGTCGCTTCTCGGGTCTTATGCTCAAGCTAATGGTCTGAATCCAGTGTATTCAGGCATTATGATTCTTATGATACCTCTCGTCAAGCATTGAACCGCTCAATGCAACATTGCTTGTTCAAACCAGTAGGACGGCCCACTTGTGTGGTACAACAAACACCGAATTTGCACCCAGTGGTATGAGGCGATGTTTTCGCATTGGATAGTATGTGCATTTCATGCTAGTCTTGTTGAGATATTATCATAGTGGCATACAAGACGACCAAATGATCTGGCAAGAAAAAGAAGTGTGACGAGAGAATGATGATATAAGATGCAGGTGCGCGACGGGGTACATTTCACCGGTTCTATTCGTTGAACATGAGTTCCTGCAACACGCTCAAACGCTATGACACCCACCTTCACGAAACCGATGGCAGCTGACTTTTCACGGAAGCATTGACGGCACAAGTCAAGGCCGTACTTGCGGATGAGACCAGCCTGGTGGGCACAGAGGCGGCTAGATACCCCCAGACCACCACTTTAACGACCCATAATGGCAAACGATGGCTGCGTAACTCACCACTGGCGGGCACCCTTTCCGTACTTTCTAGGACGAGAGAACCAAACGGCGTCGTGGGTCATTTTGAACTTTTTGCTTGAGGCTAAAACAAAGGTTGGACTGCGTAGCGAGAAGGCGTAGGCTCTGGCTTACCTTGCCGGGCTGTTGCTTGCGTTGAAGGCTTTGCTGATCAGGAATCACCCACTCATAGCAGAGTTGCCGTGTTTGGAAGAACTGTACAGTGGCTGAGATAAGGTTCGGTTTCCTGCGCTCGCGTATTAGCTAAGGTGGCGCTTTTAATGGTTTGAATAGACGCCTTGATATCGCCCGCCTAGCTCAATCGGATAGAGCGTCAGACTCTTACCACTAGGCTACGGTGATCTGAAGGCTGCGAGTTCGACCCTCGCGGTGGGCTACTGTTTTTGCGTTTTCTTTGTGCCTACCTATGACGTCTGATTTCAAGAGCCGCCTGCGTGTTCGCACGGTGCACCGATGTTGACTCGGTGCAGAAAAGGCTATCGTAACAGACATACGTATTACCAGTAGCACTAGCACTAGGTTAGTGTAGTCATCATGGTCAGAATGTGATTCTGATGCCCACACTATCATCTCGTGCAACTAGTGTTATGCAACCGCATCATCAAGCTACAACTATGGAGGAGACAGGCGTCCATGCCGCCATGATTGCTAGTATCGTATCACAGCGTTCTGTCACTTGCAGCTAGTGCCTCGCATGCACACTCCTTCTCCACCAACTCTCCACCATCGTCCAGGTCGCTTTCCGGTCACAGGAAACGTTCAAAATAAGAAGCGCTATACCGCCCGCCTAGCTCAATCGGATAGAGCGTCAGACTCTTACTGCTAGGCGATTGTGATCTGAAGGCTGCGAGTTCGACCCTCGCGGTGGGCTATGGTTTTTGCGCAGGCCGCCGCACGGTGATCTCAGAGGCTCGTTCGACACCGTACCCAGTCTCATGTAGCTCGCTGCCGATAAAATTACGGCTACAGCATATTTTGGACTGCCTGCAGAGGTTTGGACTCAAAATAAACTGTTACGATTCGTCCTTGCTCGTATGAATTGCTGTTCGCTGTTGCTCCGGCCGAAGATCACTCCTTCCACATAGAAGGAAAAACATTCTTATCTGTGATACATACAAGTGTATGACATCAACGGTACCGCCGCAAAGACCATATGGGGAGAGGCGATTAATGATTGCCAACGATATGTACACAAATGACGAAATGGGGTAGCACAGGAAAAATGAAGTCAGGGTCACAGACTTTATCTTGAGCCCATATTCGATGCTGAAGTATTTCCTAGCCAGTATTTTCAAGCATTTGACCGTCGATAGTCTCCTGCAACTTGCAAGAGAGCGAGTGACGCTAAATGAGATGATGAAAGGTGGTGGTGATCCATGGGCAAATAACTGAATTGATCACGACTCTAGTACTAATGTAGTAAATTAAAAGTCCAGAGCAAGTCCAGAGTCGCGGTATTCAAATTCCGCTCGATGACACTTGGGCAGTGCTAGCGTTCTATACCTTTCAAGCACTGCTCAGAACTCAAACCACGGTTGTATCGACATACCGGCGTCGCGGGTCATGGCGACCGAGCGTTACCGTTCTTCAGCGGCCAGCTTCGCGCACTGCCGCGTACAAACACCCGAACTTGAATGGACGCAACCCTGGCCTTATAAACCTCCATTCTAATTCCTACAAGTGACCACACTTCAATACCCCACTTTCTTTCTTTTTCTTCATTTCACCAACACAGGTTGGCACTCGTCACTCTCTAAACAACAGAACCCACATATACATTGATATTGGATCAATAATCATGCGGCTTACATTTGTCGCTAGCACGGGCCTTCCCATACCGCGGCCTAATCGCATGCCCACAGGCTATTATGTCTATATCTCTACTCCCTATGGCCAGTATAGCACCTTCGAGGCGTCGGCAATGGACGACTGCAGTGTTTCTTGGAACGAAACCCTCACCATACATGAACGCCCTCAGACGCTTTTCAAGCGGCTCATGTCCATCTTCAAATCTGAAGCAGTCCGCCTCGAAATTCGCGCCTCATATGAGTCTAAACCAACGCTCGATCAATCCGAAGTAGTGTGTGCGTTTGACACGACCTTCAAACAATTACTGGCAGAAGACGGACCGCCTAGTGAGTTCTCACTTCCAGCAATGTCATTGTCTGCTGATAGCGATTCCGAAGAATTACATTCGGATGTTGGTGATAAGCGTGTATCCCTCGAATTGAAAGCGGGCGATACTCATGAGGTACAAAATTGATTCAAAGCTTTATGATCACCACTAATTTACTCCACTTTTCAGAAAAATGTCGTTATATTCGGCGAAACCGGCTCAGGGAAAAGCTCAACTATCAATACCATCGCCCAAAAGCAGGTCGCAAAAACATCAAATGATGCAGTGGGATGTACCACTAAACCTAAACGTTACTCAGTAGACATTTTCGGCCAGAATTTCGCCCTGTTTGATACCGCAGGTCTCAACGAGGGGACCAAAGGCGAGGTGCCGCAGAAGCAGGCGAAGGAACAGCTGAATAGATTGTTGAAAGAGCGCATGAGGCACAAGTTACCATTGGATGGTATCGATCTTCTGGTGTACTGCGTGTACAACACGACTTCCTCTCGCGCCATCCTTAACACCTACAACGCTGTTTACTCTGGGATCTACCGAAAGAAGAGAGTCCCGATCGTCGTCATCGTCACAGGATTGGAGTCTGCGACTTCCATGGAGAGCTGGTGGGATAATCACAAGGAGACATTCAAGGACATGCATCTCGCAGGCCATGCATGCGTCACAACGGTTCAGGAATATGCAGGTATTCCTCCAGACCATACTGATCGTGTTGCACAGTCGAGCGAGACTCTGCGCAACCTTATCATGAACACATGCTCAGTTCCGGTAGTCGATGACAACTTACCCGCGGGAACGTGTTTGCCGTGTGGTCAATGGACTGAATGGTAGTAACGCTGTCCATCACCATCGAGCAAAATATTATTCACGCTGGCACGGGACGCCTATTTAATCCCGCTGGAGACCTTGGATAGGTGAGCAGGACTTGCACGATCTTATTGGACGCACCTTTCTAACTGAAAATGAAGAAAGACGATAATAAGCTTCGCAAGACTTTTTGGTATATATTGTTTTGGTTGTGAATGGATATTTTTTTATCATTTTATTCTGACGTTTTCTCCGTGCGCATCACTTTTATGATTAATCCCCTCGTCATGTTTTATATTCGTTCTTCCTCCTTTTATTCATGTTCTCTCGTAATTACGTTCTTGTTGGCAGTGAAAATATATGTCTATAGATAGACTACTATGTAGTATGAGTATATAACCAGTGACATGAAGGTCACCACCATCGGGAATGGGGACTTTCCTGTCAATAACTTATTATCATTATGTTATAGATCTTGATATTATCTGCTGCCATTCTGAATGCCAATCACGTTATCGAATTGAAAGAGCCAAAAGTCCGTGTTGGAATCGGGGAGTATTTATTTCCTCATCTCTATGCTACTCACTAAAGAAAGTCCACCCAGTACGAGCATCTCCATCTTTCTCGACTAAGAACAATGGGGTTTCCTTACTTTTGGATTACATTGATAAACGATAAACAATTTTCATTGGCTGACTACGCTACTGATGTAGCTCAGGCACTACATACAGTAAGTAACTCATCAGCTCATCGAGCAGACGAAGAGCATACCAACAACCCTGAGTATGGATTGAGTTCGAGTCATAGATGCGTAGGTAGTTCAAGGACACGCTGAACTTTTCCGATCACTAGATCGACGGTACGCATGTGAATTTGCCCCGCCAAACAAATACTCGCGATATACCACACGAACCCAATTTTGGTCGCCAATACAGTTGCAATTTGTTCTGGCGGGTTGATTGCAGGTGCAGTCCCAAGGTAATATCGGGATGTGTGCATGGGCCAGATTGATTCACTGATCAAGGCATCATATCGACGAGCAGGCACACGGCGTGTCGCATGGACTGATATTACATAGTGCAGCATTGTCGGAGGTCGTCACAAATAGCATATGCATTATAGAGTGGGGACTGGTGATAGATCCGGTGTGCGATCTTCTGAATGCGTATACGCAGTGGGATATATGGGAATAGGTTTGACGAGAGGTGTCGCAAGTGTTTCCTCCGCATGTGCGCACGGGTCAGAAAAACATTGAGGGTGTGTCGGTTGAGCGTGCAGAAATCCTTGTGAAAACAAGTCCTGAGCATGCGAGGAGAAAGTGCTGTAGGCATGAGAGTAGGACAGCCTCCTGAGCATGGTGCCGGTCCTCGCGCTCCGGGTGAAAGTTGCTCATGAAGTTCATATTGAAGGAAGGCTCGCTACGATTATCTGAAGGTGACGACAAAAGTTTTGCAGTGTGCGCATGGAGCGCATACGAGTCTGAGTCTAGAGGTGAGCTTGACATGCAGGGGAAAAATGAAGTTCGGAAGAGTAGACGGTGGTGGGCCCTTCCGATTGTCGGTTGAGTGGGGCTAGCTTGTTACCGGGACACCTCAGAGACAAGGAGAGTTAAGAACCAGTGCTGACTGAATTTTCCTCAAACCGGTCTGACCTGAAGAACGATTGAGGAGTTGGATACCTTCTTTTGCTCACCAAACAACGAAAGGTGACGTGAAATAGGATCCGTTGGTAAAATTAGCAGACGTGGCACTTGGCTTTTGTTCTTCGAACCCATCTCGGACGATGCCACTTGAAGGGTGAAGCTTAACCGGAGAACAAAGACAGGAGGGGAAGGATCTATTTGTATTCCTTCAGAAAATGGTGGTTCTTCTCGATCAGAATGTTCCTGAGTTAGCTGCGAGATCTCCGAGAACAATGCGCGCTCTGCAAAGGGTAATTCAATACATACCAATTGCATATTGTACGCCTGGATTTGAGCCCTGCCCGCCAGTTGGGGGAACTCCGTGTGCGGAATCTTGCATTGTGCATAAAACAACACTGGAGAAGACGACAGCAGAACTACACTCCTGCAAAAAAAGGCACCATCATGACTAAGTGTCCTCACCATCCCCATTGTAGGCCTGAAGAAGATCCTGACAGGTGGGAAAACTGAGGAGGGAGCCAGAGCGGATACACATGGACTTTCTTGACTTCTATGCTGATTTATTTTTCTGGAATGACCATGTCAGACAAGGTTCGCTTTCACGAGGAGAAAATTTTGTAGAGATGCACCCTACAACTTGGAAAGCCGCATTGAAACCATCAACATCTAATACATTGATTGTCCGCCTTGGAATACCATGTGTACCTTATGACATAGACACTTACACTGGGGAACCAGTTACCCATCTTCGATGGACTGGTATGAAACGTCCAGCGGGGGATATCCTAAGGCTATGGCATTCGCGAGTGCAGAGGTGTAGCAGGAGTACCTTTAACTGGTTAGTACAAGTTGTCCGACATAGGCACACGTTACCCCAATGGACAAATATTGGAATAAAAAAACCATGTGTATTCGGGTGAACAATGCAACTCCGAGGCAGGTGCGCCACTGAAAATAAAACGGTAACATCCATATCTGAAAGGGTGTTGTCTCCGAGTACAAAAAAGCGAAAAATCAAGTCCCAGTGCCTCACCCTCATGCATCAGACAGACATAGACCGTACCACCACTCAGTCTGAGGACAATACTCTAACGGCCGTGAACCACGCCTACATGATACAGTGTGGCAGGTGTCAGGCTGTTATCGAGTATGACACTCAGACCGACTGGCCCACGGTCAGCCTCCTTGTCAACGAGCACTTGGGCACCTGTCCAGCCAAACTCAACTTCCATGGGCCCGCCCCATCTCACCCTCCTTCCGAAACATATGACACACAGAACGCGCCAAGTCATAACTTTGTTGGGAAAATGGATGCCAATGACAACAGGCCCGATAATCGATTCATCGCGGGCTGTCACGAGCGGCAGAGGAAAAGCGAGGGTCAGCGGAAACAGGAGCTCGAAGATGACGAGTACACTTACAGTGTATGCCCTACATCCGTCAGGTGCCGTGGATGTGAGAAGGAGATCAGTTTGGACAAGCGCTCCAGATACTATCCTGGACTTTGGACCAAACACAGAGAGAAATGTCGAGGAATCCAAAGGATCGAGGTAAGTTAATTTCTCCTAAGAATGAAGTGAGTAACCAACTAAATTTTACAGGAAGATAAACTCAACAGATCTGCCACAAGAGAAGGTGTTTGCCTGTGGAGTGCAGAACGGCGCTCGAATGCTGCTAGTTCATTCAAGACAGAAAATCCGTGGGCTGACGGCATTTTGCGAGTGGCGAGTTCTGTTGAAAGCAGCATCTCAAGACAGATGGAACTGTCAGATGACGAAGAGCTGCCGGAAGAGGGAGATCGGGGAGATCGGGATATTCCTTTCAGCAGTAAGCTAGTCCTCGATGTGAGCAAACACTGTTGTTCACCACAAACTCTAGCGTTGAACAAGCAATTTTATAATGAGTGCTGGCAAAGGGGAGATAGGCCATGGGCGTACCGCTACTCTACCACGAAGGAGATCAAGGAGAGGACAATCGGCACCGTTTATTTTGATACTGCGAGTGAGTGTCAATTTGAACTGTCAAAGGCAAAAATTCAAAACATGCTTATCAACCGTTCGTTTTGTGCACTTACTAGTACCATGCCCATGTCCAAGACTCCAAAACGGTGTGACTTCAATTCAAAAGACAACCTCCCTTGGATGCTCTGCAAAAACTCAGTGATCAGATCACTACACAAACGAGCATGATGCACGTCAACCTTCAACTTGCGTGTGCCGGGATCCACACCACATTGCATTGTACATACATCAGTGCTCGGAAAGAGCCGGCTCCTTTCTTTGTCTTTGCTTCTCTCCGCCGTTTGTTCCGGCAGCTGGGCGGCCGAGTCTACACACAGTGTGAGGGAACTGTCTTACAATCACATTGTATACTGCACTGCTATCAGTATACAGATACAGAGTCACATGAAATCTGTGCTCATCGATGTTGATTCCATCAGCTCTACATATAAAGCTCCTCTACAGCTTAATCACTTACCTACCGGCTGCAGGCTCGGTCCAAAATTTCAAATGCACCCATGGTGCATGATGTGAGCCTGGCGCCCGAATCAGCTTCCCACAACTTATCTCACAACAATCTGGTTACAGTTTAGCATTTAATTCTTCGGTTAAACACCATCGTATGTCGTCTGTCCTAACCATCGTTCTTGTGATTTCTAAATTCTAATTACGCAGTCAAACCAAACTAGCGCAATTTTCGTTGCCGTCTGATTTTGACCTTCAATGAGTCAGAATTGTCAGTATGTCCATCCAGTATTCCCTATCGCACTCTGACCTCATCAACAGCCCTTGGTGGCCCCCGATCATATGAAGGAACTTGGGAGAAGCTGTCGCATGTCACTGTCAAGGGTGCGGAGTATGACTCTCGTGAACGCCAGCCCCATCCGAAGTGTTTGCAAGGGACTCGAGTTACCCTTCTTGATCAAATCCACAGATTACTAGACAGCCGAGAGCAGAATCGGCTCATTTGGTTGCATGGCATGGCAGGCGTTGGAAAGTCTGCTATTGCATTCAGTATAGCTGAAAGGATGAGAGCCCTGAGAGTGCAAGAGCAAGTGGCCGGTGAAAAGCGGCTCCTAGGATCATTCTTTTTCTCCCGCAAGCATACGAAACGCTGCACGACGGGTTACTTTTTTGCGACACTCGCCTATCAGCTTGCGATCAATTTTCCTAGCATTCGGGAGGATGTCAACAGAGCTATCCGCGACAATCCTGCGCTTCTTGACCCTGACAAGTCTCTTCGTGACCAGATGGAAGAGCTTTTTCTTCAACCTCTCCGGAGGCTTCGTTACAGATTGTGCCAGTGTTCGCCTTCGGTGTTTGTTGTCGACGCCCTTGATGAATGCATTTCCACGACCGAGGTTGCCGACCTTATCTCCCTGCTCGGCCAAGCTCTTCGTGAACCTGGTCTGCCTGTCATCCACATTCTGTTCACGAGTCGCTCGGAAGAGCACATCCATAAAGCCATCCAGAACGAAGACGTGCACGCGCTGGTCTGCGAGATACCAGTGAACACTTCTGGAACTGGTGTGGCTGCCACCATTTCGGTGGACGACGCAAATGTTGACAATGACATCCATATCTACCTGGAACATTCCTTCAGGCAGCTGCAAGGTCGCCATCCCGATTTCCCGCAGCCGCCAAGGCATCAACTTGCGCGGTTGGCAAGCCGAGCGGGTAGACGTTTCATCGTGGCCTCTACGATGATGAAATTCATCAATGATGAAGATTATGATCCCCGCGACCGACTGCAGCTTATGCTCGAGCTGACGAGTGACCTGCTGCCAGGAACGGAGGTGTACAAGTTATATGACCAGATCCTCTCCACATGTGCTGACCCCAAGCGGGCATACATACATTTATCTATTGTCGCTACCCTTGTGGATCCTCTACCAATTTCACAGATCTCGAAACTTCTTGGCCCTAGTCAGGGGAGGGATGTCGAAACAACATTAGCACAGCTACGATCTGTTATGGATATTCCGACTGACAGGAACCTCCCCATAAATATCCACCACTCGTCCGTCCGTGACTATGTTTCAGATCCCTCAAACTGCGGCCTTCCTCAAGTGCAAACCATCAACCCACCCCATACCCTGCTCGCTCAATCCTCTTTCCGCTTGATGATGCAAGATATTCCAGAAAGCAATGCCCTGCTCGATGCACTCTCAGGGTTGAAGAGGCACAGCCGAGCGATGCCATCCGATGACCCACACAGCTTAAAAGACTCGCTAGCCTTCATCGTCCAACCGCCGGAGCCACTGCACATTCTCAGTGGTATGTTATGGCTTCGGGGATATCGCAGTTCAGATCTGCAGCCCTGGCTCGAGACCCTGGATGGATGTGCCTGGCTGCAAACCCAAGGAGGGAGAGACTGGCTGCACACCCGTGGCAAGGAAGGCTGGTTACATACCCAAGGCGGGCGAGACTGGCTGCACACCCCAAACGGGCGGGAGTGGCTGCAGAGCGTTAGTGGACGAGATTGGTTACGGAGCTCGGGTGGGCGAGATTGGCTAAATGCCAGTGCCGGTCGAGAATGGCTGCAGACCCGAAGCGGACGAGACTGGCTGCAGACCAGGAGTGGACGAGATTGGATCAAGACTAGGAGCGGGCGATACTGGTTGCAGACTCAGGGTGGGCGAGACTGGATGCAGACCCCTCGTGTGCGAAGCTGGCTGCAGACAAGGGACGGGCGGGACTGGTTGACAGGGAGTGGACAAAATTGGCTGCAAACAAGGAGTGGGAGGGGCTGGTTGCAGACAAGGGGCGGGTGTGCCTGGTTGCAGACTCAGAGTGGGCGAGAATGGCTACAAAAGCAAGGCGGACGAGACTGGCTCCAGACCCAGAATGGCCGAAATTGGCTCCGGACCAGTAGCGGTCAAGACTGGCTGCTGACACCGACTCGCCCAGACTGGCTGCAAACCCATAGTGGGCGACATTGGCTGCAAACTCAAAGTGGACGACACTGGCTGCGCACTTCACGCGGCGCAAGCTGGCTACAGTCACATGGTGGACAAGATTGGCTGCGGACTGAAGGGGGAGGGGACTGGCTGCAGATAAGGGGAGGCCAGGACTGGTTGCAAACAAGGAATGGATGTGACTGGCTGCAGGCAAGGGGTGGAAGATACTGGCTGCAGAGCAGGAAAGGGCGATATTGGCTCCCGACAGAGGCTGGGCAAAACTGGTTGCACACTCAAGCTGGGAGAAACTGGCTTCAGACTAGTAATGGGCGAGACTGGCTGCAGACACTCGATGGTCAAGCATGGCGGTCGACTCCTGCAGCATCTGTCTGGGTGGCGATGGAAGAGTTCTCGAGCATGTTCAAAGCAATAAGCGATTACACTATTGACCCGGAGATGCCTTTGCTGCCAGCATTTCAAGTCATCCAGCATTTCAAGAACTTGCCAGATTTTTTGATGTTTCCAGTGTTTCTCGCGCTGAGACAACAAAACTGCTCCACATCTGCAGCTCATTTTACACCAGACGTGGAGATCATCCGTGCTATGATGGCATTTGCCAGTTTCGCAGACGAAGCATGGGGAAGAAGTCGGTTAGCTTCTGATGCTCTCAAGTACGCATGTCAAAACTGGGCCTTCCATCTCTCACGAGCACCTCATCCATGGGACAACATGCTCAACCATCTGTTCAAGTCTTTCTGGAATCGTCATCTCCTGTCCTGGCTCGAAAGGCAGTGGTGCTTGACGGATTTACCGTCTTACCTCGTTGTTTTGTCGGAAGGGCAGAGACTTGCAAAGGTATGTGTATTTCATCGATTTTCGCGACTTAAACCTGACCCTGGTGCAGGAACATCTCCTCCAAAATACAGGGTCATCTCATTCACGAGCCTAAAGCTGTTGATTTGATCACAATCTCTTGCCATCGCATATACTTGATATCTTTGTTACTGAAGTCTTTATAACATTCATACACATAGGTATTTAATCCTCTGGTTCCAGCGCAAGTATTCAGCAATTATGGATTAACAAACAAACAAAATGGTGATGTTGCTTTCATCATCCCCTCCAACTTGAGAGAAGCAGCATGCCAGGACGAGCAGCTCGAAGTCATTCTTGCAACTGAACCACCGTAAGACATCATGTAAGATCAGATACACGTACCCCGCACGCAAAGGTTGTCAAATAGGTGCTTGATGATCATGCAGTCTTCCTGATTGACTTGATATGATGTCGAGGTCCATGACGAACAGCTCCAAGAGGAGCCCTCAGTGAGGCCGGTCATGACACCGAGGCTCTGTCATATATGGACATGACTAAGCTAGACTCTTCCCATAGGCCACGTCAAAAGGTTTAACCCCACCAGTCAAAATTATCCAGCACTGCAGTACATACCACCAACCACACGTTCCCTACTTTAAAAAGTCACAGCCGTCCACATCACTTGTTCATCCCGTTAAAATCTCCGAGCGGGATATCATGCGAGCGAGCTCACGCTTCGTAGCTGGCCTTGCTCTAGCAGGCGCTTTTCTGACTGGCGTTGACGCTGCTATTCAGACGGTAACTCGCAATGGAAGATACCTCTATACCGCGGACGGGAACAGGTTTTATATCAAAGGTGTAGCTTACCAGGAACAAGGTAAGGACACATCGGTAAACATCAAGTGGACTTGATGTTTGCTACCGTCAAATGTCACGTCATTGCTCACAATGGGATGCAGGTGCGGTAGTCGCGAGCGCAAGCAATACCTTTCTCGAGCCATCCACTTTCATTGATCCCTTGGCCAATGGCACTGCCTGCACCCGTGATCTTCCTTACCTGCAGCAGCTTGGTGTTAATGCCATCCGTGCATATAGCGTTAACTCTTCGTTGAACCACGACTCTTGCATGCAAACGTTCAGTAATGCTGGTATTTATACTATGTGAGTATCCGTGAAGCATTCCCAGCCTACCAGTCCATTGATATTGTCTAGCATCGATCTTTCTCTGCCTGGGAATGGTTCGATGGACCGCGACGCGCCATCCTGGACCACCAATCTACTTGATTTGTACATCGAGACCATCAACGTCTTCTCAAAATACAACAACGTTTTGGCTTACAACGTTGGAAATGAAGTCGTCATCGCAGCTAATGGCACCGCTGCTGCTACCTTTGTCAAGGCAGCTGCTCGTGATGTGAAAGCATACCTGTAGGCTAAATTTGAATTTCTAGCTCGGCTCCTATGAGGCTAAATGTCTTTCTTCCAGTAATTCTATCAATTCTGGCGCGCTCGTTGGCTATGCGTCCATCGATGCAGATGCTACATGGCTTGACCCTTTGGCTAACTACTTGTCCTGTGATCCCTCTGGATCAAACTCCGGTGCAGCTGCCATCGATCTATTCGGGTTGAATAACTAGTCAGTTTGAATTGTTGATATTTTCATTTGTTAATCATTGACATCGTGTTGCAGTGAATGGTGCGGAAATTCAACCTTTGAGGCTTCTTATGCTGGTGTAGAGGGACAATTTGCGGGTTACAATGTTGCAGCCTACTTCAGCGAATTCGGGTGCATTACTTCTCCCCCTCGTCTGTGGACAGAAGTCGGGGCGCTTTTGAGTTCGGAGATGTCTCCTGTTTGGTCTGGTGGTGTCGCATTCTCTTACTTCCCAGCTGCGAGCGCTCAGGGACAGTTCGGTATGGTTACGATCTCACCTGATGGAAGTACTGTCACTACAAGCAGCGATTTCACCAACCTACAGAGCCAGTACGCCGCTGCGTCGCCACCTAATTCGCCTTCGCAGAGCGCTGCTGGTACTGCCAGCTATCCATCGTGCCCTCAACAGAACTCGACTTGGCTCGCTTCCAACACTCTTCCTCCCACACCTAATTTGGCTGCTTGCCAGTGTCTCGAAAACAACCTCAGCTGCCAATTCACGCCTTCGACCAGTAACTACACAGCAATTGTTGGATCGTTACTAGATTACGCGTGCAGCCTTATTGGACAGTCTGGCGGATCTTGCAGCGCGATTTCTTCCAACGGGACAACAGGACAATACGGCGCGGTGTCTGAGTGCGACCCTAGTAAGTTCATGGTGTAAGAACGTTGCACAGTGCAAGCCCTAATCATTTTTCATAGCTATAATGTTGTCCTACGTGATGAGCGACTATTATATAGCAACCGGGGCCAACGCTCAATCATGTAGCTTCGGTGGGAACGGGACCGTCAATAGCAAGGCACCATCCAGTGCCACCGCTGCAAACAGCGCGGCATCGTCCTGTCTCGCGAGTGCTTCGGGCACGTCCGTCCCCACTCTCCCTGCAGGAGCCCCGAGTCCCTCTGGGTCATCATCAAGCTCGGGTGGCGGAAGTGGTAGTTCACATAGTGCCGCATCAATTGTTTTCGCTGATGCTAGGACCCTAATGGGCATGGGAGTTCTTGTTGCAGCTGGTATCGCGAGTGGACTCTGGACCATAGCATAGCTTAAGGACCTTTCTCGAAATTATTTGACGCGATGAACTTTTGTATAAATGGATTTTTTTTTACAGAGTATTGTATATCCATTGGTTTACTGTTACTGCCACAATACTATCTTTAATATTTGTAGACTCGCCGTTCCAAGTCTGTTTGAACATGTTTTGTTTATAAGTTGTGGCAAGTTTGTTTATGACATGCTCTGTTGATCCCCTGAAATCTTTTTCATAATATTTTTGCACCAATACCTCCAAGATGGCTGCATCACCGCTAGCAGCGCAAGACACCAATGACAAATGGGGTTTCGGTGAAGACCCAGATAACATGGGACCTATGTCCAGCGCCGACCCCCTCGTCGACGACGCGCCTCTGGCAGCAGACGAAACGACTTCCGGGCAAATGGCCAGCGGCTCTGGTCATAAACGTACCTCCAGCGGTGACAACGGCGTTTCTGGCAGCAAAACCGACTCCGGTCGCGAAAAGTTATCCAAGGTGCTTAGGTCTCCTCTTATTCTTGTTGAATCCTCCGCTAGCTTGGATCTCTACCGCCTGCGCAAAGATCTTGTATCCTGACTATGATACTGGGCGATTAGTTGGTTCTGCGACTAAGCGATTTGCTACACCTGTCCCTGGTCGCTAAACCCTCACGTCGAAATTTTGCGTGCAAATTCCTCTGTTCACTGGTCTTGCCCTTGTCTTCTCGCTGTTCTGATTCGCTTCATTGTCTGGCCTCATGTTAAACACATTGTGCTGCACAGCCGAACAAAGTATACATTGGCGGTTTACCAGACCATACACGCCAAGAGGACCTCCAAAGTTGTTTTGGAAAGATCGGAAGGATCACACACATCGAGTTGAAGTACGTTCTTTAATTTTGCTTGGGGAGTTGGTTTTTATTCAACGTCTGTCATGTAGAATCGGATATGGTTTTGTCGTAAGTTATCACTGCCTCTATTTGCATGAGTGACCTCATGGAGGCTCGTTATAGGAATTCGACAGCCGCGAGGCTGCCGAAGAAAGTGTTGCCAAGTACAACGAAGGGTACTTTATGGGCAACAAAATACGAGTGGAACTTTCCCACGGTCGCGGACGCGCCACTAGGCGCTCTGATGATCCCGGCGCTTGCTTCAGATGCGGTGAAACTGGCCATTGGGCCAGGTATGTAGTTGACGATCACGGTCATTTGTTACTGACCGCTTTGCAAATAGGGAATGCCCTCGTTTACAATCGTAAGTTATCTTAACACTGCTGTCAAGACTACTCACTCTTTGCCAGGCGTCCTCCTAGGGGTTCTTCTCACGAAGTGGGGTTGATTGAACGATTACCACCTAGGGATTACTTACCTCCTAGAGATTTTGGCCCCCCGGCGCGGTATCCTCCTCCACAGGATGCGAGGTATTATGATTATCCGCCGCCACCTCCTAGCAGAGATTTTCGACGTCCCGTCTCGCCTATAAGAGATCAGAGAGATTATCTTACGGGGCCGTCTCCACGTCCGCGCGATTATGATGATTATAGAATGAGGGGACCTCCGCCGCCACCTCCTGCCCGGTATGATCGCCCATATGACAGAGATTTACCACCGAGAGGCTATCCTCCACCAAGGGACTTTGACCGGTATGAAAGGCGTCCCCCACCAGATGATAGGTACCCTCCCACGAATTCCAGGCCTAGGACACCTCCTGGCCCCCCTCCTCGCCGCGATGACTACGATAGACCACTCCGGTATGGCGCGACTTCTTGTATTGTGGTTGAAGTCTCATTATCTCCAAGGGATTACATTCCTAGACCACTTACACCGCCCTTACGCCAATCGGACTACCCTCGTTCTCCTGAGCCGCCTCGCTATCGGTGAGTCCTTTATTACATCATGTTTTCATGATTCCTCATGCAACTGAAAGTCGCCGCTCATTGAGTCCTCCGCCCCGCTCTGCGCATTACGATGCCTACCCTGGCGGCAATGGATATTCTGGCGACAGGTCTGGTCCTCCGAGGGACGACAAGCGTGTCAGAGACTATCCCCCTCGCCGTGACCCAGAAATTGGCTATAGGAGAGCCTGACATGTTTTTTTTCTTGCTCAGAACTTCGTCTGTCGTTGAAAGTTATCTATATCATTTCTTTTTTTGTATATCTTTTATGCTTACATGTAGCTTTCTTTCTTGTTTGTCTCTTTCCATTCGCCACTACGCCTGCTTTGTTTGCATATTAGCAGATACAAACTCATATTGGCTTCGATTCTAATGGTGATGGGCTCATCGTTACTCTGCTATTGGTCATTGCTCGCTGCAGTGGGAGGACCAGAGGCGCACCCCTGCCTCTACTTCCGTCGACGAGCGCTAAGGTCCAAGATGTTACCTTGTTCAACATATGCAAGTGGTGACCTTCAGTCGTTACTTTTTATTGACACACTCATGTCATTCCACTACCAAAGCAGATATTTGAACGCTATTTGCCTCATCTTTCTCATTTGCTCCTGAAATCAGCACACGGGACAATCAAGTAGTGTGGAGAGACAGTAACTGCAGCGCTGAACCGGGGTAGAATAAAGTGAACCCACAAAGCAAGTATATGTTCTCAGCATTAGATCGACGATTCGCAAGAGACACTCGTTCCAGAGCATAACACGAATTATGAGTTTCGAAGGGCCTGGTTTGTTCCCTCGGTACCTAATCTGATACGGAGTCAAGTCGGAATTCTTGAATCCTCACATCTATTTTCCGTCAGGGTTAACAAACAAAAGCAAGTCTGGTTATGCTCTGGGTAGACATCGATGAGAGCTACTTCTAAAATGCTTTTCTTGCTGAATCACGCTCGTCCGTCCAAAATGATGAGCGAGTGTTTGACCCCTACCAGACAACAGCCATGTTCCCTGTGCCCATTGTGAAGATCTACCAATATTTCACTCTTGTCTGTATCGCATGAACGTGCTCTGGAGCCCGTACAACATCCGTCACCAAGTGGATAACGGTGAACATGCCACGATAAACCTACAAAGGCATCCTGTCATTTTCACATCAGCTGAGTGGGGGCAGCGCATGGAGATAGTTGTGGGTGCAAGTCAATTGAGGAGGGATGCTGAGACTTCAAAGGTTTAAGCAAAATTTCAGCAAACTTAGCCGAAGTCAGAAACTCGACCCTAATCCAACGGTCGAAAGGATATTTTCCAGGGTTCAATTTGTAGTCAGATTGCAGTGTTTTCCAGAGGATGTGCGATGATATGGATAGGATAGTTAATAAGTCGGAAAAGACTCTGCTTATTGTACTTACCCTTGAGGGTGGTGTTATGACTTGTCACACATTGGATTGGCGTCTGGTTGCAGATCCGTTTACTGTCGTTTTATGCATGTTATTCTCCTCTGATTACTAAGGTCTGGTCAAATTTTCGTTTCCACGATGAATGTAGTATATATAGTTGACCATGAGCAAAAGGATCAGTACTTATCGATTATCTCCCAGTATCCGGTTTTGCGTTTCCCCATGATAAAACTCTGAATTTCCCCTAGTATCCATGGGACTTCTGAGCAGGGATCGTCATGTCATCTATCGTGGGCCGGATGCAATAACGGGTTTGAATTGCACATTTCCTAGTGTTCCAATGGCAAGAGAATGTCGGAGACAGAAGAAGTCGAATCTGAGGTCTGCTGGCAATATTTGTCTGAGTGGCAATGCAAACATCTGTTTATAAAAGAGTATTTCAGGTGGGCAGGTTTTGACGCTATTCAGGACATAAAGACAAGTGTCTTTCCTACCGTCTCCTTCTGAATTATTTTCGAGATTCCATATTACATCTCACACATAATGCATCTCTCCTTCGTCCTCGCCGTTATTGCTGCTTGCAAGTTGACAATGTCTCTTGTTGGTGCTGACAGTGATTCGGAATGTCCCTACACCTGCAACGTCAACGCCCATAATCCTTGCTGCTCTGGCTATGATTGTGTGCCAATAGTATATGACAGCGAAGTGAGTATGAGTCGTTTTCATCTTCATAAGCATGTGACTCACCGGCCTGGTAGGGCGATGTCGTATTTGAGTGTAAGCCAGAGCAATCGTGACAGCGGTTCGTGTTTCTGCTTTCGCATCAGTGTAGTGTGGTTGACGCCATGACGCGTAAGTAGTTCTCGAGTACTTCATTGCTGAGCGCGCGGTTGTCGCGGTGAACAAACAAGTTCACCTTACTTGAATATCGAAGGTTGTAAATTATGTAAAGGAACATCTCGGACACCGTTAACTGCATGAGATGTAACTGACGTACTCACGACGCGTTGTTTTACGTCTCGTTGTAAGATTGCAGGATATCAGTAATTTATAAAGGCCTCACTTGATGGGATGGACGGGCGCACTCGGAATCAAGTTGCTAGCAGCGGTCCATCTCATGCTGTGCCATTTGCACGTGCCCTCCTTTTCTTTTAAGCTGCAAGTTGCTCTTCCACACAAAGATCATTCGTGAACGAGAAGTACTGAAGTGTCGCGTACATACAACGAATACCCCACCTGAAATCGCGTAGGCTAGCACTAACGTCACCCATAGATCTTGCACAATGACATAACGCTCATGCACTTTGTGTGCACCGTGCAAGGTCCCCGGATCAATTGAAGTATCGTGCGGTCCTCGCAAATCTGATATTTGGCACGTAAGTAGATCCTTCGGCCTTTTTGTCCGGGGACGCACACACTGAGAACTAGCAAGAATCCGATGCATTTCTTGTATGTGATAAGCCTGAATTCAAGCCGCGAACAAAACTTGGAGATGTATGCATCTTCGTGTATGCTATTTCATCTATCCGGTGTGTTGGTGCTAAGTTATAACCAACTGGACCTGTCTGCACTAAGTGGACGTATATATAGATTCTAATTGGCGCCAATATTCTCGACAGTAAAGGTCCTTAGGACCTCTCCAATCGAGAATCAGAGAGTCCATATCTTTACCGCAGCGTCGCGTCCGCCCGACACGAGGTACCGGTCCATGTATCGTAGGCGCTCGACGGGTTGCGTATGGCCATTCGTGGAGAGAGACGAGTGTTGCATACTCGTGCGATTATAGATCTGTGGATATAGGGAATTAGTATCCAGTAATACTCAAACAGCCAAAAAGTCCACCTTCACGTTATTTTCACCAGTAGCAGCAATAACTTTGCGGGTGTCGAACTGCAGCGCGGTTACAGCATGATCATACTTGAGGGTTTCGAATGTGCCGCCTGTCCTAACGTCCCATATCTGATGACACACTTCAGAATGTCACTGGCCAAAGAAATCAACGTGCATACCCGTATTGACTTGTCGAGGCTGCCGCTGGCAATATGCATCTCATCAAACTGAAGACAGGTCACTGGGCCGGTATGTCCCATTAACGTTCGGTGGGCCTGTCCCGTCCGCACTAGAGATAGAATTTTCACGTCAAATGCAGCAAAAGTGACCAGAACAACTTACTGTCCCACATTCGTACTGCCCCGTCCCCGCTACCGCTCACGAGTCCATAACCCCAGAATTGGACTCCACCCACGAAATCTTCGTACATGTCCCAGCTACCGTCTGCGGAAGGAGGTGTAGGAACGGCGAAGTGCCCCGCAGAGGCAGCGGCACTTGGGAAGGTGTGATTTGGTATGCCAGTGCCTGATATAGTGGGCTGTGGATGGGAGATAGCCCATAGAATATCCATTGTCATGACACACTGTCCAGTCGCAAGGTCCCATTGACGAAGTGTCTTATCCGAAGCACCAGTGACCTGCATACGAGGTGAGACGACGTGGAGCTGGAGAACAAATGAAAGATTTACCAAACACTCATCTTCAAAGTAAAGTGCAGTGACAGCCTTACTGTGCCCTTCAAACAACCTGATGCACGGTCCAGCCTGGTCAGTCGTGCCTGCTTCACTAGGTTCATTTGACCGAATTCCATTTGGTTTTTCGACCAGTTCCCCATCATAAGCAGCACCCTCGTCTTCTTCTGCAACATCGGCAAGACCATCTCTCTCCCAGTCTTCTTCGTCTACTAGTCGAAGGTCCCAAAGGCGCACGCTGCCATCCTCTGCACCAGTCAAGCAAAGGTTATCCTCAACTTGTATGCACTTGACGGCACCGCGATGCCCACGTAGACGTCCGATTTCAGAGCCTGTCATCAAGTCCCAAAGTCGTGGTTGGGAGTCTGCTTGCGATGCGCTCACAAGCGTTCCGTAAGGTTCGGAGAAGTCGAGGGCGGCAATTGGTGTTAGGTGACTTTCTAGGGTCTGCAACCAATTGAGTGGGATTTGAAAGGATGAGTTTGGATGCTAAACTCACCATGAATGCGACCCCTGGTGGGAGCTCGTCATGTTCTGACGGTAAGAATACGGGACCTTCAAGACATGATAAATATATGCAATAGACAAATTCGTAACAGGCGTACCTCTCCGCCGCCGTGAAGGGGCAACATGAGGTGCCGATGCGGTTTTGGTGTTGTCACTCTGGCGGAAGGCAGCTTCCTCGAATTCTATTCGTTCCTGCACACCCTCAACTGTCCGCAGATCAGCGAAGTTTCGTATGCACAATTCAATTGACCCTTACGCTCATCATCCAATTCCAGCTCATCCTCGTGCAATTTCAAGAGGTCTTGTTCCAGACTCCCTCTTATTGAGTCCAGCGCTTTGATTTTATTGTTGATTTCCGCAATTTCACTGTTAATGAGACTCTGCACCACCTTAGAAAAGTTGGGATGTGAGACAGAGAAACATACCCGTCGAACATGAAGATTCTCCTTGTCAAGTATTATCTCCTGTGTCTGTCGTCGAAGTTCATCCTTGCCAAGTGCCTTTGCTGAACTAAGGCTCTCCCTGCCTCGTCTCTTCCCCTTTCGTTTCCCTCGTTCATCAAGACGTGAAACTACCACCACATCTTCTTCACTTGCAATGCTTCTCTCCTCTTCATCTTCAATCATCATCCCTCTCGCATTCATCCCTAGCTTTTTTAGTCCAATCCTCGGAGTCTCGACATTCCGCATCTGTTTGCGACGTGTCCGGTTTTTCTCCGAGCTCGGAACAGTGGCATTAAACCCGCGAAGTAGGCTCACGTCAGACGCCATGCCCCCCGCTTCTGGAATCTCAGCGTCCAAGAGCTCATCCGTTGCCTCGATGATCTGAAGATCCCGCGACGTGATGCGGCGCGTACCGAGGGTTAGACGCATTGGGGCGCGTCCGAGGGTTGCAAAGTCCATCCGGGATCCTCCGGGAGCTGAGGCACCAAGAGAACTTCGCGAACGTGAAGACACGGTCGCCGCTGCGTTAATCATACGAGGAGTCATTATTACCGGAGCAACTGGAAAGAGTATATTAGATGACTGTGATGAATAGTACCGCGTGTTGCTCACGGTCTGTAAGAATGCGCGAGGAATCTTTCTTCTTGTTATTGAAGGGCGCAAATAGGGTTTTGGACACCAAGTCCATCTTACTGTGGACTGTGGACTGTTCCGGGTCCAACGCTGCACGGGTAATGTCTGGCCGGTTGGCTGACTTTCCCTTAAACTTTGAGGACATCTAATCGCATTCCGCACGAATACGAAAGAATGGGGAACTGAGTAGGCTGATGAAGATATACTTATACGAAGGAGAGTAAACGCAAGTTTTCTGGTTCTGAATGTCTCTGCCGGAACACCATGGCTGGAATTCACACGCTCGACAGCATTCACAGAAGGCACATGAACTTAAAAGTATACAACAGGTTACAAAAGTAGTGCTTGTAATCTATAATTAAAATATTGATACAAGCAGTATGCGTCCTACACTAATTTTCCTGTCGACCTCAAGACCAATGAAAGTCAAGAATGAGATCAAAACCGTACGGATTGAGGTCATATTCAAGTGGTCGACGAGGGGGGTAGCGGCGACGACATCAGGGATGGCTTGGAGCTAGAAACTAACGTTGTTGTCGGTGTCGGTATCGTTGTCGTGGATAGTTCCGTATCTGTGATGGATGGTGAGGCTTGGGCCTCTGTTTGGCCGAACATCGAACGGAGCGCTGATAATGTGGACTTCTGGGTGGATATGACGTGTACGGTACGATGAATTGCCGATAAATGCGTCTCCTCAGGTGATGATGTTTCTTCCTCGGCGTTTGGTAGCTCCTCCTCTGCGGTGAGCTTCTCTGCACGATCCTTCATCTGCTGCACCATATCTGCAGCCAGTCTCTCCACACTTTCCCTCTCCCATTTCTGCATATCATATGATTCGAAAACCCCCGAAGTAAAATCGCACCAGCATCTGTCATTGACGCGAATTATGGGTGGAGTGTGTTCGCGCAGGTCGAAATTGGGTGGCAAGGTTACATTTAATGCGTCATAAAAGGTGGTGATAGTGGAGGACCATGGAATCGAGAGACGCGTCTCCAATGGGAATGACTGCCAATAACATGATGACAGAAAGAGAGCTCCGAGAAGTACAATGCAGTAGAAGCTATGAACATATCAGTACCACCTCAACGCACCCATAGCACAGTACCCTCACCATGGTTTCGCGTGCAAAGCTAATGAAAACAGGAACAGCACCAAAAAGTATGGCTGAGCAGTTGGGAGAGGCAAAAGTAACAGCGGTAGGAACCACCTTGTGCACCTGGTTGATACAGAAATCACAATTAATAAGTCGTTTTGCCTTTGCTTCAGTAACTCACCACATGAATGATGATTTCTGACCTGTCCTTTATGTAAGTACAAACGCCGCAATATGCAAATGTGTGACTGGTGACGGGATCTTAGGATGTCACAACTTATCACAACAGGTAATCCAGATCTCAAAACAATGTACAGGGCACGATGTCGACGTAAATATAAAGTCATGAATTAAGATTACAGTGAGTAAATGTGGGTACTCTAAGTGCAAGTACTCTCCCGTAGTCAGACCTCGAAAGAAGGAAGTCAGTCATTACTTGTCAAGACCTGGCTCGAGATGTGAGGGATCATAATGCTGTTCCCCGCTCGAAACTGGCCCGAATCTCTGAGGTATATTCATCGTAGTATCGTGCAATCTGTTACTCGTCAGCTCATATTTTCAAGGACATAAACAATGCAATGACGCACCTTTTTGTTGAACACCCGATTCTGCTCATTGATATAAGTAATGTCCCCTTCATCCTCATTGAGTCTCTTTCGGGAAAATTTGCCTTTCTTGTCGATGCTACGGTGCGATGATATTGTCAGCACCGCAAGGACCAGGAAATGTAAGAACTCCCTCTCTATTCATCTTAGCAACCACTTTATCAATGTCATCTTCAGTAGGTTTGTTGTCAGCATAAAGTAGAGTATTGGCATCTCGGTAGAAGCTTTCTGCGGCCCTCCGTTGTTCAGCAGACGGGACAATCTAAAAATACACAAGTTCAGTGATACGATAGAACGAAAGGGTGGGCAGAATTGACTTGTCCACCTGACGGATCAAAGGCTATGAGAGCAGATGAACTGCACCCAGAATTGGCAAGCGAACCAAGCGCCAACCCCAGTACGACTTCTTTCTGTCGGCTGTATACAGTGAGGTCTGGTTTAATTAGGTCAAGATCCTTCTTGTAGCGCCGTCGAGCCGCGTGTGTATCGTCTACGCAAGACTTAAGCAAGAGTGACATCATGCAAGGAAGGCCGCACCATGAAACTCGTAGTCTGCTCTTCGTGCTTTTCTCGCTTTCCTCTTTTCCCAATTATCGTTCTCTTTTATTGTCTATTCCCAATTCTTCTACCGTTCCACATCCTCCCCCCGATCCTCGGCCTAGGCCTGCGTGCGCAACACCTCCGCAAGTTTCCGCTGACGTTCTAGTCGTGCAGCATCCCTCACCATTATCTTTGCTCTAGCAGACTCCTCAATGAGGTAAGCACGATTGGCTTTCGTAGATGAACGTTTCAAGAACGCTGTGGTAGAGTGAACAATAAGTACGAGGTAGGTAGGACCACGCACCATCTTGGCTCTCAGCTGCTCCAACTTTGCTTTTCTTTTATTCATCGTTATCTACTTCCTCCGCTGCCTTCTCTTCGTCATCTAATGAAGACATTCGTTAACCTGTTCAGGCCTCAAATGTCCATCGTCTTCGATGTTCATGTTGTGGACTAGGGCAGGCGACTTCACGTGATCTTGTGTGGCTACGTTTGCCGATCTAGCTTCAGAAAAACTAGACGTTTCTTCGTCTTTCTGCGTGATTCGAAGAAAACGTTTACAATCTCTTTCTCAAATTTACAATCACCCCAGACGCGATGACAACACATCCTGAAGTTCTATGGGCTCAACGTAGCAGTGATTCTGTTGCTGACAAGGTATGTCTTGACTTTCCAATTTCATCTTTGATCATTCCTGTGCTGATGATCCACTCCGCGATTGCGCGCCAGAACATCATTTGGTTGACTGTGAACGTGCCAGACATTGACGAATCAAGTCTCCAATATGAATTGACGTCTACCGGAGTTTCTTTCAAAGCAGCGTCAAAAACGTAAGTCAGCGCTCTATCAACCCTTTGAATTTGTGGCTCCAACATCATCTACCGACATCAGCGACAAAAAGGCATATGCATTCTCGCTCCCGCTATTCGATGAAGTAGACACAGAAGTATGTTTCTTTATCATACTGTCCAAGTATGCGCCACTCATGATCTCTTAGGCGTCTCTGAGCAAATTGAGCTCGCGCTCTTTCACGGCGGTACTACGAAAGAAGGCCCTCAAGGCTGAGTACTGGCCACGACTAACGAAGGAAAAGACGAAGCTGCCGTTTGTCAAGACCGATTTCAGCAAATGGGTTGATGAAGACGAACAAGATGGTGCCCCTTTAGAAGACGATCTCGGCGGCATGGGAGACATGGGCGGTATGGGAGGCATGGGTGGTATGGGCGGCATGGGAGGCATGGGAGGCATGGGCGGCATGGGAGGCATGGGGGGTATGGGAGACATGGGTATGGGTGGTATGGGCGGCATGGGAGGCATGGGCGGCATGGACTTCAGCAAGGTAGGTCACTTCTGGAAACATCTACATCGTACTGATTGCAACAATAACCAGATGATGGCTTCCATGGGCGGGGCTGGTGGTGCCGGCCCATCAGATGAGACCGCTGAGTCTGATTCTGATTCCGATGGCGGCCCACCCCCTCTTGAGGATGTTGAACCCAGTGCGTGACCGATGGAGTAGCCCCTAAAATCGGAAAAACTGTACGCTGTAGATGCGATTCCGTTGTTTGTCATTGCCAATGAATCTGCTTATTGCACTATCATTCTTGCAAAATCCAGCAGGAATAAGTAGGTGAACGTGTACACGGGAAGGACGTTGTGTACCAGACACATCCCACTTCGCAATGTCAATTTTAGGTCGAGCATGATAGGTGAAGGATTCATTTCCGCACACTGTCAACTATCATGTCAAGCTCGAGATCAGCCTGGCTTATACTCGTGCTATGTGTGTTTTAGTGACATAGCCCTTGATATACGCCACAAGACCGTTCGTGTTTCTGAGTGGCGATGGATGCAGTGTGACAATGCGACCGTCACGTGATTCTGTGGCTGTTCGAAGTGACAAGAGAACACATTGGTTCCGGTCGACTTCCGAACCCTTCAAGAGATCTACTTGAAAGCCTACAGCCACTTTCATATTACAGGGCACTCTGCCTGGACAGTCTGCGATCGAAGGCGAGAGTCCAATGATGCTGCGGAACCCTTGGCTTGTCAGTTGTCGACAGTCTGAGCTCAAACACGCTACTTCTACTTTACGGTTCCCTCGCTTTCCGTTCGCTCGGTCCAGATGGTGGATATATGTATGTATGTATCTCGATCGGTACTTTACTCTGTTATCCGTGCGTCGCATGATGGGCTCAAACAGATCATCGCAAGGAGTCAGGACGCAAACCCGTTGCACGATTTGCACTCACATGGGCGATGGCGCGGCTCCGATCAACATATGTATGGATGCAACGTCGGAATGTCGTGGTTCATGGCATTAATAATCAACTCCGAATCTTTAATTCTCTACTCCGAGTCCCCGCTCAGCACACCTCATCTTCTTGCTATGTTCATTCGCGATAGAGGAACCACGAGTCCGCGCGATTTATTCCTGTTCCTTTCGTGGCCCAGATGGATGAAAGCGCATCTGAGAAACAATGAATTACAGTCATCTCAGACAAAGGGATTCCGCAAACACGTAGAATAAACTGTCTGGGCATCAAGGGCCGGGTTCATTACTAGATGTGCCGGGTAATTGCAGCTTGCCACTCCGTACGAGTGTGGGCGGGCAGATCACCGACTTCCAGTAGCGATACATCAAGAAATGGGTTTGTCTACATAAACCTCGTCTAAAATATACTTTGAGATACCATAACTAAAATAAATACGACGGATCCTCGACCAAGTATCTCCTCCATGCGAAACACTTTGCAACCGTATCCTACACAGTACTGCTAGTCTGTACATGTACGCGCTCCTGGAAGACAATCGAATTCATGCTATCTTCTGCGTCGGATTCGGCCACGAGAGTAACGTGATATCGTCGAACGCTAAGGATGAGGCGTGGTCCCAGCACAAACATCTGCACGGACGATAAAATTTCCATAGCACCAGCGAATATGTAAACTGCTACAGAATTCGAATTCTACAGAAGCGACGAGCGGTCACATGGAGATGTCAGTGACATGTTGGCGCACCTCGACCTCTCGGGAGAGAACAACAAGCTGGAGGCAAGAGACACCAGCAAAACTAGCACATGCGGAACTTGAGCAGAAAACGATAAGCACATTCGCATTACAAGCTCACCCCGCAAAACAAAGCACGCGAGATTCTATCGGCACTCTGAAACAGTCCCCGATGGTCGATCCCGTCGATGGGCCGAGTCGTCGCAGGTCACGGAAGCGCTTCACAGCGATCCAGACTGAAAGACACAGTGCAATGACCTCCCAAACAGTGTTGAGCATCCAGACCATTGATATCAGAAGCTGGGAATCCCCCTCAAATCCGCCACCGCACATATGAATGCCAGAGAGTATGAATTCCTCTGGTATTTGTCTCATTAGCTGTGGCCTTCAATTCAACAAGTAACGCTTACCCAATACGAAATCATACTTGAGTCCTATGATCGTGATTACTCCGTAGGCGATGTTTACAGCTAGGAATATGATAACAAGAAAGATAAGTATTCGCCTAGATCTCTGATACATGGCATGCAACCGAGCAATCATGATGACTTGGATCATATTTCAGTCGAGTCAATATCACTGAGGTATCGCAGCTGGGCAACTCACCGCCCAACATGGCAGTTGCGACCACATTTGTCCCATTTGTTGCATAGATTATGATATTGCCTGGAATACCTGATTAGGGGTGACTCTCATACCAGGATCAAACGCTCTGACTCACACCTATTGAGTGATTATGTGGAGCCAAGTCCAATGGCCAAATCGCACTCTACAAATGAATATATTCATTGGATAGGAATGAAATGATTGCGGAATACTCACTGCATCTGTCAACGAGACCAACGTAGTGGCTCCTGTGTGCCGCCGGTCAGAAGAATCGAACAAGGTACATATGAGACATACCCAGAACATTGACACTGATAATGAGAGATGGGCGATCAGTACAGCAACTACTTTTTGGCCTCGATTAACATACACAGAATATGGTATTCCAGCACAGCGTATCTAGAACATTTTGGAGTCAGCACAACCGCCAACCATGCTATGGTATAACATGAGGTACGAACGACTAGGTACAGCACGGTCATGAGAGACCAGCGTTGGGTCTGTCGTAAATTCATGGTTTTTCCTCTGATATGGGACTTTGTGACTCACCCAAATGAGGTCAATCTATGACGTCTTTGTTAGCAAGTTGGCTGCTCCGGCAATAGCACCAACCCACCTCTTCTCCGAGTGTCAGTACTGGAAGTATCATGAGAATATCAACGGTTTTCGAACACTGTGCTGCTCACCCCAATTGTATACCACCACGAAGACTGCGGCAACTGCAAAGCCACAAGTCAATATCAAATCAAGACATGACCAACTGATATGGCGAACCCTTCCAATAGCTGTACACAATGGTGCTCGGTTTCAACTTAAGCCCTAAGTTTCGTCAATTCCCGATGTACCACCCTTCGTCTTCTAGAAGGGCGACAAGTTGATGTAGTTATCCCTAAGTCAGTGTCAGGCATATGCATTTGATCATCACTAGTAGTACATCTCGAAAGCCTGAAAATATGCACTCAGCCACCCCCACGGTCCCATTAACAGAACAACAATCGATAAGAAAAAAAAACTCACGAACGCAAATCATGCCTTGACGGAAGCTTGGCCCTCAACTACTGGACCGTAATTTAAGATTCTTGGACAAATGTTTCGGCTACGTCGGGGAATACCAACCCAGAAGATATATCCAGATTCCATATCGCGGAGAGAACGATGCTCGTCTGGGATAGACCCAGTCCAGGTCTTAGTTGCACATGATATGGTTTGGTATGGAAAAACAAGGGTAAAGAGGTGTCTTACCGCACATAATACCGCCGCTCGTACAATGATGAAGGTTACATCTCATACATTTATTCAAATACCAGATGAGACATCCTCCACTACGTGGTTTGCATTCAAACCAGTAGTGGCGGCCGACACAGTCGTCACAGCTTCCCCAGTCTTCTGCACCACCCCGCGCGTACTCGAGCCAAGGCCTGGCAATACGTAGCCCCCGGTCAATGATGCGCTGCTTGGCGATAAAGAGGACCCGAGGCCAAAAAACACGAGGCCGGAAATAATGAGGACGCGGTCGACCCAGTCTGTCTTTTCGAGTGCGGTGATGAGTTGTTTGGAAGTGCCCAGGATGTAATCGAACTTGTCGTGCGTCGTGCGTCGTGGATACGGATTGGATAGTTGCGGTGGATGACTCTGTGAAGCGGACGGTAGATATTAGAGAAAAATGATACCACTAAAAACTTGCCTAGTAGTTGAGAAGACATAACACAGCGCTCAAGCTCTTTCTGCATTAGTCCAATGGTTCGTTGAAGCGCTTCGGTGACATCATGATTGGCTTTCATGACGTCTTCGCTGTAGGTCACGAGTTAGCTGTATAGGAGGGAATGAATACATTTAGCGCACGAACGTGATTTTTCCGCTTGAGGAACTTGTACTTTTCTGCGGGGACCTCAACAACTCCGCTCGCTGTGACCGACTTTTGGAGTCGATTGCGTGTTTGGACGCTAGTACTGCTGCTCGAGAGTTTTTGCGTAAACTGGTATCAAGAGAAAAAAAACTGTCAGAGGGTGGCAAAAATACTGAAACGGTCACATGCTTGATTAATAAATCACGAAAACTTTGAACTCTTCTCCTCAGCTCTCTCCTCGCCGGTTCAGTCCTGTGGTCGTCGACCAGGACATCCAGCTCCTACAAGTGGTGAGTATTGGTTGAACCTCGAAGTGTGAACTGAAATACCTCAATTTGCCTCGCCAGACCTTCGATGTCCTCCCTTACTTCCGCAGCACATGCTTGTTGCGCGGTCAAAGGACTCGTACAAGCCCTCAGACGAGGGATCTGTAAGGTAGAAAGGTCGTTGTGGTGCCGTTCAATGGAATCGATTAAAGAAACAGCTTCAGGATCTAGCGTGGGGATTGGTGGCATGTCTGAAGATGGACGCTACGTAGTACAAATACAAATATAGCGGGCCTTGGGATTTTGCCGCAAGGGCAATTCTGAAATTGGGTGCGGCAGTAGCTGTGCACCACCGCCTCCGTGGCATACGGACCTCCTACTACACAAGAACTCGAAAACTGCAGTCCTCATTTGTCGACACAGAAGAGCGAGTGCATTGGAATCGGACGGTCCATGGCTTTGTGGTGACTAAGAAAGCTCACCGAGAAGGACCAGTTTGACAGACAGTACAGACCTGTCTATGGAGCTTGAAGAAGCCATCAGTCATCACTAGTATCGCGTCAACGCAAGAAAATATAGACAGAAGGCAAGCAAGCGGCAGTGCCTCAAAGCTGCATTGCCCGGCTTTGTTTGCATCTATTTTCAACACTCCCGTCTGGCAGCCCGTGAGGAAAGTTGAAGCCTCATGTAGTCTTTCTGTCAAATAAATCTTTTGAATATAGCCCGAGGTCGTTTGACTCATGTCGTTTAGGGTCGAACGACTAGGACTCTTTCGGTCCACTACAATATCCTCTCACCGGTCCCTGGAAATCTTCTCCAGGCAAACAAAATGATTCTTTGCGGATTGGGGGAAAGAGCAAATCTCGATTGAGCATGATCGGGAGTGACGGAAAAGCAAACAAGAACTAGAGAGCGATACATATGTTCTTGACTTAATGCTGGTCATCCTCGCCCAATTATCATACCGGGCCCACGCACTTGATGACAACACCAATGTCTGACTCGAGGCGCGATAGCCCAAGGAGACAAAGACAGGCGACCATCCTTAGGTCACAGCGTTGGGTCGCTACGGGGTATATGTGAGTAAAAAAACTCGATATGACCGTCGCACCTAAGTATCTATCGGCATGGCGTGTCACGTGTGTAGAAATCGGTGTTCTTTTCCCTTCTCGCCCAAGTCCAGCAGCTCTTTCTGCTTCTTCTATCGTATATGCAGGCTCCTTCAAAACTTTACAGCGTCGTTTGTGCACTTTGCCCCTCCAATGCGACTGGAGCGCGGTATCAGTCTCAAAGTATCTTTTTGATGACATGATCAAATTGACCGAGAGAATATGGTAACAGAACAACTTACTTTGCACATTCAACGCAGTAATGCTGGGCAAGGCCAGGTTTCTCGAGGTCAATGGCCTGTGCTTCAAGAGTAGCTCGATTCTATGTGAGAGTTTAGACGGTGCGCATGAGCTGAAGAGATTTTTAGTACCTTCGGGTCTAGATCAATGAGTTGAATTTGATCGAGATCTTTTGTGCGAGCCTATTGAGAGTCAATAAAGAAACAGAGACCAGAAAGCATGTGCATACCCTCGTACGGGATGCGCGATGCACGTCGCGTTGTGCATGTGTACGAGATCTCCGTACCCGACCCAAGATGTATGCAAAAACCTGTCTGACTAACAAATTCACCGAGTCTTACCAGTTGAATTCCCTTTGTAGGGTTGTCCACTTAGCACGCCGACCAGAACTTCACTTGACCTCACTCGCAAACAGCAATGGCACTCCCAACAAATGGGCGAGTGATAATCGACATAACTGCAGGAGAAATTGAAATTGAACTATGGTCAAAGGTGTGCACTGCATTCGTGGAGTATCTGACTTGGTTTGCTGAGTGCACACCCAGGAAACACCAAGAACATGCCGGAACTTCATCGCACTCGCGCTAGAAGGTTAGGAGTTGAATTTGTTCTGAAAACGAGGCGCCCAGCTCATTTGGAGGTTAGGTTATTATGATGGCGTCATCTTTCACAGGTTAGTACCTTGCTCCGAGTCAGCGTACTCGGAATGGGTCCCTAAATTTCCTTGCAGAATCGTCCCGGGTTTCTTAGTCCAAACCGGCGACAAAACAGGGACAGGTGGAGGAGGGGAGTCATTCTATGGAGCGAAACGTTGTGGTTGTCCTCTTATCCCTCATCCAAATTCCGTTGATATCGCCTCTACATCACGATGGAAGGCCTAGAGGACATCTGGAAGAGATATCCAGCTTTCAGGATAGCAGGTGCGCTTAACATTCACTTTATGCAAGAAGACGCTTTCAAGTTTGGAAGACCGACCGACCTTTATTGTCGCGGGGTGAAAAACACTGGATATCAACACGGTGAAGAAGTGGATCAAACTGTGCCATGCGAGCCATGGAGATACATGTAAAGTCTCAAGAGTAGGCGAACACGACAAGAGGAAACTGCCGGGGTTTGTGAGAGTGGTGGACATAGTATTGATGGCCGTGGTTCCTGCGCCTTCTGGTTGTCGTTACATCGCCCCCAGTTACATGTGGGGAGGCATCGGCGCAGAGTGTATTGGACGACGAAGGATAATATAGCAGAGCGCGGCACGCCTGGCGGGTTGAGCACGGAAAAGCTCCCTTATACCATCACTGATTCGATTATATTCGTTCGACAACTCGGTGAACGTTACATATGGATCTGGTCTACGGCCTCTCTTATCTCACAATAATCGGCTGCCCATCTCTCCCGTGCTCCACCTTCACATTCACTTCTGCATGCAGATTCACGATTGCCCTCTTTCACGACCAAATTCGGAACCACCCTTCTTAAGGGTCAGCAGTTGCTGTATCCTGAGCACAACGTTACTAGTGTTCATTGCAAGATTCTCACCTCCACGTCTCTTATTCCTCCTTCATCTATGTGTTTAAACAGACGCTAGTTCAGGAGAAGGCGAGAGTCATCACGCTGCGGGGCCATTGTGCTATCACCTGTCCGAGATCAGACACACTACTTCTACGTGACATTCCCCCTGCTTTCCATTCGTTCGGCTCAGGTGACTGATAATGCCATGGTTTTGAAGGAACGTTTTTCAACAAGGCCATGGCATCGCCAGTCATCTGAGCTCGCACAACCACTCTCATGTTCCCTTGGACAGATGATTCCAAAGTATCTTTTTCAGGTTCGTAGACATTCTGGTCTATGAGCTGTCTGGGCTTAGACTCACGTACTTGGGCTATCAGATAATTACATGAAGTGACACACTATCTTTCTGATCCTCCATCATCTGCTGGTCTCAGATTGGTGTTAATGATGAATGAATATATGTATGTATCTCGTTTGGCGCTTTACTCGTGCTTGGCAGGATGGGCTCCAACAGATCTTGCAAGGACGCAAATTCAACGCACAATTTGCAGTCGCATGCGCACAACGCTGCAATGGTGCAACTCCAGTATGAATGAAATGCGGTCAATGCCTCATTGGTAGTTTGACAGGTATGTGACACCTCTTGAAGTGCAAGTTTCCGAAGCCCATATTCTCTAATTCCCTGCTCCACGCTCAGCACACGTATTTTTGCCATGCCTTTTAGCTTTCTACTTGATGCAAGTGTGCGCGGGCGGATTACCGACTTCTAGTAGCGATACAACGACGAATGCCTACATAAACCCCGTCTTAAATATACTAATAACCAAAATAAATACTACGACGGATCCTCGACCAAATATCTCCTCCGTGCAGAACACTCGACAACCATTTCCTACACAGTACTGCTAGTCGGTACATGCACACGCTCCTGGAAGACGATCGAATTCATGCTAGTTTCTGCGTCGGATTCGGCCACGAGTTTAGCGTGATATTGTCGAACGCTAAGGATGAGGCGTGGTCCCAGCACAAACATCTGCACGGAAAATAAAATACTCATAGCACCATTGAGTATCTCAACTGCTACAGAATTCGAATTCTACAGAAATGATGAGCAGTGGGTACATGTAAATGTCAGTGACATGTTGGCGCACCGTGACGTCTGGAGAGATTTTAACAAGCTGGAGGCAAGAGACACCAGCAAAGCTAGCACATGCGGAACTTGAGCAGAAAACGACGAGCACATTCGCATTACAAGCTCACCTTGCAAAATAAAGGACGTGAGATTCTATCAGCACTCTGAAACAGTCCCCAATGGTCGATCCTGTCAATGGGCCGAGCCGTCGCAGGTCACGGAAGTGCTTCGCAGCGATCCAGACTGAAAGACACAGTGCGAGGACCTCCCAAACAGTGTTGAGCGTCCAGACCATTGATATCAGAAGCTGGGAATCCCCCTCGAATCCGTTATAGCACACAGGAATACCAGAGAGTATCAGTTCCTCTGGTATTTGTCCAATGAGCTGTGTTATTCAATTCAACAAGTAAAGCTCACCCGATACGAAATCATACTTGAGTCCTATGATCGTGATTACTCCGCAGGCAATGTTGACAGCTAGGAAGATGATAACAAGGAAGATAAGCATCCTCCTAGGTCTCTGATACATGGCATGCAACCGAGCAATCATGATGACTTGGATCATATTTCAGTCGAGTCAACATCACTGAGGTATCGCAACTGGGTAACTCACCTCCCAACATGGCAGTTACGATCACATTTGTTCCATTTAACGCATAGCTCATGATATTGCCTGAAACAGTCTATTAGCGGTCGCCCCCATACTAGGATCAAACGGTCCGACTCACACCTATTGAGTGATTATGTGGAGCCAAGTCCAATGGTCAAATCGCACTCACCCCTACAAATGAATGTATTCATTGGATAGTAATGAAATGATTGCGGAATACTCACTGCATCTGTCAACGAGACTAGTGGCATGATTTCTGTATGCCGCCGGTCAGAAGAATCGAACACGGTGCATATGAGACATACCCAGAACCTTGACACTGATAATGAGAGATGGGCTATCAGTACAGCAACCACTTTTTGGCCTCGATTAACATACACAGAATATGGTATTCCAGCATAGCGTATCTAGAACATTTTGGAGTCAGCACAACCGCCAACCATGCTATTGTATGACACGAGGTACGAACGACTAGGTACAGCACGGTCATGAGGGACCAGCGTTGCGTCTGTCGCAAATTCATCGTTTTTTTTCTGATATGGGACTCTGTGACTCACCCAAATGAGGTCAATCTATGACACCATTGTGAGCAAGTTGACTGCTCCGGAGATAGCATCAACCTACCTCTTGTGGGAGTGTTAATACTGGAAATATCATGAGAATACTGTAGAGATACGACACTAGGTTCGTCACAGGTCACAGCCCTTAACGAATCGAATCTATTTGGTGTGACTGTCACATGAATTTTTGGTGGGACGAAGCTAATTTGTGACATATGGGAAAAAAACATAGGTTATGCGCTAATGGGACCAGAAATCATCATACATCGAATTTGCTCTGGTCAAAAACACAACCACATGAGAGCCACTCTGAAGCAACAAACATATCAGTTTGTGATGGCATGATGGGCGCTTGAAAACGGATCATACTAGTAGACTCACCTGGCAGGCTTTAAGACCACAGAGTCTCCAATTCCACTCATTACCAGTCAGCGCTATGCGAGGCGAATCCATGACAGACTGAAGCAAGTTGCTTGAATCACGAAGCAGCATGTCAGATGGTTGCAAACGGCGTTGCGAGCGGCGAAGCACTACGATCCGCAGGCGAATCTATTTGGGTAAGGTCACAGGTCACCTGGACATTCGAACCTGTAAGACTAAGCGTGACATCGTCACGGGCTGCACGTGACGAACCTAGTGTCGTATCTCTACAGTATCAGCAAGTTCAGAGCACTGTGCTGCTCACCCCAATCGTATACCACCACGAGACCTGCGGCAACTGCAAAACCACCGTGACAAGTGGATGTTAGATAGATCGAGACATCACCAAACAATATGACAAACCAAGCCAATAGCTCTCAAAAATATCTGAACTGATTAAAGGCCACCAACTGGGATCATTTGAGATTACGGTCATATTCGAGGATGGGGAATGTTGGGAGTGTATAATAGTCTAGCGTTCATGCTAGATATACCAGCGCTCAGCGCTTGTATCGCCAAAATCGGCATGATGGTGTTGGACATTTGTCTATGCATCATACAGTCCTCGATCATTAAAATTTGATTTGTACTACCCGAATTGGAAATCGGCTTCTCACGCGACTCCGGGGCAAGTCTAAGCTTGACACTCTTCCTCCGATTACTCTTATGGAACAAGGGCCATTCGAATTGCGGTGGCAAGTTCATTAATTAAACTCCTCCATGCGGGTACATGCCAACGTTCACATCTTCCAATACCCAGAACGTTATCTAATCAGTACCCGGTCTTAATATCGAGAATACCACTCATCCGAATCAACATAATATTCTCTTTCCACCGACCCGGCCTCATCAGATTCAAATCCACATGCAAGTATCATACGTTCTGTTAGTCGGCATAGCTCCAACTCAATTTCCGATCTGATAGTCCATTGTAAGACCCGATTTAGAGACCTCTAGAGCGTCTTTTTTACAATGTCGACAGCAACACCGCCTGCGCCTTCACCTTGCAAATATTTACTTACTTTCTGCATAATCAAACCCGGGCTTATTCTCTGCCACAATCAATCCTTGCGCAAAACGAGTTTACTTGCGACGATCATAATGGTTTCATAATGTTGTCTTCATTGCGTTCTTCATTCACGCGTGCCTTGAGACTGGACAGTGTTCATTGCAAGATTCTCGCCTCCATGTCTCTTATTCTATGTATCGAAACAGAAGGCGAGAGTCATTACGCTACGGAGCCATTATGCGATCAGCTGTCTGAGCTCAGACATGCTACTTCTACTTTCTATTTCACTTGCTTTCCATTCGTTCTGTCGAGATGATTGGTAATGCCATGGTTCTGAATGAACGTGTTTCAACAAGGCCATGACATCACCAATCATCTGGCTTTGCAGAATCGCTCTCGTTTCTCCATATATTTGGTCAGACAGATGATTCCAATGTATTTATTTCGCAGGCTCGCAGACGGTCTATCAGCTGTCTAGGCTTAGACTCGCGTACTTGGCCTAGCAGATGATCACATTGATACTTCGTGTTTTAGATCACCGATCAGCTGCTGGCCCTAAAATCGGTATACATATATGTATCTCGTTCGGTGCTTTACTCGTGCTTAGTAGGATGGGCTCCAACAGATCTTGCAAAAGCGCAAATTCAACGCACGATTTGCAGTCGCATGCGCGTCACGCTACGATGGTGCGACTAAATGTGGTCGATGCCTCATTAATAGTTTGACAGATGTACTCGATGCTTTCATCTTCTTGCCATGCTTTTTAGCTTGCTACTTGGTGCAAGTCTGGATCACAGATTTTAAGCAGCGATACAACAAGAAATGGGTTTGTCTACATAAAACTCATCTAAAATATACTTTGAAACACCATAACTAGAATAAATACTACGACGTATCCTTGACCAAATGTCTCCATGCAGAACACTCGACAACCATTTCCTACACAGTACTGCTAGTTTGTACATGCACATGCTCCTGGAAGACGATCGAATTCATGCTAGTTTCTGCGTCGGATTCGGCCACGAGTTTAGCGTGATATTGTCGAACGCTAAGGATGAGGCGTGGTCCCAGCACAAACATCTGCATGGACAATAAAATTTGAATAGCACCACTGAGTATCTCAAGTGCTACAGGATTCGAATTCTACAGAGATGATGAACAATGGTTACATGCAGATGTCAGCAACAGGTCAGCGCACCTCGACTTCTGGAGAGAGATTAACAAGTTGGAGGCAAGAGACACCGGCAAAGCTAGCACATGCGGAACTTGAGCAGAAAACGATAAGCACATTCGCATTACAGGCTCACCTTGCAAAATAAAGCACGTGAGATTCCATCAGCACTCTGAAACAGTCCCCGATTGTCGATCCCGTCAATGGGCCGAGTCGTCGCAGGTCACGGAAGTGCTTCGCAGCGATCCAGATTGAAAGACACAGTGCGAGGACCTCCCAAACAGTGTTGAGCATCCAAATCATTGATAAGAGAAGCTGGGTATCCCCCTCGGATCCATCAGAGCACGTATGAATACCAGAGAGTATCACTTCCTCTGGTATTTGTCCAATGAGCCGTGTTCTTCAATTCAACAAGTAAAGCTTACCCGATACTACATCATACTTGAGTCCTATGATCGCGATTACTCCGTAGGTGATGTTTGCAGCTAGGAAGATGATAACAAGGAAGATAAGCATCTGCCTAGATCTCTGATACATGGCATGCAACCGAGCAATCATGATGACTTGAATCATATTTCAGTCGAGTCAATATCACTGAGGTATCGCAACTGGGCAACTCACCACCCAACATGGGAGTTACGACCACATTTGTCCCATCTGTTACATAGCTTGTGATATTGCCTGAAACACCCGATTAGCGGTCACCCTCGTACTAGGATCAAACGTTCCGACTCACACCTATTGAGTCATTATGTGGAGCCAAGTCCAATGATCAAATCGCACTCACCCCTACAAATGAATTTATTCATTGAATAGGAATGAAATGATTGCGGAATACTTACTGCATCTGTCAACGATACCAACGTAGTGGCTCCTGTGTGCTGCCGGTCAGAAGAATCGAACACGGTGCATATAAGACATACCCAGAATGCTAGCACTGATAATGAGAGATGGGCTATCAGTACAGCAACTACATTTTAACCTCGATTAACATACACAGAATATGGTATTCCAACATAGCGTGTCTAGAACATTTTGGAGTCAGCACAACCACCAACCATGCTATGGTATAACACGAGGTACGAACGACTAGGTACAGCACGGTCATGAGAGACCAGCGTTGCGTCTGTCACGAATTCATTGTTTTTCTTCTGATATGGGACTCTGTGACTCACCCAAATGAGGTCAATCTATGACACCATTGTGAGCAAGTTGGATGCTCCGGAGGCAATAGCATCACCTACCTCTTGTGCGAGTGTTAATACTGGAACAGTGGAAATATCATGAGGATATCAGCAATTTCATAACACTTTGCTGCTCACCCCAATCGTATACCACCACGAGGCCTGCGGCAACTGCAAAGTCACAAGTCAATATCAGATCAAGACATAACCAACTGATATGGCGAACCCGTCCAATAGCTGTAAAAAATACTTGAATTGATGAAGGGCCACCAACTGGGATCATTTGAGATTACGGTCATATTCGAGGATGGGAGATGTTAGGAGTGTATAACGGTCTAGCGTTCATGCTAGATATACCAGGATTCAGCGCTTGTATCGCCAAAATCGGCATGATAGTGATTCGGACATTTGTCTGTGCATGCTCAAAGGACTTGCAATTGGTTACACGTAGAATTTGTGCACTACCCGAATTGGAAATCGAATATTTTTTGCTTCTCACGCGACTCCAACCCCATTTTCGATCGGGGCACATTCCTCAGATTACTCTTATGGAACAAGGGCCATTCGAACTGCGGTGACAAGTTCATTAATTGACCTCCTCCATGCGGGTACATGTCAACGTTCACATCTTCCAATATCCAGAACGTTCTCTGATTGATCAGAGTACCCGCTCTTACATAATATCAAGAATACCACTCATCCAAATTAATATAATCCTCCCTTTGCGACGACCCGCCCTCATCAGATTCAAATCTACATGTAAGTATCATACGTTCTGAACCTAATTAGCTGGCATAGCTCGTTAACTCAATTCCCGATCTGATAGTCCATTGTAAAACCCGATTTAGAGACCTTTAGAGCGTCTTTTTTACAATGTCGACAGCAACGCCGCCTGCACCTTCACCCTGTAAATATTTACTTAGTTTCTGCACAATCAAACCCGGGCCCGTGAGTCTCTGCCATAATCAATTCTTGCGCAAAACGAGTTTACTTGGGACAATCATAATGGTGTCATAGTGTCGTCTTCATTGTGTTCTTGAGACTGGACAATGTTCATTGCAAGATTCTCGCCTCCACGTCTCTTATTCCTCCTTCATCTATGTGTCGAAACAGAAGGCGAGAGTCATTACACTACGGAGCCATTATGCGATCAGCCGCTGTCTGAGCTCAGACACGCTACTTCTACTTTCTATTCCACGTGCTTTCCATTCGTTCGGTCGAGATGACTGATAATTCCATGGTTCTGAATAAACATGTTTCAACAAGGCCATGACATCACCAATCATCTGGCCTCGCACAACCGCTCTCGTTTCTCCATATATTTCCTCAGACAGATGATTCCAATGTATTTCTTAGCCTCGCAGACGGTCTATCAGCTGTCTGGGCTTAGACTCACGCACTTGGGCTAGCAGATGCTCACATTGATACTTTTTGTTTTTGATCATCTATCATCTGCTGGCCCTAAAATCGGTGTCGAAGATGGTTATATGTATGTATGCATCTCGTTCAGTGCTTTACTCGTGCTTGGCAGGATGGGCTCCAACAGATCTTGCAAAAACGCAAATTCGACGCACGATTTGCAGTCGCATGTGCACCATGCTAAGATGGTGCGACTAAGTGTGGTCGATGCCTCATTAATAGTTTGACAGATGTACTCGATGCTTTCATCTTCTTGCCATGCTTTTTAGCTTGCTACTTGGTGCAAGTCTTGATCACAGATTTTCAGAAGCGATACAACAAGAAATGAGTTTGTCTACATAAAACTCGTCTAAAATATACATTGAAACACCATAACTACGACGGATCCTCGACCAAATATCTCCATGCAGAACACTCAACGACCATTCCCTAGACAGTACTGCTAGTCGGTACATGCACACGCTCCTGGAAGACAATCGAATTCACGCTAGTTTCTGCGTCGGATTCGGCCACGAGTTTAGCGTGATATTGTCGAACGCTAAGGATGAGGCGTGGTCCCAGCACAAATATCTGCACGGCCAGTAAAATTTGCATAACACCAGTGAGTATCTCAGCTGCTACAGAATTCGAATTCTACAGAAATGATGAGCAGTGGCCACATGTAGATGTCAGTGACATGTTGGCGCACCTGGACTTCTGGAGAGATAGTAACAAGCTGGAGGCAAGAGACACCGGCAAAGCTAGCACATGCGGAACTTGAGCAGAAAACGATAAGCACATTCGCATTACAAGCTCACCTTGCAAAATAAAGCACGTGAGATTCCATCAGCACTCTGAAACAGTCCCCGATGGTCGATCCCGTCAATGGGCCGAGTCGTCGCAGGTCACGGAAGTGCTTCGCAGCAATCCAGACCGAAAGACACAATGCGAGGACCTCCCAAATAGTGTTGAGCATCCAGACCATTGAGATCAGGAGCTGGGTATCCCTTTCGGATTCGTTATAGCACATATGAATACCAGAGAGTATGAGTTCCCCTGGTATTTGTCCAATGAGCTGTGTTCTTCAATTCAACAACTAAAGCTTACCCGATACTATATCATACTTGAGTCCTATGATCGTGATTACTGCGCAGGCAATGTTGACAGCTAGGAAGATGATAACAAGGAAGATAAGCATCCTCTTATATCTCTGATACATGGCATGCAACCGAGCAATCATGATGACTTGGATCATATTTCAGTCGAGTCAACATCACTGAGCTATCGCAGCTGGGTGACTCACCTCCCAACATGGCAGTTACGATCACATTTGTCCCATTTATTGCATAGTTCATGATATTGCCTGAAACAGCCGATTAGCGGTCGCCCTCATACTAGGATAAAACGCTTCGACTCACACCTATTGAGTCATTATGTGGAGCCAAGTCCGATGGTCAAATCGCACTCACCCCTACGAATGAATGTATTCATTGAATAGGAATGAAATGATCGCGGAATACTCACTGCATCTGTCAACGAGACCCACGTGATGTATTCTGTGTGCCGCCGGTCAGAAGAATCGAACACGGTACATATGAGACATACGTAGAATGATAGCACTGATAATGAGAGATGGGTTATCAGTACAGCAACTACTTTTTAGCCTCGATTAACATACACAGAATATGGTATTCCAACATAGCGTGTCTAGAACATTTTGGAGTCAGCACAACCACCAACCATGCTATGGTATAACACGAGGTACGAACGACTAGGTACAGCACGGTCACGAGAGACCAGCGTTGGGTCTGTCACAAATTCATTGTTTTTGTTCTGATATGGGACTCTGTGACTCACCCAAATGAGGTCAATCTATGACACCATTGTTAGCAAGTTGGGTGCTCCGGAGGCAATAGCATCAACGTGCCTCTTGTGCGAGTGTTAATACTGGAAATATCATGAGAATATCAGCAATTTCAGAACACTGTGCTGCTCACACCAATCGTATACCACCACGATGCCTGCGGCAACTGCAAAGTCATAAGTCAATATCAGATCAAAACGTGACCAACTGATATGGCGAACCAATCCAATAGCTGAACAAAATACTGAAATTGACGTAGGGCCACCAACTGGGATCATTTGAGACTACAGTCATATTCGAGGATGGGAGATGTTAGGAGTGTATAACGGTCTAGCGTTCATGCTATATATACCAGCATTCAGCGCTCAGCGCTTGTATCAAAATCGGCATGATGGTGATTTCCTCGATTGAAAAGTAAATTTTGATTTATACTGCCTGAATTGGAAATCTACTTCTTATTCCGAGTCACGTGATACATCAGCTATCGGTCGTTGTTGGTGTGAGCAACTTATTTCCAACACCATTTTCGGGGTATTCTTGCTGCAAGCTTGGAGTACCAGACATCGATCTGACATAGGTTCAAGGCGGTTTGCATGTGCACTCTTCCTCCGATTACTCTTATGGAACAAGGACTGCGGCATGACCTACTCCACATGTACAAACTAATTAATTTGCCTTCCTCCACGCATCCAGAACGTTCTCTAATCGGTACCCGGTTCTAGTATCAACATTACAATACCACTCATCCAAATCAATACAATCCTCTCTTTGCATCGACCCAGCCTCCATCAAATTCAAATCCACATGACTCACACGTTCCGTTAGCTGGCACTGATATATGATAGCCCAAACTCAATTTCCGATCTGATACTAGTCCATCATAAGATCCGATTTATTGTCGATAGCAACGCCGCAGACCGCCTGCACCCTCACCTTGAAATTTTTCACTTATGCCATCTGCACAATCAAACCCGAGCCTATTCTCTGCTGTAATTAATCCTTGCGTAAAATGAGTTTACTTGGGACAATGATGGTCCCATAGTGCCGTCTTTTGTTCTGCCACTGCCCCACTTTGCATTCATCATTCACACGTGTCTCAAGACTGAATCTTGACCGTCAACGTACTGGCAAGATTAACCATCTTCTTTGAATGATTGCACACGTTTTTTGTCCTCAGACAACTGGTGCATTAGTGATACGTTGTCAGGTGTGCTTGACTCCCCGCTCAGCTCATCACATCTCCTTACCATGCGCATCCGTGATAGAGTTATATACTCGAGTTATAAACCTTTCAGTTGGCCTCTTATCCCCCATCCGAATTCCGTTGCTACCGCCTCTACATCACGATGGAAGGCCTAGACAGCATCTGGAAGAGATATCCAGCTTTCAGGATAGCAGGTGCGCTTAACATTCACTTTATGCAAGAAGACGCTTTCAAGTTTGGAAGACCGACCGACCTTCATTGTCGCAGGGTGAAAAATACTGTGGATATCAACACGGTGAAGAAGTGGATCAAACTGTGCCATGCGAGCCATGGAGATACATGTAAAGTCTCAAGAATAGGCGAACACGACAAGAGGATACTGCCGGGGTTTGTGAGAGTGGTGGACATAGTATTGATGGCTGTGGTTCCTGCGCCTTCTGGTTGTCGTTACATGGCCCCCAGTTACATATGGGGAGGCATCGGCGCAGGGTATTGGACGACGAAGGATAATATAGCAGAGTGCGGCACGCCTGGCAGGTTGAGCACGAAAAGCTCCCTGATACCATCACTGATTCGATTATATTCGTTCGACAACTTGGTGAACGTTACATATGGATCGATGCTTTATGCGACGACTATACACAATATGGATCTGGTCCACGGCCTCTCTTATCTCACAATAATCGGCTGCCCATCTCTCCCGTGCTCCACCTTCACCTTCACTTCTGCATCCAGAACCACGATTGCCCTCTTTGACGACCAAATTCGGAACCACCCTTCGGGTCAGCGGTTGCTGTATCCTGAGCACAACGTTAGTGTTCATTGCAAGATTCTCACCTTCACGTACCTTCATCTATGTGTTTAAACAGACGCTAGTTCAGGAGAAGGCGAGAGTCATCACGCCGCGGAGCCATTGTGCTATCAGCTGTCCGAGCTCAGACATGCTACTTCTACTTGCCATTCCCCCTGCTTTCCATTCGTTCGGTTCAGGTGACTGATAATGCTATGGTTCTGAAGGAACGTTTTTCAACAATGCCATGACATCGCCAGTCATCTGACCTCGCACGACCACTCTCATTTCTCCATATGTTTCCTTGGACAGATGATTCCAAAGTATTTTGCAGGCTCGTAGACATTCTGGTCTATGAGACGTCTGGGCTTGGACTCATGTACTTGGGCTGCCAGATGATTACATGAAGTGATACACTGTCTTTTTGATCATCCATCATCTGCTGGCCTCAGGTCGGTGTTAATGATGAATATATGTACAGTATGTATCTCATTTGGTGCTTTACTCGTGCTTGGCAGGATGGGCTCCAACAGATCTTTCAAGGACGCAAATTCGACGCACAATTTGCAGTCGCACTGTGCGCGCAACGCTGCAATGGCATGACTCCGGTATGAATGAAATTTGGTCGATGCCTCATTGGTAGTTTGACAGGTATGTGATGCCTCTTGAATTGCGAGTTTCTGAAGCCCATATTCTCTGATTGCTCCACGCTCAGCACACATCCTGTTGCCATGCTTTTCAGCTTGCCACTTGATGTGAGTGTGCGCGGGCGGATCACCGACTTCCAATAGTAATATAACAACAAATGTCTACATAAACCCCGTCTTCAATACGCTATGAGCAAAATAAATACACGACGGATCCTCGACCAAATATCTCCTCCATGCGGAACACTCGGCAACCATATCCTACACAGTACTACTAGTTGGTACATGTACACGTTCCAGGAAGTCAATCGAATTCATGCTAGTTTCTGCGTCGGATTCGGCCACGAGTTTAGCGTGATATTGTCGAACGCTAAGGATGAGGCGTGGTCCCAGCACAAACATCTGCACGGAAAATAAAATATCCATAGCACCACCGAGTATCTCAACTGCTACAGAATTCGAATTCTACAGAAACGATGAGCAGTGGCTACATGTAGACAGTGATATGTTGGCGCACCTGGATCTCTGGGGATATATTAACAAGCTGGATGCAAGAGACACTGGCAAAGCTAGCACATGCGGAACTTGAGCAGAAAACGATAGGCACATTTGCATTACAAGCTCACCCCGCAAAATAAAGCACGTGAGATTCCACCAGCACTGTAAAACAATCCCCGATGGTCGATCCTGTCCATGGGCCGAGTCGTCGCAGTTCACGGAAGTGCTTCGCAGCGATCCAGACCGAAAGACACAGTGCGAGGACCTCCCAAACAGTGTTGAGCATCCAGACCATTGACATCAGAAGCTGAGGATCCCCATCATATCCGCCACCGCACATATGAATGCCAGAGAGTATTAACTCCTCTGGTGTTTGTCCAATGAGTTGTGTTCTTTGATTCAGCAAGTAAAACTTACCCGCTACACTATACTTGAGTCCTATTGTCGCAATTACTACGCAGGCGATGTTTACAGCTAGGAAGACAATGACAAGGAAGATAAGCATCCTCCTAGATCCCTGATACATGGCATGCAACCGAGCAATCATGATGACTTGGATCATATTTCAGTCGAGTCAACATCCCTGGGGTATTGCAGCTGGGTAACTCACCGCCCAACATGGCGGTTACGACCACATTTGTCCCATTTACTGCATAGTTCATGATATTGCCTGAAACACCTGATTAGCGGTCACCCTCGTACTAGGAGCAAACGCTCCGACTCACACCTATTGAGTGATTATGTGGAGCCAAGTCCAATGGTCAAATCGCACTCACCCCTACAAATGAATGTATTCATTGGATAGGAATGAAATGATTGCGGAATGCTCACTGCATCTGTCAACGAGATCAACGGAGTGGCTCCTGTGTGCCGCCGGTCAGAAGAATCGAACACGGTGAATATGAGACATACGCAGAATGGTAGCACTGATAATGAGAGATGGGCCATCAGTACAGCAACTATTCTTGGGCCTCGATTAAACATACACAGAATATGATATTCCAACATAGCGTATCTAGAACATTTTGGCGTCAGCACAACCACCAACCATGCTATGGTATAAATGAGGTACGGACGACTAGGTACAGCACAGTTATGAGAGACCAGCGTTGGGTCTGTCACAAATTCATTGTTTTTGTTCTGATATGGGACTATGTAACTCACCCAAATGAGGTCAATCTATGACCCATTGTTAGCAGGTTGGGTGCTCCGGCGGCAATAGGATCAACCTACCTCTTGTCCGAGTGTTGATACTGGAAATATCATGATTCATGAGAATATCAGCAATTTCAGAACAGTGCTGCTCACCCCAATCGTATACCACCATGAAGCCTGTGGCAACTGCGAAGCCACAAGTCAATATCAAATTAAGACATAATCAACTGATATGCCGAACCCGTCCAATAACTGTAAAAAATACTGGAACTGATCACCGGCCACCAGCTGGGATCATCTGAGACTACGGTCATATTCGAGGATGGGAGATGTTATAAGAGTGTCTAGCGTTCATGCTATATACCAGCATTCAGCGCTTCAAGTTGTTGGGGTCAGATGGACATGCACAGGAGTAGAAGCTGAGAAGGCATGACACAAGTAGGATATCCGAGAATAGCCGCAGGCCGCGGCAGCGGACAATATTTGTCAATGTAGCACGGAAAAGAATCAAGATTGAAACACAGACTTTCGGATCGGACACATATACAGTTGACAGTTTGATAGTAATATATATTTATTACAATAAAATCCAGTCTTTATAAGAAATATTCTACTCTGCATCTCATCTCTATTCTAATCATAATCACATGCAGATACCGTGATTCGGACGTTTGTCTAAGCATGCTCAAGCTTCAAGCTTTCAAAATTTCAAGGGAGGCCCTTGCACTGATTGGTTGGAGTACACAGGAATGAAAGAATTTTGCACCACCCGAATTGGAAATCGGCTTCTCACGCGAACTCTACCAGTGACTCATCCAAATCAATACAATCCTCTGAACCCAGCCTCCATCAAATTCAAATCCACTGACTCTGCACGTTCTGGCATAGCCCCAACTCTATTTCCGATTCAGAGCGTTGTTTTTCCTTTACAATGTCTACAGCAACGCCGCGCCCCGCCTACGCCCTCACCTTGAAAATTTCTACTTATGCCATCTGCACAATCAAAGCCGAGCCCATTCTCTGCTGTAATTAATCCTTGCGTAAAATGAGTCTACATGGGACATTAATATTTTAATGATGGTTCGATAGTGTCGTCTTTTGTTCTGTCACTGCCCCACTTTGCATTCATCATTCACACGTGTCTCGAGACCGGGTCTAGACCATCAACACACTGGCAAGATTAACCATCTTTGAATGATTGCACACGTTTTTTTGTTCTCAGACAACTGGTGCATTAGTGATGCTTTGTCGGGTGTGCTTGACTCCCCGCTCAGCTCATCATATTTCCTTGCCATGCGCATCCGTGATAGAGTTATATACTCGAGCCGTAAGCCTTCTAAACTATCATACTCCATATCGTTGAATCGTGCTTGAAGCCAGACGTTGCTGTCGAAGACATGACCTATCTGACAGTGGTCAGCGATGGGTTGGTTCAGTCAGATGATCGACTGCCAATCAGTTGATTAGTGGTGTCCAGGACATCGATACACTGTCTCTACCGTCAGCAGTCGGCGGTTGCTGTAGTATGACCACGATGGCAGTGTTCATTGCCATGCTTTTCAGCTTGCAATTTGGTGCCAGTGTGGGCGCGCGGTTCACCGACTTCAAGTAGTAGTACAACAAGAAATGGGTTTGTCTACATAAACCTCATCCTAAATATACTTTGAAACATCATAACTAGAATAAATATTACAATGGATCCTCGACCAAATATCTCGAACACTCGGCAACCATTTCCTACACAGTACTGCTAGTCAGTACATGTATGCGCTCCTGGAAGACGATCGAATTCATGCTAGTTTCTGTGTCGGATTCGGCCACGAGTTTAGCGTGATATTGTCGAACGCTAAGGATGAGGCGTGGTCCCAGCACAAACATTTGCACGGACAATAAAATATCCATAGCACCGAGTATCTCAACTCCAATGGAATTCGAATTCTACAAAAATGATGAGCAGTGGTTACAGGCAGATGTCAGCGACAGGTCAGCGCACCTCAAGCTCTGGAGAGAGAATAACAAGCTGGAGGCAAGAGACGCCAGCAAAGCTAGCACATGCGGAACTTGAGCAGAAAAAGATAAGCACATTCACATCACAAGCTCACCTTGCAAAATAAAGCACGTGAGATTCCATCAGCACTCTGAAACAATCCCCGATGATCGATCCCGTCAATGGGCCGAGTCGTCGCAGATCATGGAAGTGCTTAGCAGCGATCCAGACTGAAAGACACAGTGTGAAGACCTCCCAGACAGTGTTAAGCATCCAGACCATTGACATCAGAAGCCGAGTATCCCTATCATATCCGCCACCGCACATATGAATGCCAGAGAGTATTAGCTTCTCTGGTGTTTGTCCAATGAGCTGTGTTATTCAATTCAACAAGTAAAGCTTACCTGATACACTATGATACTTGAGTCCTATTATTGCGATTACTCCGCAGGCGATGTTTACAGCCAGGAAAACAATGACAAGAAGGATAAGCATCTTCCCAGATCCCTGGTACATGGCATGCAATCGAGCAATCATGATGACTTGCATCGTATTTCAGTCGAGTCAACATCACTGAGGTATTGCAGCTGTGTAACTCACCGCCCAACATGGCGGTTACGACCAAATTTATCACATTTATTGTGATGTACATGATATTGCCTGAAACACCCGATTAATGATCACCCTCGTACTAGGATTAAACGCTCTGACTTACACCTTATTGAGTCATTATGTTGAACTAAGTTCGAAGTTGAGAATCTTACTCACCCCTACAAATGAGTACATTCATTGGATGGAAATGAAATGGTTGCGGAATACTCACTGCATCTGTCAGCGAGACAATTGTCATATTTCCTGTGTGCCGCCGATCAGGGGAATGTAACACGGTGCATATGAGACATACCCAGAGCATTGACACTGATAATGAGAGACAAGTTATTAGTACAGCACCAGCTTGTTGCTCTTGTTAACATACACAAAATATGATATTCCAACATAACGTATCTAGATCATTTTGGAGTCAGCACGACTGCCAATCATGCTATAGGATAACATGAGGTACGAACAACCAGGTACAGCACAGTCATAAGAGACCAGCGTTGGGTCTGTCACGAATTCATCGTTTTTCTTCTGATATGGGAATCTGTGACTCACCCAGATCAGTTCAATCTATGACACCATTGTTAGCGAGTTAGCTGCGCAGGCGATATCACCGACCTACCTCTTCTCCGAGTGTTAGTACTGTCAATATCATGAGAATATCGGCAGTTTTCGAACAGTGTCCTGCTCACCCCAATCGTATACCACCACGAGGCCTGCAGCAACTGCAAAAGCCACAAGTTGATGTTAGATTGAGACACCACCAAACGATATGACGAACCCATCCAATAGCTGAGAAAAAGATACGAACTGATGAACGGCCACCAACTAGGATCATTCGAGACTACAGTCATATTTGAGAGTTGAGTTTGAACGAGTGGAGGATGTTGGCCCTTGGGTTATAACAATTTAGTGTTCGTGCTAGATATACTACCGTTCGGCGCTTCAAGTGAAGGCAGTATCATCAAAATAGGCACGATGACGATGGTCATTTGTTCTTACTTGAGGCCCTTGATCACATTCTACCTGTGACACCCACGTAGCCCAGGTTGGTGTACCAGGTTGCCTGGGCAGCAGCAGACAGCTGGTTCCAGGTTCGAGCAAGGACGCTTAACAGCTTACTTGGCTGATGCGGTTGTATTAATTTATGCTGTCCAAGAGACCCATGAGTGATTTGAATGAATGAACCCTCGACGAGGACACAAGGTTACTAGAGTCTACGCTTGTTGATTATGTAAACAAAAGATGGATATAATTGGAATAGGACCCTAACGCCACAGGGGCTCCGGATGATCGAGACTTCCGTGATACTGAAACGGGTCGGAACGAATGACGTCATAGTGATTCCGTTCCGCACATCCGCAATTATATTGGCATCAACATCGTATAAAATGAAACTTGGCAAGCTGGTTATTTCCTTGTCACTGCTCACTCGAAATCTTCATTGCACATCGACTCACTCTTGCAACAACAAGCCTTCTTCTACAAATCTCACCTCCCAAGTCAACAATGAATCAAGTTCTCAACATCACCATAAAATTTATGGATTTCCCTGCCGAATTACTGTTGGATATTCTTGGTCACCTAGACATATACGATCTAGTCAGAGCACGCAAAGTACGCAAATTTTTTTTTGCCCAAATCGCTACTAATGCAGAATCTCCAGGTATGCAGTGATATTCGACAACTCATTGACTCTTCCTCGGAACTTCAATACTTGATTGATATTCGATACTTCAATGCGATTCCAGCATCGTTGCCTGTCGGCGACATCTCCGTTCCAACACGTCGCCAATTGCTTCAAAAAAGCGAAACTGCGTGGCAGAGAGCCGAATACTCTCAAAGAAATTCCATTCCGATGTCTTACTCTCCCGACAACTACCGTTGGTCGTGCGGCATTCTTGGAATCCCAGCGAAATCTCTCCAACAACTCAAGTTCGTCCAGCCCTCACTATCAGATGGCGACACCCACACCATCGACCTGCAACAACGCATCTGCAAAATCGACAGCACAGCATTCGAGGGTTACAGTTTTTCGCCCGCACAGGATCTTGTGGCTATCCTTTCCAGAACAACCCGTGGGTGAGTGTCTTCTTGCACATGACCATGGGCTATATTGACGGCAACAGAGAGAGTCATGCATATGACGTCACTTTCAGATCATTGTCTGAGGACAAACCCCATCCTGATGCCGGATCCCCCCTCGTGAAAGCACTGGACAATCAAATCCATCCACAGCTCTTCGACTCCCCCTACACGCAATCTATGATCTTCGGAGACTATTATGGCTTGTTCTGCAAATTTGCTCACAAAGCAGACGGTGAACTGGTCGATTTTTTGCAAATTTGGAACTGGAAGTCCAAGGAAGCTTCTCAGGTGAGTCAAAGTCCCCTGTTTTGCTATGACTTACGACCAACTTGGATTTTCAGTGCCTCCAAATGTTTGACACGGATTGCGGGACGACGAATTTCAGTTTTCTAACGAACGATAGATTCCTCGTCGCCAGCGCGAGGGAACTAAGGTTGTTCTCCCTCGACACTATCGATTCGGTCAATGCAATCCGGCTCGTTGCCAGATTCTCCTTCCCTGCATTGAAGGACCCCTTCATCTTTCACTTCATCACCTTCAGTCCTATTCCATTCCATGCCAGCGCTCATAATCAACTCATCGCTATCAATATGTGCATGTCGGCGCCCACGACCAACAAATCCCCGTATTTCACCTTCTATATCGAGCGGAACACCCTCTTGGAGCTCGAATCCACCTACATCAGCCGTTATGGAGAAGCCAGCCAGGATTCTCCTAGTCTGCCTTGGTCCGCCTGGGGCCCAAAGTACACCCGATTTTTCGAGAACTCCTACAGCTCCTGCATACACCGCATTTTCGGATTCCGTAGTGCCGATTTGATTGGCGACCTCGTCTCTCATGATGGGGTGTTTCAGCCGCGACCATTGCGCATTCGCGACTTTAACCCTCATAGGGTGACGGACTTCAAGGCTGGGAACATCACTACATCGAATCAACGACTTGTCGAAGGGGAATCACCAAATTCGACCCTTTTCTTGGATCCACTGGGACCTGGTCTCCCGTATATCGAGACGATTTCTCAGGAAAAGTTCCTTGCGAATGATATGACCATGGAAGCAAACAGGATAACGTTGTTATCCCTCAAAGTCGTGAGTCATCATCAGATCCTGATTGTGGACATGACACTTATGAAACGCAGGGAAATAGTATGTATGACATTTCACAGAGCATCGAAATGCTTGATTTCGAATAATCATTTACTACACCGAAACTGTTCAAGATACTTCAGTATTTCAATATATTTGATTGATTCATACTCAATGGACTCTGTGAGATGCGCATTGTGTTGCTATCACATTAACATTCTCTCCTCATCCTAGTCCTCGCAGACTGTTTCAACATTGAACAGTTTGACACGTGCTTTACTAATCGTCAAGTACGTGTTTTTGGTTACTCCAACTGGTACTTATACGCAGATGAGGAGTGTACCAAAGGGAGTCAAGGAACGGTGCCTTGTGGCATGTTTGTCATCTGGCACCGCCGCGGCCGCTCATGGTAACGTTATCCGGCCATAAATGCATTGCCTCACACTGCCTAGTACTTGCACTTCCAAGGAGCCAAGTTTAAACCAGAATTCTCGTGGTGCATTTCGGAAGTTGTTCGCGCTCTCAGAGTACTTGTATGGTTCATCCCAGCTTTAGTGCAACTCAACCACGTGAGTGTCCTTTACCATTTATGTTTACCATTTAACTGACTCTCGGCCCAGGTTACCATGGCAGTATAACCAGAAGTCCTATTCTCAGTCCGGTCTCCGCATATAGTTTGGCCATTGCTGGAATTATTGGAGGGGTTGCTCTTGGAGTTTGGGTTCTTTGGTTCGTCCGCACGTACAAACTCAAGTCAAACGTCGCACTCGATGAATATTCCCCTCTCCTACGAACTGACCTCCAGGTGAGGAATTTGTTGCCATTCACGCTTACCCAGCGTCACAGGACTGATCCAAGAGGGTGAACAGAGGGATCATGCCACCACGTCAGACAACGAGGCATTACTCTGTTCCATCTGTGCAAATCTAGATTTCTATCAGATCTTCCTCAATGGCATCCCAGAGACGGAGGACATCCCGCTCGATAATCTCTCGTCCATCTTACGAAAATCCTATCAATGCAATTTCTGCCGCCTCATATCCTTTCATGTCCGTCGAATGTGGATGCTGGACCAGTTTCCTCCCATCGATATCTCAGGGATCGAATGTCGGATGTTCACGAAAGGTTGTGGTTGTCTCCAGTTAGCCTCTTATCCCCCTTCTAAATTCCGTTGCTACCGCCTCTACGTCACGATGGAAGGCATAGAGGACATTTGGAAGAGATACCCAGCTTTAGGATAGCAGGTGCGCTCAACATTCACCTTATGCAAGAAGACACTTTCAAGTTTGGAAGACCGACCGACCTTCATTGTCGCAGGGTGAAAAACACCGTGGATATCAACATGGTGAAGAAGTGGATCAAATTGTGCCATGCGAGCCATGGTGATATATGTAAAAGTCTTTCAAGAATAGGCGAACACGACAAGAGGAAATTGCCAGGGTTTGTGAGAGTGGTGGACGTAGTATTGATGGCCGTGGTTCCCGCGCCTTCTGGTTGTTGTTACGTCGCCCTCAGTTACATATGGGGAGGCATCGGCGCAGAGTATTGGACGACGAAGGACAAGCTAGCAGAGCGCGGCAAGCCTGGCGGGTTGAGCACGGCAAAGCTCCCTGATACCATCACTGATTCGATTCTATTCGTTCGACAACTTGGTGAACGTTACATATGGATCGATGCTTTATGCATTATTCAAGACGACTCGCAGGACAAGTTCGCTCAGATCCACGATATGGATCTGGTGTATGGTCTTTCTTATCTCACAATAATCGCTGCCGGTGGCACTACGGCTCAAGACCCTCTCCCAGGGTGCCGCCCACAAACTAGAACGCCACAGCATATCGAAGTCATTCAAGGACTTCATCTCTATGCGGCACCTCCAAGACTTAAGGAGGCTCTTGCTTTGTCCGCATGGAACACACGTTGTTGGACCTATCAAGAATGTGCGCTTTCCCGTCGAAGAATATACTTTACTGGGCATCAAGTCTACTTCGAGTGCCAGTTCGATGTCTTATGTGAAGATGTCATTGCTGAAAGCAAGTGTGACTCCACCAATTTCCTCAAGGATTCACGAGCAGAATACTTCCCTCAGTCTTTGGATCCCCTTCGCGAGTTACATGATGGCCGTGAAACAGTGTGCACGGCGCAATCTAACCGTGGAATCGGACATTATTGATGCTCTCACCGGAGTGACAAATGCTTTAGCAAAAGCTTTTGGGCTCGGTGACCCAGACAGAGCTTTTCGCTATGGAATTATGTTGACGGACCTACATCATGCGCTTCTCTGGCAACACAATCCACACACACCTCGTACTCGTCGTTCGCTCCCTGATGGATGCAGTTTACCCTGGCCTTCTTGGGCATGGGCTACGTGGTGTGGTGCTGTTGACTACATGTCGGAGCATCGGTATTTGGTGACCTATCCTGAGGATGCATGGCTCGTGGACTACTTCGCCAAGCCTTCGGTGGTAGAAATGTTTGTTGATCCATGGTACATCGTGGACCGCAGTGGCATTATACTGCAGCTTGATGTACGCAGGGGTTCTCGCCGGGTCGTTTTGATTCGCGAGACAGAGGGAGAGGGATCAACGTATTCTTCTCCGGGAGGGATAATAGACCCGACGAGAATAACCCCAGGACATTCATCGAGCGCTCGACCCAGGCACTCTCATTTTCCGCACGACTTCTAGCCACTTTGCCATTGCAGCGGCGACGTGGTGAAGAATCCCATCCATCTATTCATCACTGGTCTTTTCGACATTCTCTCCGCCTCCTCGCCTCCCACTTGGGTAGGTACTGCTGTCCTCCCATTAGACGTTGCCTTGCCGACTTCCCTCGAATTCATCGTCCTTTCCCATACCGGTATACTCGGCGCGTACGACGAAGAGAGGATTGAGTATTACCAAGAATGCCTGCCTACATGTGATGGCGGTTAGTCGGAATGGGAATTTGATGGAACGTGTTGGGTTGGGCGTCATTCATGAGGCAGCCTGGATTGCTTCTGGAGCAGAAGAGAAGATAGTGTTTCTTCGATAATGGTCGGCGGTGATAGCTATTTGAATGACCTTCAGTTGTTCTTCGGGAGGTCCCGGCTTGTTGACGAATCTATTGTATAGTCGACGCGACTTTAGCCTGAAGGGTATGCGTGACAAGGCAGGGAACTGAGTTACACGATCCATACTGTCTGACGATGCAGGAAATCTAGACATGACAATGTTGTGGACGGGTCAATAATACCCTCGCTTCTCTTCCAAGTCGGACTCACCGCCTCATCACCGCTTTCACCTTCTTTACAAGCTAGCAGATTTGGTCCTACCTCGTCGCAAACTTGCATGCCAAACGAAGTGTATCTTAGAGATACCGAAAGGTCTCAATGGACTAACGTTTAACGATGGTGTGGGGTGGTCCGCGGATACAGGGAACGTGCCAAGCCTCGAGGCCTCGGCCGCCGGGTAGAGGCTTCGCTGTTCCCAACCTGTAGCTAGAGATGCGGACTCCGCCCGCAGTACAGTATTTGTCAAAGTTTTCAAACACGATGAATTGATTCATAACAGCTGTTGAATTTGTGTGCTGTAATAGATAAACTAGTATTTACTGTGAACGTATGTCGGCGGTCTTTCTGCCCCGTAACTTTGGAAATGATCAAGGAGGTTTTGCGCAAAACCTCTTGCTTGGTGTACTCTCCGCCGCAGCGAAAGCCACGTCGCGATGCGTAATATAGGGTCGCAATCACTGCCCATATGCTGACTGCCACGATTCGCGTCTGACCAAAAATGTAGAACCTATGATTCCAGCCCAAGAATGATGATGAATGTATCTAAAAAAATTAAATGCAAGTCCTAATGGGGGGTATAAACAAAAGCCATATGCTAAAACAATCAGGGTCGTGGACGGGGGGTAAACTTCATGAGGCATCCGTCTTTAGGGAACAAAGTTGCAATGATTCTGCAAAACTTGTTAGCGCGCAATTAACGCGGGCGCGTCATGATACTCACTGGACCTGATCGCTTTCGGGTAGTAATATGGTGTTCCCAGTCCATCAACACGCTCGCGGTGGCAAGAACTAGTCCGATGTTCATCGTCGCGTACTCTATACCAACGCATTTGTGGGGTCCGCTACCAAAGACCAAGTAGTTCCTCGGGTTCGTGTTAGCGGAGCTGTTGGGATCCAGCCAACGGTCAGGGATGAGCTTATCGTGCTCGGGGAAAACAGAGGGATCATGCAGGGAGTTGTAGAATGAGGGTATCACCATGCTATTTGCGGGAACAGTATAATCATTAGAGATAGGGAAAGCCTTTGTCGTCCTGTAAGGAACCTAAGTGAAGATGTTTCAGTAAGACGTCGTCAAGTTCACACGAAGCACAAACCATGGTTACGGGAGGCTTGACACGCATGCTCTCCTTGACAAACGCCTTCAGGTATGGCATTTGCTCGAGCATTTCAAGGGTGATTGGTTTGTCAACATCTCCAGCACGAACACGGTACCGTTCTTCCCTGATTTTGGCCAAAATGTCGGGATTATCTGCCAAGTGCTGGAACCCGTAAATCAACCCACTACTCATAGCATCCTGCGACGCAAACAAGAATGAGAACACAACCATAGCCATCTCGCGGTCGCTGAAATCCTTACGGCCCTTGTATCCTGGGGCCTCCAACTCCTTGACCCATTCGTCCAACATGCATTCAGGCTCGCAGCCGTTGGCGACGGAGGTTTTGGCCTTGGATGCAGCAAGCTCCAACCACTTGATGGCAACCTTGCGGGCTTGTATGGCTCTGTATACTTTTGTACCAGGGACGGCCAAAGGGAAGTTGACGAGTGCGAGGGCTTGCGTGATGTCCCAGTATTTCTCGCTTATCTCAATAGCGCCATGCTCGGGAAAAACCCGGGCTGATTTCCTGCCACAATCAGTCCTTGCGCAAAACCAGTTTACTTGCGACGATCATAATGGTCTCATAGTGTCGTCTTCATTGCGTTCTTCATTCACGCATGCCTTGAGACTGGACAGTGTTCATGGCAAGATTCTCGCCTCCACATCTATTATTCTATGCATCAGTAAAACCTCACTTTTATTTTCTGCTATTATCTCACTTTACCCGCCTTGGCGCCAGCGCTAAGGCGCGAAAATGAATATAAGGAGTGTTAATTGGGTGTCCTGAATTTTCTCAAAGGCGCCACAGAGTGGCTAAGTGAAATTGTCGGTGCAAAGGGAAATAAGGCACGTTCAGAACGAAAATAGTAGTATATAGTCAAATTGTGTTTAAGTAGCTACACGCTAGTATCCAAAACAAAGTGAAGTCAAAATGCAATCTCGAATGCGTGGTGATCAGCATATTTGTTCACATAGTAGGCTTGAAATGCGTCATATGCATCAGGAAAACCCCAACTTACTTAATCTTGCTTAATCAACTTAGCCACATTTGTTTCCTCTCTCATGCATCATCTACCTAGTAAATTTTGTATTTTTTTAGTGTAACCTGTAACAAAATATGTATGCTAATATGACTGAACAACTTTTTCCCGAATATGTCAAATTTGAATTTCTAGCAAAGTAGGCTAAGTCACTAAGTACAACTTAAGTCTGTTTAAGGCAAGTTTAAGTAAGTTGGGGTTTTCCTGATGCTGAATGATAAAAATTGAGCTCCCGGGGCACAAATTGCACGCCATACATGGGAATAAGATGCGCAGCACGATAAATAGAGTCAATATGAATGACCACGTACCCTGGAGCACTGTCTGCTCCAAATCCAGGACGAACTATCCACATTCCTGTATCTTCATCTGGGGCGTCGCCAACTTTGTTGAACCAGCTTATTAGAGCGCAGGGATATAACCTGCCCCGGTACCTGAATGAGAAAAATGCACGAACACGGGCGACTTCGAGGCCTTGCATGCCAGGCAAACTGGAGTCTGTGTTGACGAAAACACAGTCATGGCGCTGGTACTCATTCTGCCAGATGGGGCAAGAACGAATGTGTTCAACACGCATACCACCGATCCTGCTCAAATCACTCGGCGCATAGAATCGTGATGATGCGGAATTGAAGACCGAGATTTTGCTAAGATAGAGGGGACATTCGGCGAGGGGTATATTAGATGGGTCGCGAGGATCTTTAGGATGCAACTGTTGGAATAAGAAGCGTCTGAGGAGGTCAGGTAGACTAGGAATATTGAGTTCTTCGGCAAGTGCAGGAATAGTTTGAGCACGTTTTTTGCCCTCTGTACATAGTTTATTAGGACATTCAAAAGGAAGAAAAAGAAGTCTTACGGCATGTTTTCGCCAGCTGGACATAAGCTTGTAGAACCGTCAGACCATCATCAATTTCCAGGTCCTCATCGATGCCGATCAGCAGAGGTGCTGGTGCTGGTGCTGGTGCTGGTGCTGGTGCTGGCACATTTTCATCAAGTTCATTGATCTGCTGTGCGGGTACTATTGTGCACATTAGTATATAGGATATCTCACGAACTGTTTACCCACCCAAGGCGTCCATAGTTACTGAGAGGCAAGTACCAGTTAACATTCCCCGATGTGTGAAGTCAGCTCGTGCTGCGGAAAGTTTGTCGAGCCATTGGTTGGTCACAAGTATTTGACCAAGTGCATTATAACGGCTGGATCGTCTCCATGGCTCCTTGACCGCTTTGATGTGCTTGTTTTCAGTAATCGATGAGCAGAGGCCGTTTGGTGCAGCAAACAATCGTATGTTTTGGACATAGTGCTTGAGTGAATGTTGACGAGGTAGGGGAAAGGTAGGAACCACTCCTGTCGTCCTGAAGATGTTACGGTAATGGTGAAAGTGTGAGAGAGCGTCTTCGATTTCGACTAGAGTGTCTTCTGTGATTATGTTACGACGGACTAGGTAACAAAATTCGAGAAGTGCACAAAAGGTGCGCACGACATCTACGGGTACATGCCCCTCGATGGCAGGCAAGTAGACCTGAAGAATTAATAAGTTCTGCGACCATAGCATGACTAAATTGATGAATTACCTTCATCAGGGCCTTCGAATCATCTCCTGTCCATTGCTTGAAGCCACGTCCCTGAGGAAATCGTCGCAAGCCTGAAAATGAGGCGACAGCGGCAATTCTAAGACAATGAGTAATGTTATGTAGTCTAAATGCGGTCAAGCTTACCTGCAATCAATATCATCCATAATTTGATCTGCCTTTCGTTTCGTATGCGTGTGTCTGAGGTATTTCTCGACCCATTCGACGAGGTGGTCCTTGAATGCTCCTTTGACGAGTTGATGGAGAATATCCGGTGAGATCATCTGATGGATGTCAGCTCTGGGGAAGTCGTTTGTAAATGCCTGTTAAAATAAGATCATTAAGAACGGTGCTGCAAGGAGTGCGCTGATTCACATACTACAAGTTCCCCGACTATTCCAAAGTCATCCCACAGGTCACCTAAGGAACCTTCTTGAACGAGTGCTTCTGTGTATTCGCGACAACGACGTAATGCATCTTTGTCGAGATCCTCGCGAGATGCCATACATCTGCAAAAAAAATTGTAACTTATACAAAGATACATACTAGATGACAAAAACGTACTTAGGGCACCAACCACGCACGATACATGCTAACAGCGCTTGCTCCTCATAATCTGCTATGTATGGCCCTAGTCCGTATATAACCCGACGGTAGTGACCGTCTCCAAAATGAGTGACTTCGGGGGTTGTCATGTCTGGTTTCAGCGTGTTGAGAATCTTGGAGAGTGACGAATGGAACAGCTGTCGATGGAATTTTTGGAACACTGCCTCGGTAGCATGTTCCTTTGTAGCTGTAAAAATCAGTTAGTCATTATCGTAGAAGCCCGCACCACGACGCACTTTTCGGCATAGCAAGGAAGCCAATGACTGCTACTCCATCACGATGGGCTCATCGAACATTGTTGTGAATGTTCCCAATTGAGGCGTATAGCGGATAATACTCATTATTACCTGTCCCGACTGAAACTGTCGTTTTGTCACTGCCAAGGATGACAGGGACAAACGTAGAGCCGAGCGTGCTCGGGTCCTTAGCTATTTCATCCTACATACAGAATTAGCAGTCATTACCGGATGAAGACTGCACTTACTGCCTGATCCCATGCCCAGTCACCAGACATAAAATCCTTCCACTGGCGCTTGTCGCCCTCGGTTAAATATTCTCGATAGGGGCAGTAGTCTACTTCACTGGCGTATGTTGGATTTGCAAGCATATTGTGCACGACTTCACGTGGGTCATGAAACTAGACTTCGTATTTGTCGTCCATCCACGGCTTGGTACCATCTTCAGGTCTCTCACCATCGTAAGTTACTGTAAAATTTTGCCAATTCACGTCCCCAAATGGTGAATTATCGATGATGTCATACAGATCACAATGATCTGCGAATGGCGGCTTGTCGCCATGTTTCGCAAGGGTAGACGCCCATAAATCCAGCAACCGGTTGATTTGACCTGCCGGCATCTGATTTTGCGTATACAGGAACTCTGCCATTTCGAATTCTGTACGATTGCAAAAGGGTGTCCAGTCGCCAGTTGCTACGTTCTCCAAAGGTGGGGGCGGAGTGCCAGGGAGGAGGAATATACCATCCGCATTGCATGGTCTGGCTGTAATCACATTCAGCCACAGTGACAGAATCATGCGAATGAACTTACCATTGAGACCCGTATGATAGTTTTGATACAGGTGATCCCCAGGCCCAATGAATTCCGTATCAACGTTTGATTGAGGCGATGATTGATGTTGGTGCTCCAAGTCGGCATATCCTTCATCCACATCCATGTCGATATCGTGGTCGACATGAGGCTGTGGGCTTGGCAGACGGGGCTCTGGTATGATGGGTTCCGGAGAGCGTTGGTGGTTGTCCTGAGGTAGTACTGGTGGGATGGGATGTGCTGAAATGCGATGTTTTGTTCGCCCGGCGATAGTTTTGAACCACCTTGGACAACTTCTACATGGTAGTTGGAGCGAACTATGGTCGCAACGGCGTAGTTGACTCCGTGGAATGTTATCGGGCATTGCAGCAATACTAGACTAGAATGATGTTCAGTTCTGGCGATTTGTACATTGAAAGGTGGAAAACTCACCAATCAGAGATCTGCGTGTTGAAAGGCGGAAGGATTACCAGTATTAGCTCTGGTGCTTCGCACACCGGAAGGACTGCCAGTATTAGTTCTGGCGGTTCACGCGTTGAAAGGTGAAGGATTGTCAGTACTAGTAGCTCTGGCACATTGAAAAGAGGAAAAATCACCAATAGGAAATCTGTGTGTTCAAAGGTGGAAGGATTGCCTATGTTAGCTTGGAAATCTGCGCGTTGAAAGGTGAGAGCTCTAGCAAACAGCAAAGTTGAAAAGAAAGACGGCAAACTTACGTCAATTAAGGACAATTCAGTACACATGCGGACCCAGTTGCAAAGGATGCTGTAAATGACTAGACTGACGAATTGAACCTTTAAAGTTTCGGGTTGATTTAAGTAAGGAACTTACAAATTTGCAGTCAAACTTCAACTACACATTGTCCTTGACATTTTTTTCACCCATCTCAAGCTTGCCGCAGCACTCATTTAATCTGCTACTTGTCAGCAATTATGTCCGATATCACTGAGGGAATCCGCACTCGCCGAGACAATAAGTTCAAACACCCGGGCTTGCCAGACCTGCCAGTGCAAGGACGGGTTCCGCGACATAGCAAGGCCCAGAAAGCAGAGGACGACAAAATCCTTGAGGAAGCCCGCCAAGCTCAAGAGCGGGCTGCAGTCGAGGGGCTGCAGTGGCTTGCTGCAATGCAGATGGAGATGGAGGAGGCAGAGGAACAAGGTGTGGCGACTAAACCAAAGCCAGTCAAACCCCGTGCTCGCCCTGTCAAGAAAAAAGTAGTGCCTGCCAAACCAGTAAGAAGCTCCTGGCAGCAGGAAGCGCTGGTGTTACTAGTATCATGAATACTGACTCATCCAAGGCTGGTACCGGCGTTGAGGACCAAGAAGAAAGCAGCCAGGACACCAACATTGAGGACGGAACAAAGAAGAAGAACCAGAGGGCTGTCAAAACGTCTCTGAAGGATGCAATCAACAATGCACGAGGCTCACTCACAGGAAAGGTTGAGTTAATTCAGGGGCCACGTGTTGGCGACAAGAAAGGAAAGTCTTCTACCGCGACGTGTGTCTTTTTGTTCCGATCAAAACCACGATGTTGATGCTGACTGAATCGACTCTTTTTTTTCTTAACTTGACCTCAAAATTCAGGACCAACCCCAAGTTTTCATTGATAAAGCGCGTTGATGGTTGGATTTCTGATATTTCACCAGACGCAACTGAACTACTCAAAACTTCCAGCGCTTCTAAGACTCGTACCACTGCCTCAGCTTTGTCATTGGCACATGGGCCACCAAGCAGTGCTTTATCCAGTTCCTGCACTACATCAGTTTTGGCCATAACTACCAAGTCCTCCATATCTAAGGCCCCCCCCTGCTCTAGCTAATGCATCTGATGCTCCCAAGGCTCTTGTTGGCGGCTTTGATGACGAGTCGGATGATTCTCAGGAACGTTTGGATGCCTTCATTCAAAAGACGAAGGGGAAGCAGTCTTCACTTAGGGTGCGTACTAGATGTTTTGTAATAAATTCTAATTCTAATGCACAAAGCCAATTATATAGAATACCTCAGATGCAATGCCTGAGGATGCGCTGTCTTCAACAGAGGACTTACAGGATATTGATATCGACGCACCGATGGACCTGGACAATGCATTGGTGGACCTGGAGGACAATTTGTTTGAGGGCAAAGATGCCAGGATGTCCAAGGCGGTGGACAGTGACAGCAGCCTAAGCGATGGAATCTTGTTCCGTCGGAGTAAGAAGCGCAAGCTTGCAGACACCAAATCCTCCACCCTCATCTTGGAGAGTACCCCCTACGAGGATACATCAGATGTTGAGGTTATTGATGTCCCTTCAGGCCCTGTCGCAATGGCCAATACAATGAAGACGGCTGTGCGTTTGACCTCTTCGGTAAGCTTATTTTATTGATGATTATCACAACTTATATTCTCTGACAGACTGCCATCGCCATCTCCCAGTCGGCCACCACAAAGATGCAACCACCTGCAAAGAAGGTGAAAATTGAAGAGGACGTTGATGCCAGCACCGCGCAACTAACACTCACAGCCCCACCTGGCTATTGGATCGAGAAGCAATACAAGACGCGCTCGAGCTACCGAAACTATCATCTCCCTCCTCATTGCCAAGATCAACGGTGGCCGAAGCAGTTCCTCCCAACACTTTACCTGTGGGCCGGGAGTCAAAATGACCTCTGGCAATTCTTAGACACTCCTCTGGTCGAGGACACTCCAATCCATTTATGATGTCGTGTATTCAGAAGAATCAGATCTTGATTACAAGGTGACCGCTCAAGGGTCTGTCTTTGGCGTTGTAAGTCGCATTTTTTTTCTGTCACTATTACTAACGGTTACAATCTCAATCAGGCCACCCAACGTCTCGCAGAGTGGCGCAGCAATTTTGGATCAACGGGACTGGCTATTATGATGGATTTTTTCACTAGGAATGCTGACACTGATCCAGAAACACTTGCTGACGCGCTTCTGGAGGACTTCGTTTTCATTTATGAGGACATGGAAAACCTAGACCCAATGCAAGCCTTCCGGTCTCCATTCATGTTGCAGCTCTTCACAACCGCTCATCTTCACGCCATTCTTGGGCATGTTGAAGTCCCCGCACTTAAAACATATGTGCTGTCCGTCGTCGGGATGACTGGTGTTATTGGCATTTGTGCAGCTTCAGTAAGTACTCTGTACATTCAAGTAACATTACTGATAATTCTACAGCTCGAGCGCGCCATCAAACGTCTCTGTGTCAATGCCATTGACATTGATGTGGACACCCTAGATCTGGGTCCCGCACAAATGAAGCGCAAGCTGCGGACACTGAAGACCTTCAACAAGGCCACCGGCAAGGATAGCACTACCGAGAATGCCTTCTCCATCAACAACTGGGGATCAGTAACTGCGTCATACGTGGTTGCTATCAAGGCGAAAGGAGACGACTACATGAGGACCACAACATTAACAGCTCGGAAATTGCTGAAGAAATGGGGCAGTGTCGGCCTCCAGAAGTACTTTCGCACTGATGATGACGGCTCAGAGGCCGTTGACATCTGCGCCATCCTGTGGTAACGAAGATTGATTCTTTTTTTCCTTTATTGACGAGCTGATATCATTCTATAGATGTCATTTCTGCACTGCTCACTGCAAGTTTCCAATTGTGCGGCACCCGTCTTCAAACCATTGCATTTTGCCTATCCCACCATCGCTCCGGTTTGCTCGTTTTGTTTTTCATTATCCGCATTTCATATCCTTTAATCTCCTTTTCTTTCGTTTTACATTCATTTTCACTCTTACAATCACTGCCCTTTCTTCCTATTTTGACCACTTTTTCACACTTCACGTCGCCATTTACTCCATTTTAACCAATGTTTTGTACTTTGTATTGGACAATGTGACGCCGTTTGCACTATTATTACTGCTTTTTTTGTCGGTCAATGCCTAGTAAGTGACTTTTAAGAGCAATAAAGTAGAATTCAGAGGGCGAGTGGCCTTTTTCTCAAATTTTCCGCCGTCTCTTTCATGTCACCCCAATGGCTCCTCAAACCCGGTTAAAGTGAGAAAATAAGGATAAATTAGGATTCATCACCAAAATAAAAGTGAGGTTTTACTGATGTGTGTCGAAACAGAAGGCGAGATTCATTATGCTGTGGAGCCATTGTGCGATCAGCTATCTAAGCTCAGACATGCTACTTCTACTTTCTATATTCCACTTGCTTTCCATTCGTTCGGTCGAGATGATTGACAATGCCATGGTTCTGAATAAACGTGTTTCAACAAGGCCATGACATCACCAATATTCATCTGGCTTTGCAGAATCGCTCTCGTTTCTCCATATATTTCGTCAGACAGATGATTCCAATGTATTTATTTCGCAGGCTCGCAGACAGTCTATCAGCTGTCTAGGCTTAGACTCGCATACTTGGGCTAGCAAATGCATCACATTGATTTTTGATCATCCATCATCTGCTGGCCCTAAAATCGGTGTCGAAGTATGTATGTATGTATCTTGTTCGGTGCTTTACTCGTGCTTATTAGGATGGGCTCCAACAGATCTTGCAAAAACACAAATTCAATGCATGATTTGCAGTCGCATGCGCTTCACGCTATGATGGTGCGATTGAATGTGGCCAATGCCTCATTAATAGTTTGACAGATGTACTCGATTAGTGATGTTCTGGCCCGGCTTGGGCTCAAAGCCCCAGCTTAGGCTCGGCTTGGGGGGGCTTAGGCTCACCAGATTTCAAGCCTGAGCCGTGAGCCCAAGCCGGCCCAAAGCCGGGGCTTAGGCCCATGCAAGCCGTGGCCCACATGCTGAATCAATGTCCGAGCTCCACCATGCCATTCCCAACACCATGAACACCATGCGCAAACGCCCAGCACACGTCAGCAACTGCTGACGTGGCTCAGACAAATACGGACGGGATCAGGAGAAGGGAGGACAAGGAGAAGAACGAGAATGAGAGTTAGTTGTATTGTATTGACGTACCACGATGACCTTCAACACGAGATTGAATGCGCTACACGCTTCCCAGACCGCCCCAGTGCATTTATCGTTGTATAGACGTTGCCGGCAGCGTTGCGTAGCTTGTTTGTGGTGTTCAGAAGGGCCTTGCGCTCTGCGGCACAGCTGGTAAAGAAGTTGGCTCATAATCTGACGCGGCATGGACAAGGTTTGTTGGGAGAACTTGTCGTGGTGTGAGTGGTGCTTGACCCAGCCTAAACGAGGCTTCTGACATGCCATGATTGGGGCTTGACGTGGTGGTGCAGAGTATAGAGAGTGGATCGAACTTGACAGTGAAAGCAACACACGGCGCACGCGATGATTGCTTATCAATGTTTCAACACCGGAGAAAGTATCAGCGAGCTTTCAAACATAAATGACATGACAACATATGGCGACTCACTATGATTTCTCTGACATAGTATTGTATGGTATGATGAAGGAAGAAGTTGCTAATGAGATGCCGAAGCACGAATTCCAGGAACTTTGCGCTCACCTGTGGGAAAGCTGTCTGGCGCAACAAGTATATAGTCTAAGCCGCGGCTTGGGCCGGTGGCTTAGGCTTCGCAAAATCCAAGCCTAGGCCTAAGCCGTGGTCAGGCCATATCCTAGGCCTGGGCTAGGCCCGGCTCAATTAGGCCTGGCTTCGGCTGGCCCGGGGCTCAAAGCCAGGCCGGAACATCACTATACTCGATGCTGACATCTTCTTGCCATGCTTTTTAGCTTGCTACTTGGTGCAAGTCTGGATCACAGATTTTAAGCAGCGATACAACAAGACATGGGTTTGTCTACATAAAACTCATCTAAATATACTTTGAAACACCATAACTAAAATAAATACGACGTATCCTTGACCAAATGTCGCCATGCAGAACACTCGACAACCATTTTTCTATACAGTACTGCTAGTTGGTACATGCACACGCTCCTGGAAGACGATCGAATTCATGCTAGTTTCTGCGTCGGATTCGGCCACGAGTTTAGCATGATATTGTCGAACGCTAAGGATGAGGCGTGGTCCCAGCACAAACATCTGCACGAACAATAAAATTTGAACAGTACCAGCTAATATGCCAACTGCTACAGAATTTGAATTCTACAGAAGTGATGAGCAGTGGCCACATGTAGATGTCAGTGACATGTTGGCGCACCTCGACTTCTGGAGAGATAGTAACAAGCTGGAGGCAAGAGACACTGGCAAAGCTAGCACATGTGGAACTTGAGCGGAAAACGATAAGCACATTCGCATTACACGCTCACCTTGCAAAATAAAGCACGTGAGATTCTATCAGCACTCTGAAACAGTCCCCAATGGTCGATCCCGTCAATGGGCCAAGTCGCCACAGGTCACGGAAGTGCTTCACAGCGATCCAGGCCGAAAGACACAGTGCGAGGACCTCCCAAACAGTGTTGAGCATCCAAACCATTGATATCAGAAGCTGGATATCCCCCTCAAATTTGTTATAGCATATGAGTACCAGAGAGTATGAGTTCCTCTGGTATTTGTCCAATGAGCTGTGTTAATCAATTCAACAAGTAAAACTTACCCGATACGAAATCATACTTGAGTGCTATGATCGCAATTACTCCGCAGGCGATGTTTACAGCTAGGAAGACGATAACAAGGAAGATAAGCATCCTCCTAGATCCCTGATACATGGCATGCAACCGAGCAATCATGATGACTTGGATCATATTTCAGTCGAGTCAATATCACTGAGGTGTCGCAGCTGGGCAACTCACCTCCCAACATGGCAGTTATGATCACATTTGTCCCATTTATTGTATAGAATATGATATTACCTGAAACACCCGATTAGCGGTCACCCTTGTACTAGGATCAAATGGTCCGACTCACATCTATCGAGTGATTATGTGGAGGGGAAGTCCAATGGTCAAATCGCACTCACCCCTACAAATGAATATATTCATTGGATAGAATGAAATGATTGCGGAATACTCACTGCATCTGTCAATGAAAGCGATGTAATGTCTCCTGTGTGCCGCCGGTCAGAAGAATCGAACATGGTGAATATGAGACATACGCAGAATGCTGATACTAATAATGAAAGATGGGCCATCAGTACAGCAACTAATTTTTGGCCTCGATTAACATACACAGAATATGGTATTCCAACATAGCGTATCTAGAACATTTTGGAGTTAGCCCAACCGCCAACCATGCTATGGTATAACATGAGGTACGAACGACTAGGTACAGCACGGTCATGAGAGACCAGTGTTGGGTCTGTCACAAATTCATTGTTTTTCTTCTGATATGGGACTCTGTGACTCACCCAAATGAGGTCAATCTATGACACCATTGTGAGCAAGTTGACTGCTCCGGAGATAGCATCAACCTACCTCTTGTGGGAGTGTTAATACTGGAAATATCATGAGAATATCAGCAATTTGAGAACACTGTGCTGCTCACCCCAATCGTATACCACCACGAAGCTTGCAGCAACTGCGAAACGGTGGATGTTAGATAGATCGAGACTCAGATCACCAAATGATAAGTATAACAAACCAAACCAATAGGCTTGAAAAATATCGAAATTGATGAAGGGCCACCAACTGGGATCATTGGAAACTAGGGTCATATTCGAGGATGGAAGATGTTAGGAGTGTATGACAGTCTAGCGTTCATGCTAGATGATATACCAGCGGTCAGCGTATTGCCAAAATCAGCATGATGGTGATCGGCCTCTTTGACAGTGGAATTTGATTTGTGCTTGGCTTGAATTCAAAATCTTCTCACGCAGTGTTCATTTGCACTTTGCAAGTTTCAGAATATTTCGATCCTGGAATATCTGGCCCATCCGAACATCTGACCCATGGCTGACTTAGCATCACGTGTAGTTCCCACGTACCTGATACGACAGCGACATGTAAATGATAACCAAAATAGGTAAGCACGCTCGCGCGCTCACTGCCGAAACCTTCGTGCTCGCTGTTGCACACAGCGAGCTCAATTATTTTACCATTTGACACTTTTTTTTCGTAATTCTTTCACTGTACCGTTTAATGTCATCAAATATTAAATATTTCGCATTTTTAGACCTCTTAAGTGTACATAATTGAATGAATATACTACAATGGGTTCTCCACCTCATCCCTTGGGCCTCAACCCATTCTAAAAAGGCTCCTGAGAGTCAACAGTGCACCAGGAGAGAGTTCTACCTGCAAGTGATAGCTGGGTACTAGTAGCAGCCATGGTCACGGTGTCAGCCACGACACGTGCGGCGGCACTGTGAGTCATGTGGTATGTTGTGTTTGCATTATACATGCAAGTAAGTTGGATGGGCCGGATGGGCCGGATGTTCGGATGTTCGGATATTCTAGGATCAAGATGTCCTCGCAAGTTTGCACCGACCTGCAGGCCTTATCTGTATCATATGTTCCATAGCTCCAACTCAATTTCCGATCTGATAGTTCATCACAAGAGTCAAGACCTGATTCAGAGCCTTCTAGAGCGTCTTTTTTACGAGGGCATCTGGGAATTCGAATTTCCGGGTCCGTCCGGCCGAGTCCGGCTGGGTCTGTCCAGCTCAAGATATTTTGTATGCAATAGAGTATGACACTACATAAGTACATTAACAAAACTATATAGGAACATCAGAGCCGCAGCCCTCACAGATTTCATCAGTGAACCGGTGAACATATTGAAATACTATAGTTGACCTTATATAGTTAACAATTGCAACAATCTCCATAAATATGATGGGGGGGTTTACTTGACTTTGTGAGGGAAAGATGAGTTTTCAAGTCAACAAGCCAAGCCGCTCCGGCCTCGATGCACCACTTAATATCTAAACTAGTCTATGAACGAAAGATGTGACAAAAGCCCAATGGAATGGATTTCGGATCAGGAGTGTCAAGATAAAGCGCCCACGATCACCACTCACATGGGTGTGATACCCTTGCACAGTGGAAAATTCTAACGCAGGAGGTGTACTTGGTGGGTGGAATAACTGTGACGTTATTTTCATATCAAAATACTTCTCAACCATTAGGAGAGGTTACAGAAGAAATTGTCTGGTGTCGATACACTGACGTCAATACTTGCTTTGGACAATAATAACAAGACTGTCCCATTGTGAAGTCAAAGTAAATCTCAGTTGGTACCTCAAAACTCGCGACACCACAAGTTGTTGCTCAGACACGCGAACCATCAAAAGATTTTGTCAACAACGCTATACCGGCTCCGCTTAGAAAAGTGCACACAAATTACGATGTCGAAAGTTAGAGTTAACCTTGCTTGCGACGTCCGATCTTCACAGCCAGGCAATTAGGTAAAATTTTGCAAGTCATCGGTCTAGATGTCGTATTGCATTAGGTATTGTAAGACTGCTGGATTGAACGAGATATTGTGATCCTGCTCAATTTTCTTGATGCCGGAAGTTACAGCTTAATCTTGCTTGCAACGTCCAATCCTCACAGCCAGGTGATTAGGTAAATATCGGTAAGCCGCAGGTCTAGACGCTGTATCAAATTAAATGTTACAAGACTGCCGGATTCAACAAGATATTGTCATGCCGCTCGATTTTCTGCTAGATACTACAGAAGTCAAATCTTTTTCATAAAAAATCTAATCTGCAAACTCTAACAAAAAGAGGTTCGTTTGGTGGGCGGTGGGACTGTGATTAGTGTTGGCACATTAAAATACATATCAGCTGACAGGACAACCACTGAAGAACATATCTGACATGAATATATGTATTTCGTGTGCTCTGTTTGAGCAGCAACATAGCGGTTAAATGAAATGACAGATACAGCAAACACTAAAGCAAAACTACAAAACTGGCAGGTTGGTGCCAGTTCTAAACGGGATGAGAAAAATCTTTTGACAGGAAGGCTGGCAGCGATCAACACGACGGCGCATAGGTCTGAAATTGGCTTTGAAGAGCAAGATACTTTTTTCTAATCAACCTCGCGAAAGACAAAAAATAGCAACAAAAATTATTCTTCCATTCCACTTGCACGCCAGATACAATGAATTTCGCACGAAAGATTGATTTGCCGCTTGGAGAGTAAATGAGACGATGCTAGAGTTTTAGGTAGGTGATGAGCTATTTGTTTTGTTGCATTCCTGAATATAGTTGATTACATTGAGAGCGTTTCTATGGTTTGGCTCAATTGTAAGGGATATTAAATTTAGCAGTGGATGGCATGCTGTACAGTATGCATCAGTACTACTATTATCAGCGAAAACCGACCATACATCAAATGATATTAATCTTGATCACAAATGGTGAGTATGACATGATGATTGCATTGAACGTAAATATTATAAAATGTTTATACAATGACGGATAGTAAAACAATGGTCAAGCTAGTCTAAATTGAAAGCAGCATCCTCCTGTGCCTTTCTCTGTTCTGCCAGCGCTGTAATGGACATCTGAGACACAACTTCGGGTGTGAGATCCTCGCGGTGATTTTTTCCGAAAACCTTCCTGAATAGTTATGTTAGATATCTGACACGTACTATGGCAAAATAGCTGATACCTTGTCCACCATTCGAGAAGTTTGGTTACCCTATGTCGTGCAACAGGGCCAGGGACTTCCTCAAAGAAGTCGACAATGTTATTCCAGAATCCTTCATAGTCGAAGTCCCCATCGATGGTGCGCCAAGATGAGACGCTGGATAGCGCAAAATGAACCTGCCAGAAGCAGATGTTGAGTCAGACATCAATGGTGGGCAATCATATTTACTCACTTGACAAACAATATAAGCGATGGAGCGAGGGGTGACTTTCCTCATGTTGATAATGGATGCCACACACATTTTGACCTTAACTTGATTTAAGGCCCGACAAGCGCACCTGTTATTCTCGAGGATGTCGGCACCATTGCCATTGCCATCGGCTTCTCTTGCAGAAGATGGAGATGTAAATATGGCTTTGAAAGCCTAGTGTTTTGAGTAAAGTCTACACACTATGATCCCATGTACTGACCTGAATGAGGATTTTCGACTTGAAGAGACCTTTCTCTAGGTCGCTATCGTCGAACAAGTAGTTCTCGTACACGAACCGCGGCTAGGAATTTTCCGATACAATGAAGTCTGATGTTCTATCGCGAATACCGGCCTTCACGCTGCCTAGGTTTCAACGACATGTAATATTTCTATGAAGGTAAGTGCTCACCGGTTATCATTCCAGTCCCACTCGGCAGGGCATAGCAAATTCCCACAAATGTCGTGTGCGAAGCCGCGCAGCTGCTTGTCGTTAGAGCGGAGTAGAGGCGACGGGTGTAAAATCCTGATTAACCCAGGTAGCGATGAGGTCCTTAAGAGTGGAAGTATCATCGCCACGGGCCGCATCAGCTCCTCTTTTGATCTGTAGCATTATGAGCACACAGCGCGAATTTATTGAGAAAATGTACCTTTTTCAACATATCTTCACAGTCATCAGCATCAAGTTCTGAAAGCTTAGAATGAAACCATGGCAGAGCTTGTGTGAGTGCGAGGTAGCCTCGCTGCAGGCGATTTTGTCTGAATAATGGAGTTAGATGTGTCACAGAAACACAAAAGACATACTCTAGGGTGCTGCCCTCCAAGTCATCCAATATGGCTTCCTCATACCTGTGATCGTTCTCGGTGATCAAGTCTTCTAGGTTAGTATAAAGGACGCTTATATGACGAGCCCCCCTGCCTTGAGCGACGTAGTAGGTAGTTTTTCTTTGACGATCAATGAGTTAGAAGTAGTGAGTAAGACGGTATGCGACAAACCTTTGCTTCGTTCCTCTTTCTTGCCTCATCATTTGTAATTCTTCTTCCAATGCGGCGATGCAGGCGCTTGGTCCTTGCTTCCGTGGAGGTAGGGACCGCCCCTGAGGAGTCTGGGAGTGCGAGGGCATGTACCCCATCACCAGGTTCTGACATAGACATGGTAGAAATGACAGGTGAAGTGAAGAGTACTGTAGAGAAGATGGAGGTAAGGAAGAAACCTGCTAGACCATTTTATATACGCGATCACTAAAAAAACTAAGACATATAGGGCAATCCCAAATATGGATGACAGGGAGGGTGCAGTTAAGTAAGTCGGCTCTTCGAAATATGGTGTCATAATGTACTGTTAGCGTTCATGTTCAAATCACTGCTACTGTTTGCCATTGTGAAAGTTGGGATTGGCACGCCGACTCAGACATAGGCTGACACAATGTCAGAGTAAGCCCAAATGATGGCCTGAACATGATTCATGCCCACCTTGAGTCAGGAGCGCCGGTCTTCCATCAACCTGCGTCACATGTTGAACAATTTGAATATCAAAATTGTGACCGAGACGAATGCTAAACGCCTAACCTCAAGACAAATTTCCCCCGATGATCTGAGGCCCTCCTGGGCCATTTAGGCCATACAGCAATAGTAACAGCAGTGAGCTTGTTGATGATGCGAGGGATGTTGAACCTCGCAGTTGTACCGGCATCCTGGGTGTCCGAGTCATTGAAATCTTGAAAAGTGTGTTGATTCACGTACAGAGACAGTACTACTGCGTGACCTTCTGGACGAGATAGGTCTTATGGGTCTCCTTCATCTTAATGAGACTCTGAAGTCAGAAGGGTTTAGCCTGTACGTGGTTTCACAAGATGAGTATCGCACTGAGCAGAAAAAATAATGGACATACCATAGTAGTTAGCAAAGGGCACGCCTTCTAATCAGGCGGGGAGGAGCTTTGTTCATCACAGATGATGATTTAGGCTCATCTTCAGCTGGCTAGAAAAAGATGCTCGCAACGCTTTAACGCTCAAGACATAGTCTGCGTTATGTAAGCCTCCAGGATACCAAGATTTCGAGGCATGCTAGATTCGTTCGGAAAGTCCTGGAGTTTGGACATGCGCCATCAATCCCAGGTTTTCTAAAAAGAGAGTCGATGCTTGGGGCGTCTCAGTCAAAGTTTGTCGAGATGATGAAAGAGTGGACTGCTGAGAAGCGCAGGTCAGCCATTGTCGTAAACGCAAGATGATACAGTACTAAGATACAGGATCGTCCCGTGGGTGTGAGGAGAGGTCATGAGCGGTAGGTAGTGATGGGAATGTACAATGGGCAGTGAGCGACGCGAAGGTTTCACTCAAAGAAACAATACACTGCACGGCGAGAGGGTCAACATGTGCACCAGGGATTGGTGGTGAGTACGCTTTGTCTGATTGGTTGATACTGGTGAGGAAAGAGGGCCCAGGATAGATCTTCGTAGCTGAGTTCCGCTCAAATCAATGCCAGACCCAGATATCCCAATCTAGCAACTCTGCCGACATCCAGACCGTAATTGAAACCTGCCGTTGGTGTAGCAATATCGCCCATGTGCGAAATCCCAACCCCATTACCTGCATGCTCAGTATGACATATTTTGGCCCCCATACCACTGAAGATACCGGAGAAGCTGAACTCATGTAGCCTCGTGAGAAGTATTCCTTGGCAGAGACGAAAAAACGCACTTGACATAGCGGATGGAGGTATTTGGCTCCGAGATCAATCATGCGACAACCGCGCAGAACGCGCTGATGAGGAAGATCTATAGAAGCGCTCTTAGAAAGAAAAAACAATAAATTTGCATACACTCACCGTTAAACCGTGACTGACTCAGATACCAGAAAGCTCCGTCACGGTCAGATAATCGGCAATGTCCTCGTTCAATGTATACTAGTAGAGATGGATGGGACACTCATCAATCACAAATGAAGCGAGACGACTTGAAAGAGGCGCCTGCACTGGCTCGCGTGCATGAGGTGAGTTGTTGGTACTGAATTGAAATAAGTCACGGTGGTACTACATATCATGGACGTTTAATTGAAGGTACCAAACAACTATCATCACGTGAGTAGTTCCTTGCTGAGCGTAGACTCGGTTGGCTATAAATTCATCCGTTATGACTCTAGGCTACTAGTGAGTAGTGATTCGGGAATACTTGTATCCTATCAGAGGTACTTCGTAACAAACCGTAGCGTGTGAAATGCTCTGCAGGTGCACGAGGTAGTAGTGCTAGTAAAGATGTCAGGATTATACTATCTACCTGTAGTGTAGCTCACACAGTATGCTGGGAATTGGTAAGTGAAATGCATGAATCGAAAGACGACACATGAAAAATGACAAGCAAAAAGCGAAAACAAAAAGCAAAAGCTAAAACAAAAAGCGGAATCAACATGATGAACATCGTTTGAACTGTTTCCCTTACATGTAATCCCCGAGGTGTGCTAAGTTCTCGCACGCTTGTTGGGACCCCTGCTGCGATGACCCTTGCCCTTGCCCTTGGACTTCAATCTGACCTTCGAGGATTCAGGCTGGCTCGTCGCAGGTGGGAGCCATCGAGTTGCTGGGAGTTGCTGGGGACATGCGCCACGGGTGTAGAGTCGGAGTTACTATGACCAACCGTGAAGGTTCTGAACGTAAGATGGGGGGGGACATTGGGGGTGCTTGCACTAGGCTTTGATGAGTGAGCTTCCCCAGACTCGGAGCTACTGCCATCGTACTCCGATTCCGAAGGCTCATAAGATGAATCATGCATGCGCTTGGCGCCTCTGAAACGCACGTCATGCCAGTCGACATAGTGTGTGTATGCAGTGAGGTCCGCCACAGTCAGGACTCCCAGCGAGCCAAGGTCCCAGTCAATGGGGAACAGCGGGATGATGAAATTGCAAGAGAGGAATGATCAACGGCAGACTTAGGGTCAAGGTCTTTCTGGAACGAGAGGAAGAGGTCTCTCATCTGCGACATTCCTCGGTCGAATATCTTTGTGACGTCGTCCATGTGCAGCTTGGGCAGTAAGACCTGTAAGAACTTGGTTATATCGACGAGAGTACCCACAATAGAACTCACGCCGTATGCTCTGTCCTCTGGCTTGCCGTTATGCATGTCAATCGCCCTATCCTTATCTCCTTTAATCCAAACAAAATACTCCACAGACTCGACGTGACACCATGTGTGATCACTGACTTGTATGGGTTCCTCGAAGTTCCGTAGTGTTGAACGTTGAGTGATAAATTCTTTGAGAGACAAGGGGTCAGGCTTCTCTTCGCCATTGCAATGGTTGTGTAACATATCCGTCGCGATGGAATCTTGTTGAGGGGAGGTGTAGTGTTTGGCTTCGCGTACCAATACGATCGAAGCCAAGATGATCTCTGGATGTGCGACGATCATTGATTCCATTTTCTTGAATACATGATCCCATTGCTCTGTCAATGCCGTTTCTCCTACGTAGGGAATAAGCAGTTTTTGTGTGGGCCCCTGCGTGGCGGTTAGTGAGATGACCATATCTGGCGTGACTGATTTGCTCTTGAGCCGGAGTTTGTAGTTCATGTGAACTTGAGGACGAATGATCCTGCGATTGTAAGGAAGATCTTTGATAGCGGATGTGAACGAATCCTTCAGATCATCGTGAAAAGCTTCATGCAGGACTGTAGGCATATCGATGGTAAGAAGGTGTTCATTATAGTCATAAGCGAGCCTTGAAGCGCTCAGTTTAGCATTACCAAAACAAAAATAGTTTGATCAACTCGACCTGGGCTTTGTCAATATGCGGCCCGTTTCTTCCACCTCGTGTTCTATTATTTCGAATTCTCACGGTTTCACACCATGGAATTCCTGTGATATTTGGTAAGCATACTGTTGACTTGCTGATAAAGAACATACCATGTAGGTATTTACCGGAGCCAGTCCAGTTAAATACTTCAAAACATTTTGTACATCTTCAACCAAATCAGAATACAATAAAACATTGACTCCCCACTGAACATACTTGGAGTAAAGTGTTCAGAGTGGTAGGACTTCTGGATATCATGATCATACAACGAATCTGCTGCGGTAGTGGCAACATCGCTTGTACCCTCTTCACAATCAACTGATTTGTTATCTTGTGTCTCCTGCTCCACAGGCAGGCATGTTTTGATGGATCGGGGTTCTGTAGTTCTGTTTCCCAGCAGCAATCCCGGGGACACTGGCCTATGTTTCAGGAGCTTTGGCTTGTATTGATTTTCGCTGGGGGTTCTCAGGCTGCTGGCAGCATTGCTGGTACTGCGTGTCGCCTGTGCATTAGTGAAACTTCTAGTTTCATAGCACTTGTAATGGCTAGGGAAATTTGGATTGAAAGAACTGCAATCGTGCTTAAGATCAGGGCGAGCTACTATGGTGGCAGGCATGAGTGTTGAATGCTGAGTGCGGTTGTCTTTGTCACAGGTGGCAAGAAGCTCCGTGAAGAGATAATTACAAATGATCGTAATCATATCGGCCCTCGGGACACGGCCAGGTATCGGCAAGTGCCGATTTCCAGTTGGCCAGGAATCTCAACTCAAACTTAGTACCCCGGTCACGGTGGGCCAGCAGTTGTTCCAGTCATACCATCATCCGTGATTAACATGGACTTGATGGTATAATATCAGAACTTGAAGGGCTTTATGTGGACTTGCATATGGACTCTTGTTCATTCTCATGCTTTCTGAGTTGTCAGCTTTCTCAGGTGCTGCATGGAGTTGACTCTCAGACTTGTCCTTTCCGAGCCCGAGTATCTGATATCATCTCGGCAACAAGAACATAAAAGTGAGTCAGTATAATTGTTGTTTGGCTTTATTTTTAATACAATTCTACTAGAAATTTTTATCTGAAGAAACGCGCACTACACCATACACCGTGACGTCCTAGCCTGAGTACATGTCTGGATATTATGGGAAATCATTACAGCTAGGTGAGTATATTGCGGTCATGAGGGATCTATCTTGATATATGAATACCATTAGTAATGTCTTCACAGGATGACTCGGAGCTTCGCTACTACGCCCAACGCCAGACACTCTTCCAGTGGAACAAATGTAGATCCAGATTTTTCCTCTTTTGCACTCTGCAAGATCGATTAAATATTGAATGATAATAATTTTTCCCATGTGCAAACATTCAAGATCTGGCAGGGAGTGTTGGAAAAGCAACTTGGCTGCCGCACCTTCATACCCACAATTTCATGAACATGAGTTCATTCAAATTGAATAACGAACCCTACGATTATATCCCTGAGGTCTGCTAGCCCTGTACGGTCCTATTCCATCATGGTGAAGGAATTTCAAGTTAAGAACCGAAGGATTGAAGATTCAGGGTCTTGCAACGTTGAACCATCCGATTATTGTCAGGGACTTACATTTCCGCTGTTCGAGGCTCGAGCTGAGGGTCTATTCGGTAGGCGACAATAAAATTTCGATTCAGTGGCCGGCTCGGACATCATATCAGAGAGCGCTGGGAAGCTCCAGGACACGCTCATTACAATTGAATTGGCACTGTGACATAACATAGGGCCTCGAGGTGCAGGCATGCATTATAATATGTAATCTTGCCAGTGATGCTATCGCCACCGTGAAGGTGAGTTTTAAATACTCCTCGCGACATTAAAATAATAGCTGCACTCGGACTGCCTTCAAGTGCTGCTGTTTTCGTTTGTGCTAAGTACATCGTTGGGACAGGTGTGGCACTTCAACATGCCTCCGATACGTAGTACATTTTCCTCCTTCTATCCAACTCGAAGTCATTATTGACGATCACAACTTGTGTAACTAGAAAGCAGCAGCAGCAACAACAACAGGCAAGAGTCTCGAAATTAGGATGTACGATCCCAAGAGTACTAAAATGCAATGCACTGCGAGGCAGAGTTACACAATGGCCGCTCAGGCTGCAGCAGATATTACACCATTCTGCTATTACCGGCCCCAGCCAGACTTGCTCCAGCAGCCATCCATCCATTCTCCATCAAACTTAGCACTTCCAACAATGGGTTCTCTGTCCAGTGTTGCCGTCACCACCGCCCCCTCCTCTTGCGCCCCTTCCGCTTGCTCCTTCTTGTCCTGCTCAGTCTCTTCCTCCTGCTCAGTCTCTTCCTCCTGCTCTGTCTCCTGCTCCATCTCCGTCTCCTCCTCTGCCATCAGCAGCTCCTCTAGTACCCACACCATCGCTATCTCCTGCATCAGCTACAGTAGCTGCAGTATTGCCAGATGTCACGATCACAGTGTCAAAGAACCCTGATCTGAACGAGGTTTTTGATGCCATATGGCAATATTGTATAGATCTTGATGATGAGGAGTAGTACTACTATACCAACAGTACAGTACTAGTGACTCGGGTTGCATTACGTTGATGTAGAGAGTTCCGCGATGTAGAGAGTTCCGTGATGTAGTAGAGAGTTCAGTGATGTTTCAGTCCGCCGCGTGAATATCAGTTAGGCTATTCTTGGAGCTTTAAAAACCCTTATTTGGCATTCCCAAATATGTCTGGATCCCCTATGCTCTATTCATGTCCACTAAAGTAATCACTTGCTTGCTTCACTGAGTATGTTACACGGCTGCAGCGCCACTGCATTCTTCTTCTTCTGTGACACTGGTCCGAGTCGTGGAGGTGGTGAGTCCTGGTTGCAACTCCTTTGTGGAGGAAGGATGATGAAGGCAAGATCGTTTGCAACGCGTAAGTTCTCATTTGTTGTTCCTTCTATATTCGTACCAATCTCTTATATACATACAGATGCGGCCTCTACTATAAGCTTCATGGCTCTGCTCATCCCATTAGTGTGAAATCTGATATTATTCGGAAGCACTCTCGACACAACGCTCGTGTGCAGCGCTCCTCCCTCACCGAGCCCCCAAGCGCATCTAACACGCCTGGCACTCCTTCCGTTATGGAGGAGACAGTTTCAGAACGGGTTCTGGTGCGACAAGCAGCAGGTACTTCTTCGTCTTCGCGGCGCAGCAGCATGGACTCGTCTGTCCACACAGTCGACAGCGGACACTGTTGTGCCACACCTGCCACTATACTACTACCCACCAACCCACCATGAGACCCGCACCTGCCATGGGGGTGTGGGTATACCTGCAGGGTGCGGGTGCGGGTGATGCTTGTGACACCCATGGGTACACCCGTGTCATTCCCTACCCATACCTGTGACCTGCACGGGTTACCCACACACATTGACAAACTAATGGGGATCATTGTCAGTTTCTTAATATCCAGTGCTTTGATTTGTCCTTGTGTTCCCAACAATCTCATCCCCTTCTACCTACTACCTAGTACATCTCTTAATGCTTGGCAGTCAGTCTTGATTTCCTGGAGTGATAGCAATTCCATCCGAACTTGAATTTCAAACACCGAATACTCTGATCGAAAATCTTCCCTAAAAGTCAAGCAGATGGATGAGTCATATTTGAATCTTTGCAACATGTTATCAGCTCCAATTTCAACACTGTCCCCGACTGTCTGTAATTTTGAGCATTCTCTTCATGAAGGCAGCCCAAACGTTATACCTCCAAAGCATGAGCATTTTTCGAATATAATATCTACTGGTCACGACCTCGAGAGACAAATATATATCGTACGAGATTTTCTTATTTTGTTATACGGCGCGAACACTGAGTTTTTGTGTAAGTTGTCTCTCGACGGAATAGACCTGAACAATGACGAACAAGACGAACTATTTACCATGTACAGCATTGACACGGTGCATACTAGCTACCTGGCTGCACAGAGCCGAGTTCAGTCAGTACACTCAATTCGTGGCGCTCCTGCAGCGCGCTGAAGATGCATGGGCACAGAAGATTCAACAGATAGGTTGTGTGGTCACGGAAGAGAAGTTGGGACGCGTGTCGCTGGATGAAATAGAGGGGCAAGTCGATGAGCAGGATGTACTGCTGGTGAATACCGTTCACACGGTGTTTGCAAACTACGCTGCAGCGCAATGTCGAGTCCGCCAGTACACCCACTTCCTGACGATCTTAAAGCGCGAGGAAGACGCATGGCTTCAAAGATTTCAGAAGGCATGTTCTGTGATGCTGGGTTATGAGCCTGCAAGGTATGACCAACCTATGAAGGGTGATTTAATGAAATCGTTGCGAGTCTGAAGTTGTGCCACTTCCCCATTTCCAATTGTAGTTTATCTCATTACTTCATCGTACTCATCCGGATATTCTCCATCCCATAGTCATAAATTACTATGTACAGGTTCGAATCAGTATGTGATCAGGGAAATGCACTACATTGACACAGGTCTTTCAAGCTGCATATCTAACAGTGATGTAAGGATGGAATGGAAGATGAGTCACAGCTTCAGTCACGGTCACGGTGAAAGTGAAATGCGCTCCTTGATGATCATATTCTCTCCACCATGGTGGTATCACAGGACGATATATGTTAATACGCTCCAGGTCAAAGTTTCAGATTCCATCCTCTGCTAGTAAATTGCTCAGTTGGTATTCAGGGTGCGTCTTCAATATGTCATAACCTTAACATAGACTTGGATGATCATGATAAGTTAACTAGCAGCAGGCTCATATTCTAGCTACGCAAGGCCCAGGATTGTTTAGATGAAAAAGTCAGTGACGATCACGGCCTTTCTGAGTCCATGAGGATCGTTGTTCTCTGTTTGCAATCATAAGCTCTTTCCTTGAAGTTGGCTCGCCCTCTTAGTAAATCATCAAATATCTTCTCAGACGATGGTTTTTCATCAAAGATATCACACTCCTTCAATTCTACGCATGAAAAATATTAGAGAAGAAGCTTACTAGCTCGGCTTCAAATCCGGCAGTCACAAATAGTGAGTTTCCTGCGGGCATTCTTTTCTTCTTCCTCGCAGATTTCATTCTTCCGAGTCCAGGCGTATGCTACTCCCCTTCAGAATCTTAGGCTCGATCACGCTGATGCAAAGAAACTCTCAGAGGGGACGGCATATGCTTGAGTCACATTCATAATTTCCAATCTCCACAACTCCACCATCTTTACCGACCATCACTCTATCGGTGAGCAATGTGCCTGCGGTTTTTTAATGATCTCAAGAGTCCGAGTCTAACCGTGTGCTCCCAGACAAACCTTTAGAGGTGTGTAAATTCAGATTGCACGTTCTGCAGTGTCTCATCCTTTCTAGGACCAACTTGAACATCCTAATAGTTTTTCGGTATTTTGCCCATATCAAATGGTGCACGCGACCGTAACTTCGCCTTCAGACCCTCATCAAAGCACCTCTACTTATCACCAAAGGATTCTCGCTCACTTAGTTAATGCATGTCAAGCACTCGGCAATGCAGTCAATACTTTCAAAGAACTTCTCCGTGGATTCGCGTCTTCAAGAGGACCAGGCCGCCGCACCCCTCAGTCACTGCCATGCTTATGGTCCAATCAGTTTGTGCCAAGACACGGCTTCTTCGTGAACCTGTGTTTCGGAGGTTTTCTAGGGAAGCCAGTACACAATACCTTTGGTGTTGCTTGGTTGTGAGCATTTTCCTTGCAGGCTCGGACATACTAGTCCCAAGCTGATTGTTTTTCCAACAGTTCGACACACTAATTTGAATGTTTAAGAGGTTGATGAATGTTGGAGCCGCAGAATTATTGGGTGTGGTTGTATCATCGAAATACTTGTAATTACAGCACAGTCCCTCCTGATATGATGTATGGATAGGAAATCGAAAGATATGATAACAACTGAATCAAGAATCAAGAATCAAGAATCAAGGTGAATAACTACTAGCTATGATATGGTGAAAACTTGAATACGGACTCGGACGGGCAGAGTCGGGGACTGACCGTTCACCGCCGCGCCGCATCCTTCCTCTTTGACGGTCTCTATCATCACCACGGCCGTGGTGGAATGCATCCATCTCGATCGTGTTGGGTTCTGTTATTCATCTTCGTCCTTTCCATGGTCACAGTGTCCTGCGGCGCATTGCGTTGCTCTTGGGAGAAGGACACCAATTTTTGCGGACTTAGCAGACATCGTTCTGCATGCAAGTATTACCAGAGGGCAAGTGTATTAGCCTCGCAGAAAAGGAGGGACCGCACAAATGAATCAAATAAAACATCGCAAAAAAAGTTGACATTACGGCTTAATGCAACCAAGGCTCAGGCTAATGCTGGTGCTGCTGTTCCCATACTAGTACGTCCGAGTCATCCATTCACTGAGTCCAAGTCGAGATTCAACTCTCACTTCGGACTTAGTTCTCCTAAGTTGACTTACTATAATTCACAGCTGCGACCGATGCTATTTACCAATCATTCGAAATCTGCAGCCAGCTGCGAACCTAGCGTGGCTGAGCCCAGTAACAACTCAAAGGTCAGTCACAATACCTCTCGTGCTACTACTACAGCAGTGTCTCAACCTCTGCATTCCAGGAAATGGATGTTGTAGATGTTGCAATGTCGATGGAGGATTATGATACTGCCGTGACTGAACACGATCTAGGTGCACATCTTCTGCAAAATCTTGTACCTGCAGCATACTAATGGTAACCTCACCCATCGATCATTAGCAGACCCAGATCAATGTCCTTCGCGAAGCACATCCAGGCCCCTCCCAAGAAGGTTTGCCGATATTCTACCTGCCGATGAAGACATCAATCCTTCAGATTCCGCTGGGAATGACCCGTCTCATGCGACCAAAACTCACAATCAACTGCAGCACAGAATCCGAAGAGTCTTATTGACTCTGCGTGATTCTCTCCAAACAATATTTAACGCCATTGGACTTTGCTGACAATATCCTAGGTGCCCCTCGTTCGAGCCCGATAAATACATCTCATCTACCCAGCTAGCCAATTCCTGTCCAACGACCGCCCACGCGGATGCGGATGGGTCTGATTCGGTCTCTGGACCGCCTTTTCCCTTCCCCAACATGACCATCTACCATCTGATGGCATGGATGAACTCCGGTAGTCATCAGAAATCGGAGGCTGAAGTGATGCGTCTTGTCAAAGACGTGATTCTGGTGAAGGACTTGGATTCAAGGGACTTGGATGGATTTTCGGTAAGGAGGAGTCTGCGCGCATTGGACAATAATGGAGGAAAGGGGCCTGTAATCTTCCCGGATGACTGGTTGGCAATGGATATCGCCCTTGATATCCCTTCTAAGTCAAAAGACGACCGGGGCAGATCAATTAACATTTCGAAGATCAATCGTTTCCCGCTTGCGCGCCTCTCGATGATAGGATTGTCACTCTGCAACAATGAAGCTCTATTTGGCTTCGTCTGCCACAGTTAAAGCCGTTCATAGGGAATCAAGTACATGATGATGATGCATGACATTGCTGACACGGTGAGCACTTATACCTCTTCACATACATAATGACATTACACAACCATGTTTTCTCTTAGTGTGCATTGAGGTGTTTAATAAAATTTCTGGCGCAGAGACTTCTGTCAGCGATGTGTTTTTCCAACACGGACGACAAGAGTGGCCCTAAAGTCTTCAAGTTCTCCTTCTACGTACTTTCCAGCAGGTTTAGATGAATGGGGATCCACGCACTCGTGCTTGTTCCTGCGTAGATGGAAGTTCCTACTTCTATCTCAAATTTTGTGTTCTTCGGGAATATGGATCGTGCCAATCCATTCAAGCTAGGATTCCCTCATGTGCAGAAGTCCGTTTTTTATTTATTTTTCTGCTCGCATCTCTGAATTATTCTTATAGCTTACAGATTCAAATTTTTATCACAGGTTTTTGCGAGTTTCACAGCGTTGTCAACGCTTTAAGCTCCCTCCATGCGGCTTCCTCATCCAGTTTTCTTCCGGCAATAATGCCAAACTGTACTACTTGGCAGAGAAGGAAGCAGAAGCACGCGGATGAAGCCCGAGCAGGGCAAGCCTGAGAGATAGCCATGCATACTATTCCTGGTCACGGTATGCTTTAGCCTCTGCAAATAAACTGTAATAATTACGAGGATATTTTATTAAAGGTCACGCCTTCTACGATCATTCCCGATTCTTTATGTAGCTGCCTGTGCAACTCACGCCCTATTTCACGCTGCGTGCATTCTGCATTTTACATCACTTTCTTCAGAACGTGGATGGTTTTGTCGATATCCAAATTTGACCTCAAACACCATCGCAGAGGCAACACTTAGTATCCAACACTCATACCTACCGCCATAGTAGTCACAGTTCCTCGCCCTGATGATCTTACAGTCCTTTCAAAATTTTCCCAAAGGCCCCCAACCATTAAAAGCACTATGAAACTAGAAGTTTTCACCAAACCACAGGCGACATGTATAGGTAATACAGGAACTTTGGGCCAGACAATACAGGAAAGTAGTTTATATTGATAAAACGATGAGCTCTTGAATGAGGTTGAAATTATGTCTATAGCTGATAGAAATTCAAATTTTGCTGTTTGTTGGCCTCTGAAAAACTCACCAGACCGAGGAAGAACGAGAACAGTCCACAAAGTCGAAAGGACTGCACTGAAATCCCATGTGTGTTGTGATGGTGTGGAGTCATGACTTTGTGGTCGACTTTGATGAGATCCTACACGGGTTGAACACTGCCAAAGCTACTTTGTACGACAAGGGCATAGATAACATGAAACAACATCTTGATCTAGGCAAAAATTGAGAACAGTCCACAACATCGAAAGGAGTGCGCCGAAATCCCATGCGTGTTGCGATGGTGCGGAGTCATGACTTTGTGGTCGACTTTGATGAGATCCTACACGTGTTGAACACTGCCAAAGCTACGTGTCACGAGAATGTCTTGAATGAGGTCACAATTCAAAAAATTAATAAGGCAAAACGACAATGCTGAAAATAATGGGCACCGGTATACTAACACCCCTTCTCTGCTACGATGGAGGAAAATTATAACATTGTTGTGGGTCGCTCATATTACCCTGAACGTACAGGCATTGATGGCTATATATTTACAACTAAAAGTTCTCGCAGAATATATGATATTATTTAGTAGAAGCAGAATTGTGTCCTTCTGTAGTTCCCATGGCTACATTATCAAGGAATCATCCATTCACTGATGTTGGTCCAGACTTATTTCAGAGATACCTGCATGAGTCATGAGTGAAATGTAACAGTTTAGGATCTGCATGAGTCCATTAGTAGGCAAGCACAGAAATGTAACACCTTTGATAGAGGACGAGAAAGCTAGTTGAGCCAAATGATTGGTAGGCAAGCTGCTAGCACAAAACTGTAGTAGATGATAAGAAAGCCGGCCAGCCCGGTGCACGAGAAGGACAGGCAAAAAACCCATCTGGAATCTCAAACTATATCTGCAGCTGCACAAAGCTGTAATAGTCAGGTGAGGCCAGGCTGGAAGATCACTAATTTGATGTATTCAAGACGGTAACGAGTCATGAAAATGAGTTCATTGTATGACGCGACGTTAAGAACTGACAAGTTGTGCACAGACGGATCCGGACAGACCCGCATGCAGCCGGACGGAGACTGCCGGAAATTCAGATTCCCAGACTTTCTGTTTTTTACAATGTCGATAGCAATGCCTCCCGCGCCTTCATCATCTTGTAATTTAAGTGAATATTTACTTACACCCGCCCAATCAAACCTGGGCCCACTCTCTGCCGTCATTAATCCTTGCGTAAACTGAGGCGATGGTGTCGTCTTCTGTGGCAGCTAATATCCCTGCCTCACTTTGCGTTCATCATTCACACATGCCTCGAGACTGAATCTACAGCCTCCATCAACACAAGGTAACCATCTTCCGTCAATGATTGCACACATTTTTTGTCCTTAGGTAATTGATAACTGATGCATTAGTGATACTTTGTCGGGTGCGCTTCACTCCTCGCTCAGCACAAATAGTCTGCATGCTGATCCGACACAGTATCAGCCGCCTGAGGTTTCACGACTTGCTGCCACTTCTTCTTTTGCTTTGCTCAGGTAGTGACATGTTAGAGCCGACGTGATCTGATCAAAGTATGTATGTCAAAATATCGTAGTCAGCGCCTTACTGATACTTTTCCAGGAGCATTTGATACTTTCCGCGTCCCGACTTGAAGCCCGCTTCCCATCTCTACTTCCCTCTCAGCATATTTCATTTCCTTGCCATGCGCATTCATTCTTGACAGAGGCATATACTCACCTCGTAAGTCTGTTCTAAATTGTCATGCTCAATATCGTCGAATCATGCTTGAATAGATGTTGATCAGCGATATCGTGCCAGTAGCACCCAACACAGAATGGACCTTGATCTGATGTGACGCCCAGTCACAACAATCCCTACCAATAGTTGCTGAGGACATTGACAGCCAACCTTCACCCTTCATGCACGACCCATTACTACTTCCCTCCTGCCCAGATGGATGATATCAGGGTGGGCATGCGTCTGGCTTGTTCCACTCTCATCTACGACCCTCAGTCATTCAGCATAAAGGGCTCGATTGACTCACGGACGCTATTGAAGATGGACAGCATGGAGAAGGGCCATCAGCGACGAATCCATTGAGAGACTATTTAATAGCTTCCTATGCACGCCCTGAGTCAACCATGTCAGTCCCGAGCAAGACTCTGTCGTATCGTGTCACTGAGAATTCACTGTAAAACTTGAATGAATAAAACAGAGCCAGCCGCAAAAACTTGATGTGGTAGCAAATCGGGATTTGACAGATACTCTCGACAGGTATGCCTGTCTGCTCTCTCCCTTCAAGTTTGTATATCTGATCGAAGCCTTATCTAGCATATCTGATCATCCCACTCTTCTGATTCATCATGCGTCCATTTAGTATGGAGCTAGACTTTGTTCGCCATCCAGCCATAATCGAACATCCGAGCGTCGTATCTGAGCCTTCCTGCCATCGATATATCTTGTGTCCCCATCCATCTATAGAATCATCGATTATAGTCACTCTCACTCTCCTTACGATCATCATGTGTTGATTTTGTTTTACATATCACCGGACAATGGTCATCCATAAGTTATCTTCTTTATTTGGTTGTTTCAACAACTCATGTGAGAGACATTAATTTACAGGTACCCTCTAATGTTCCTACTACAAGACATCTTCAAATATATACCCATCTCCCCGTTCTCCACCTCTGCATCCACTTCTGCATCCAGAATCATGATTGCCCTCTTTGACCACCGAAATCGGAATGACACTTCTTAAGGCCTGGTCAGCTGGTTGCTGTATTATGAGCACAATGTCAGTGTTCATTGCAATATTCTCGCACCCGCGTCTCTTATTCCTCCTTTATCTATTTGTTCAAACAGACGCTAGTTCGGGAGAAGGCGAGAGTCATTACGCTGCGGAGCCATTGTGCTATCAGCTATCTGAGCTCAGACACGCTACTTCAACTTTCCATTCCGCTTTCCATTCGTTCGGTCAAGACGACTGATAATGCCATGGTTCTGAAGAAATATTTTTCAACAGGCCATGGCATCACTAGTCATCTGGCCTCGCATAACCACTCTCGTTTCTCCATATGTTTCCTTGGACAGATGATTGCAAAGTATTTCGCAGGCTCGTAGACATTCTGGTCTATCGGTTGCCTAGGCTTAAACTCACATACTCGAGCTAGCAGATAATCACATGAAGTGATACATTGTGTTTTTGATCATCTATCATCTGCTGGCCCTAAGATCGGTGTTAATAATCAATATATGTATGTATCTCGTTATGGTGCTTTACTCGTGCTCAGCAGGATGGGTTCCAACAGATCTTGCAAGGACGCAAATTTGATGCACAATTTGCAGTCGCATGCGCGAAACACTGCAATGGCACGACTCCGGTATGAATGAATTGTGGTCGATACCTCATTGGTAGTTCGACAGGTATGTGACGCCTCTTGAATTGCAACTTTCCGAAGCCCATACTCTGCAATTCCCTGCTCCACACTCAGCACACATATTTTTTCCATACTTTGTAGCTTGCTATTTGATGCAAGTGTGGGTGGGTGGATCACCGACTTGCAGTAGTGATACAACGACGAATGCCTACATAAACTCTGTCTTAAATGTACTATAACCAAAATAAATACTACGACGGATCCTCGACCAAATATCTCCTCCATGCAGAACACTCGACAACCATTTCCTACACAGTACTGCTAGTTGGTACATGCACACGCTCCTGGAAGACAATCGAATTCATGCTAGTTTCTGTGTCGGATGCGGCCACGAGTTTAGCATGATATTGTCGAACACTAAGGATGAGGCATGGTCCCAGCACAAACATCTGCACGGACAATAAAATTTCCATAGCACCACTGAGTATCTCAGTTGCTACAAAATTCCAATTCTACAGAAATGATGAGCAGTGGGTACATGGAGATGTCAGTGACATGGTGGCGCACCTGGACTTCTGGAGAGATATTAACAAGCTGGAGGCAAGAGACACCGGCAAAGCTAGCACATGCGGAACTTGAGCGGAAAATGATAAGCACATTCGCATACAAGCTCACCTTGCAAAATAAAGCACGTGAGATTCCATCAGCACTCTGAAACAGTCTCTGATTGTCGATCCCGTCAATGGGCCGAGTCGTCGCAGGTCACGGAAGTGCTTCACAGCGATCCAGACTGAAAGACACAGTGCGATGACCTCCCAAACAGTGTTGAGCATCCAGACTATTGATATAAAAAATTGGTTAGTAACCCTCTCAGATTCCTCATCGCACATATGAAACCCAGAGACTATTAGTTCCTTTGGTATTTGTCCAATGAGTTACGTTCTTCAATTCAAAAAGTAGGGCTTACCCCATACCTCATACTTGAGTACTATTATCGTGATTACTCCGCAGGCGATGTTTACAGCTAGGAAGATAATAACAAGGAAGATAAGCATCCGCCTAGATTTCTGATACATGGCATGCAACCGAGCAATCATGATGACTTGGATCATATTTCAGTTGAGTCAATATCACTAAGGTATCGCAGCTGAGTAACTCACCGCCCAACATGGCAGTTACGACCACATTTGTCCCATTTGTTGCATAGATTGTGATATTGCCTGAAACAGCTGATTAGCGGTCACCCTCATATTAGGATCAAACGCTCCAACTCACACCTATTGAGTGATTATGTGGAGCCAAGTCCAATGGTCAAATCGCACTCACTCCTACAAATGAATGTATTCATTGGATAGGAATGAAATGATTGCAGAATACTCACTGCATCTGTCAACGGGAACAACGTAATGTTGTCTGTGTGCTGCCGGTCAGAAGAATCGAACACAGTGAATATGAGACATACGCAGAATGCTAGCACTGATAATGAGAGATGGACCATCAGTACAACAACAACTTTTTGGCCTCGATTAACATACACAGAATATGGTATTCCAACATAGCATATCTAGAACATTTTGGAGTCAGCACAACCACTGATCATGCTATGGTATAACGCGAGGTACGAACGACTAAGTACAGCATGGTCATGAGAGACCAGCGTTGCATCTGTCACAAATTCATCGATGTTCCTCTGATATGGGACTTTGTGACTCACCCAAATGAGGTCAATCTATGACGTCATTGTTAGCAAGTTGGCTGCTCCAACAATAGCACCAACCTACCTCTTGTGCGAGTGTTAATACTGGGAATGTTATGAGAATATCAGCAATTTCAGGACACTGGCTGCTCACCCCAATCGTATACCACCACGAGACCTGCGGCAACTGTGAAGCTACAAGTCAATACTATCAAATCAAGACATAACCAACTGATATGGCAAACCCGTCCAATAGTTGTACGAAATAGTGAAAATGATGGAGGGCCACCAACTGGGATTATTTGAGACTAGGGTCATATTGGAGGATGAGAGATGTTATAAGAGTGTATGATGGTCTAGCGTTCATGCTATATACCAGCATTCAGCGCTTCAAGTTGTTGGGGTCAGATGGACATGCACAGGAGTAGAAGCTGACTAGGACTACTAGGACAAGAAGGCATGACACAAGTAGGATATCCGAGAATAGCCGGAGCGGACAATATTTGTCAATGTAGCACGGAAAAGAATCAAGACCGAAGCACAGACTTTCGGATCGGACTCGGAGTTAACCGTTTGATAGTATTACAATAAAATCCAGTCTTTATAAGAAATATTCTACTCTGCATCTCATCTCTATTCTAATCATAACCACATGCACACTTGTATCGTCAAGATGGGCATGATGGTGATTCGGACGTTTGTCTAAGCATGCTCAAGCTTCAAGCTTTCAAAATTTCAAGGGAGGCCCTTGCACTGATTGGTTGGAGTACACAGGAATGATACCCGAATTGGAAATCGGCTTCTCACGCGACTCCAGGGCCGGTCTAAGCTTGACTCTTCCTCCGATTACTCTAGGGCCATTCAAACTGTGGTGATAAGCTCATTAATTTGCCCCTCCTCCACGTGGGTACATGCATCCAGAATGCTCTCTAACTGGTACCCAGTCTCAATATCAAGATTACAATACCACTCATCCAAATCAATACAATCCTCTCTTTAACCCAGCCTCCATCAAATTCAAATCCACTGACTCTGCACGTTCTGGCATAGCCCCAACTCTATTTCCAATTTGATAGTCTATTGATCGTATGCGTAAGATCTGATTTAGAGTGTCTTTTTTTTCCTTTACAATGTCTACAGCAATGCCACGGCCCGCCTGCGCCATCACCTTGAAAATTTCTACTTATGCCATCTGCACAATCAAACCCAAGCCCATTCTCTGCTGTAATTAATCCTTACGTAAAATGAGTCTACATGGGACATTAATATTTTAATGATGGTCCAATAGTGTCGTCTTTTGGTCTGTCACTGCCCCACTAGTGTTGCATTCATCATTCACATGTGTCTCGAGACCAGGTCTAGACCATCATAGTGCTGCCGCGGTCCGGTCCAGAACCACGGTTCGAACCAGACTTTTGGTCCGGTTCTCTGTGGTTTGGTCCATGGTTCCCTCACCAGCCAGAACCGGTCCGGAAAGCGGTTCTGGGTTCTGGACCTTCACTAGTGGTCCGGTTCTGGTTCGACTTTCCCGAACCTTCCCGAACCGTTCCTTGACCTTCGAATTCCCTCGACTTTGACACCAACCACGACGACATCGGTGTCCATGTCGACATCAAAACACCGTCTTCGAGATTTGCATTATTTGTTAATCAGGCTACTGTTAGCCTTTTTGAAGGTAAGTACTAATCAATTTATTCTCAAGACTCTGACATATGTTTACCTATATCACAGATATCTACTTGTTCCAGTCTATATGCTTCCTGGATAGTCATGATCCTCCACCGGTTCTCAACTCTAACAGATCTCCTTGGATATTGTCGCTCTGTGGTGTTAGGCTATGTGCCATGCATAAAACGGGGTGCCGACCAAAAAACTGTGAGTTATTTGCCTGACGATGTCTGAAGACTGCTGTGCTCTGAACGCTGACGGCACCCTCAAGGATGCTTCTGAAATTACCTTTTTTAATGATCCTGACGATAAAGTACCATTGCCCCAGGTCGCATCTTCTGCCCAGCCATCCTCTTCCACTACATCCGCAAAGGACGCCTTCTCCGTTCTGCTCAAGGCTGGATGCACCCCAGCAACAGTTGCAGCTGGATCTAGGCGCTCTGGCCGGCCCTCAAAACCATCGGCTCGTATTCGCGATGCTGACAATGCCTGCGGTCTGTCTTCGTCAACTAACCGAAGGAAACGTGCTTTATCTAGTGCTATGGATCATCCAGCCCCCAAGAAAACTGCCATGTGAATCTTATCCCCTCTTGACTCCGAAGATGAAGACATACCCTCTACACCTGATCTGGGAGAGTCGTCTGCTGACGAGCTGATCCCCCAACCAGAGGACGACGATGAAGTTGATGAATCTAAATCTGAGAACAGGTGCACCGCTTCGACTGTATGTACTCGTTTATTGTCTTCCTTGAGTCTCGACTAACACCTGTATTTAGCTTTCAAAAAGCGAACGCACAGCGGACGTTAGGACTATATTTACCCATTTACCTGATGGGTGGGTGTGTACACTATGCAAGTAAGTGGTCCATATTGTTTTTGATATATTGTTTAATAACTTTCAAACAAGGTCCGCTGGTGAACCAGTGCAGAAGCACACCTTTCGTGGAGGTACTTCGACACTTTGCACACATATTATCCGCCACAAGAAGTCGCATTTTCAGGTCTACAAGGAGCGTTGTGAGGCCGCAGGCATCACAATGCACTCTCGTGCGATCCCACCTGGAGAAGACGACATCATGACACAATCGCAAACAACTCTCGACGGCAAGCTTGTTTGCAAACCACCTGCGTTCACCAAGGAAGGCTTCCTTGAATATATCATGGAACTTATCGTGACGGAAGACGACGTACGTTTATATATATATTTGCATCAATTTATTTACATCACACCAGGCAATACAATTAATTGACAAGCCAGCGTTTTGGCGTTTATTACAGTATGCGCGTCCCACCCTGACTGAAAAGGACATTCCGCATCGCACCAAGTTAACGGAAACTATCAAGTCTCGAGCAATGACCGTGGTTGAAAACATCAAGGAGCATCTAGCGGTGAGTCTTGACCTACTTATATTATGGCATCAGTCTTAAAATATTTCATTAGCATATTGACAGTGCGGTGTCCATGACATTCGACTCATGGACATCGATAATCGGCAAACCATTTTTTTCGGTCACTGGTCATTATATTTGGAGCCCTGCCGGCAAACCGCTGCAGTGGGAGCTGAGAAATGAGCAACTTGATTTCATGCGGATCGAAGGCAACCACAGCGGCCTCAATATCAGCAATATACTCGTTAGGACAATAGACAGGTATAATATTCGCAACAAGGTATGTTTTCCAGAGTCTGGCTTCAGCTGTGGATTGACTTCGATTGCATAGGTTGGATGGATGACGTCGGACAATGCCTCAAATAATGATACCGCTATGAATGAAGTCGCAAAGGCCATAGACGAGGACGGGACCCACTGGCTTCCAGGTCCCCGCCGCATCCGCTGTCAAGAGCACATCTTGAATCTTGCGGCGCGACATTTTGTTGATGGAGTCGCACCCACCCCACAGGCCACATTACTATGCAAGATTCGTCATGCTATTGATCATGATGAGGAAACTGACATCACTAGCTTGACTGCACAACTTGCGGCATTGGAACACGACCCTGATGCTATTGTGGAGGACGGTTTCGATGTCGGCAATGCTGTTGGAAAAGCGCTGGCACTCATTGAACAGGTAAAGTCCTCTTTTTTTGTCTTCGAGTTCTCATTGACGCAATCAATAATTAGATCCGCAAATCACCACAAGCTCAAGCATTTTTCAAAAAATCATGTGAGGAAGAAGGTGTTGCTGTTCGTGAGATTTTGTCATGGGTGAGAACGCGCTGGGCGTCCTTATTCAAGTGCCTCGAGCGCTTCTTGTCCCTTCGCCTGGTAAGTCAGACATACAATCACTGGTTTAGTATCTAACATCTTTCAGGCTGTCAACCGCTTTACTCTGCTTGCCGACGAAAGCCACGAAGTCCCAAAGTTGCGCAACAAGGCATATAGCGACTTCAAGCTTGATTGAGCTGACTGGAGAAAGCTACGGCTAGTGCATGATGTCCTCAAGGTATTTATTTGTATATTCATTTTTATTTTATTTACTTATTGTTATAGGAACCTGCGACTGCACAGCAATCGTTCTCTTCGGTCGCATACCCAACAGCCTGGCAGACCATACCCACGCTAGAGTGTCTCGCTAGCACATGGGGGGCAATGGCCGGAAATCCAGAATATGCAATCATCGCGGACGCCATTACGAAGGGTCTCAAGAACGTCGAGAAGTACTACCAGAAAGCTAGTGACTCAGACGTCTACTTTATCTGTCTAGGTGAGTATCTTTTTTTTTTTTGCTTAAGTCCATGTCTCATTTTGTTACAGTTCTTGACCCTAACTATAAGTTAGCATACGTTGAACAGCGATGGACTGTGATGAAGGTCGCAAATGGGAGGGCTCATCTTGAGGCAGTGGTGAGTACTATTCAAACTTAAGTACCCTACCAGTCTCTAACTCCAGATGTATTCTTAGTTTGACAAATATTATCAAACGCCTCCAGCCCCAGGACCACATCCCAAGGAGCCAGAGGCCACGTCATCAACAACGACAGCTTCGATTTGTTATGGTGCTTCCTGGATGCGCGACGCTATCATGGAACGTTAAGCTACAGACCATCGCACGCGCGATCCTCATCAAGAGCTCTCTGCATACCTTACTTCACCATTGGAGGAGACTGATGATGTTGTGGCATGGTGGGGTGTAAGTCAGCCCTCAAATTCATTGTTCCCCGCTTACATTCTTGATTAGTTACATTCACTGCAGTACCCAACACTAGCTTGTGTTGCGTGTGATTACCTGCCCATTCAAGGCAGTTCCGTTCCCTCTGAACGCACTTTCTCCAGCGCGGGCATCACATCAACTCTGCGCCGCAACGCACTCGCATCATCCACTTTCTCCGTGCTACAATTGATGAAGGCAGCCTATAAGAATGGACATGTGTCAGCAGCAGTAGAGGCAGAAGGGTATGCAGTTGGTATGCAGTTAGACTAGCTACCCAATGTCATGTAGATGTCTTGTGAATGTTTTTTCCATTGCTTGAAAAATTTTCGGTTCGGTTCGCATTCAGACCAGACAAGAACCGGACCGGACCATTGAGAACGGTGAAGGTGAGGAATCTTGACTATAGGTGAAACGCTAAAGCTAACGGGGGTTCTACAGTAAGACCGGGATACGAGAATACGACTCGACCCAAAGGACAGCTACTGAGAGAAGTTCCTCTTTAATGTAATGGAGGGAGTCTTCGCCAACTAGATGGGTGGTAACAGGCGCGTGAAGGCGCGAGAAGATAACGCGCGCGTAGGCGCGAGTAAGCAAATGCGAAGGCGCGCGAAGGGCGCGAGCAAGCGAAAGATGCGAGGGGCGCGCACGTATACGGAAGCGTGCTTTTGAGCGACGGGGGAGAGTGTTCAAGTATAACAGATGCGCGAGCGATGGTAGAATAGTGAAGTATAATCGGATTTCAAGTACTAAGGTGCACTTATACAATTTGCAGTATACTCAGATAAGGGAGAAGGGAAGGAAGTAAGTTAAAGGAACTTTCCCTCTATTTAAGAAGGGAGATTACGCTATGCGGCGCGCTTCCGAGCGTGGTACCGAACCGAGTAACCATATCAACTCTAAATATATTCTAAAGCCTATGATAGACTTTCTGTATGTAAGCGCGGAGATCGGACCGAAGGTACGTCAATTCAGTGAAAGGGATAAGAATAACGCACCAGTAAATCAGCGAGGACATAGGACGGACGGACGGACAAGGGTACCAAGGCCTAAGGGGAGGCGCACGAGTGCGCGCGAAAGGCGCGAGTGCGTGTAAGGCGCGCGAACGAGGCGCGTACGTAGGGCGCGCGCGTGAGAGCGCGTATGACTGATCCTTCGGATAAGAGCTGGAACGTGTAGGGAATTATGTGGGTAATAGGGCCGTATATTCGCATTGAGAGGCGCAAGTCTCTACAACGGTTCTCAATGGTCTGGTTCTGGGTTCGACAATTTTAAAGAACCGAACCATGGTTTGGTTCTTGGTTCTCGTCAAGGACCCTCTGAACCGGACCGAACCGGACCACGGCAGCACTAGACCATCAACGCACTGGCAAGATTAACCATCTTTGACTCTTCAAATGATTGCACACATTTTTTGTTCTTAGACAACTGGTGCATTAGTGATGCTTTGTCGGGTGTGCTTGACTCCCCGCTCAGCTCATCATATTTCCTTGCCATGCGCATCCGTGATAGAGTTATATACTCGAGCCATAAGCCTTCTAAAACTATCATACTCCATATCATTGAATCATGCTTGAAGCCAGACGTTGCTGTTGAAGACATGACCTATCTGACAGTGGTCAGCGATGGGTTGGTTCAGTCAGATGATCGACTGCCAATCAATTAGTGGTGCCCAGGACATCGATACACTGTCTCTACCATCAGCAGTCGGCGGTTGCTGTAGTATGCCCACGATGGCAGTGTTCATTGCCATGCTTTTCAGCTTGCCATTTGGTGCCAATGTGGGCGCGCGGTTCATCGACTTCAAGTAGTAGTACAACAAGAAATGGGGTTTGTCTACATAAACCTCATCCTAAATATACTTTGAAACACCATAAGTAGAATAAATATTACAATGGATCCTCGACCAAATGTCTCGAACACTCAGCAACCATTTCCTACACAGTACTGCTAGTTGGTACATGTGCGCACTCCTGGAAGACGATCAAATTCATGCTAGTTTCTGTGTCGGATTCGGCCACGAGTTTAGCGTGATATTGTTGAACGCTAAGGATGAGGCGTGGTCCCAGCACAAACATTTGCAACCAGTAGATGGAGGTGTTGACGACATTAGGTGTCTCGCTGCAACTTTGAGTGCTGGCCCAAAACCCTGCCTGCTCAACGTTACTATAGTTTCTTTTACCTATCCTTCTCTTCATATGCACGTAGACATTCGTTTCGAGTTTAGCAGAACTGTCTAGGCTCTATTCTGGCTTTTGACCTACGAGGATTTAGATACTCGTCCTAGTGAGACTCGCACGTGTAAGCTTCGGCTGGAAGCGTGATAACTTGTCCTAGGCTTGTACCCTCAGAATGGAGATTGCCTTAGACCCTAGTTTTTCTCACTTGATCGAGTATAGCATTTTTTCATAGTCAGTAATAGGGAAGATCGGTCGGGTTGATTAAAGAATCCTTCGATCCTGAGTACGTGGTAGATCCGATCAGATATCGGGGACTGCTCAGACTTCCATTTACGTACATCTTTTTCACTTCCTTTTTCCATCATCCTTCCTTTTCGGAAGAGCCCTTACAAGCAGCTCTTCACAGACATCAGTGAATCGGGTTCCAGAACACAACTGGCACTATGTCCGAACCAACTTTTCCCCAGACGAATGAACAGTTCATGCAATTTGTCCATGATCAAATTCGGGCAAACAGCAAGATCCTGCTCGGCAAAATTGCAGAACTAGAACGTAAGAATCAGGAACTTGCAACTAAAAATGGAGACCTAGAATTATGTCTCAAAATGCAAGAAGATGAAACCCTGAAACTTGCCACACAAGCACCATCATTCGGATCTGCTGGAGCAACGATGCTTTCATCCACCCCTAACATCAAATTCGCAAAACCCTCGGACTTCACAGGAGAAAAAGACTCTGTCGACGCTAAAGTATGGGTAGCTCAAGTATCCCTATACATGTTGCAATGGCAAAACATCTCAGACAAACAATGTCTGTCGGTCATGCTATCATTCATGAAGGGATCAGCTGGCAAATGGGCCCAGAAATATATCAGTGAACTACCAACACTGACAATAGCAAAGTTCGACGAAGAATTCACAAGCATGTGGGTTCAAGAAGACCAAGAGGGCAAAGCAATCCAAGACTTGGAAGCCTTAAGACAAGGTTCCTCGTCGGTCCCAGAGTACGCAGCCGCTTTTAAACAAAAGGCTGCACACACATCATTTTCCGATTACGACCAACGCCAGAAGTTCAGGACAGGACTTCAAGACCGCATCAAAGTACAGCTCGCACATGTACCATACTCGGGTAAAGACACCCTAAAGAAGTTGGTAGAACACGCGATCCAAATCGGATGCAACTTTGAAGAACTAGATGCGGTGTAGGGATTCATTTCTGGCTGGGCTTGTAGAGACTGTTTTTACCTTACCTTATGTTGGCACTTTTGTAGCTTACATAATGAAGTTACCTTTTCACCAGTTACCAGTATGAGTCTGAGTCTTCAGCAGTTTTTATGACATTTGCTCTCCTCTGAGCCTTGAGCCTGGTCCAGAAACCCTTTAGGGTTGAATAGCAGCTAGGTTCTGCAAGACCCAACATTGTTCAGACTCACCATCTGAATTGTTGTACCTTCAGCGGACAAGAAGAAAACAACTTGGTGGACCCCGAGACAAGGCCCCAAGACCCCTGAATACAAGGCTGGTCCTAGTAAAGACAGTGACACAATGGACAGTGATGCAATGGACATTGACTCCAGCAGACAGAGAGGAGCTCCCAAGCCCCAAGGAAAGACTGGATCTTTCAAATGTTACCGCTGCAGAGAAGAAGGCCATATGGCAAGAAACTGCAAAGGCACACCAAAAGTGCAGGTGAAGGCTACTACAGTGCCACAAGAAGATTCAATGCCATCTTGGTTCAAGGAATGGGCCAAGAAAGAAGGCAAGGATTTTTAAGAGGGTCAAAGTCAGGATCTGCGGATTTAGACCCGAACAATTGTTTCTCCATCTTATCTACATTTTTGGATGTATCAGAAGTATTTATTAGATCTAAATCTGAACATTTTTACATTCCGATTTCATTGAAAGGAAAGAACGGACAAGCAGACATGAAAGCTTTGGTAGACTGCGGTGCTTCAACATTATTTATTAGTGAGAAATTTGTGAAGAAGAATGGAGTACGGTGCAGTAAATTATTAAGGCCTATTCCAGTTAAAAACATAGATGGCTCGTTAAATGCCGCTGGATCAATGACTCATTTCGCTGAACTAGGTCTTAAGATCGGTGATCATGTTGAGGATAAAGCAGCCTTCATGGTTACGGACTTAGGAAGCGATGATGTTATCATTGGCATTGATTGGCTAAGATACCACAACCCGGAAATAGATTGGAACGCAGGACATTTCGCATTATCTCATTGCCCCGTAAAATGTAGTACTAAAAAAGAACAAAGACAAAAAAATAGAGAAAAAAGAAAAGAACAAAAAAAGATAGATAGTGTGCCAGATCTGATTCCCACAGAAGAGGATGACGAAGAAGACATGGCGATGAAGAGGGCGACAGTTGAGAAAATAGAAGATAAAGAATATCCTGGAGAATGGATCAAGTATAAAGCCTCGGTCGCTACGGAGCAGAAGGTTGCAGAAGAAGCAACAAAAGTGAAGAAATCGGTTGAAGAGATGGTTCCCGATTGGCTTCATGAGTACCTGGGAGTTTTCTCAGAAGAAGAATCTAAGCGCTTCCCTGAAAGAAAGAAGTGGGATCATGCGATAGATCTTAAAGATGATGGTGATCTTCCGCCGAATGTGAAACCCTATCCCTTGTCACCTAAGGAAATGGATACCTTGAAGGATTGGTTAAAAGCCGAAACTGCACTGGGACGTATTAGAGATTCACAGTCTCCAGTAGCAGCACCTTTCTTCTTTGTAGCCAAAAAGGATGGCAAGTTAAGACCGGTAATGGACTATAGAAAGCTCAATGAGAAGACAATTAAAAACGCGTACCCATTACCAAGATCTCAAGATTTGATTGATGCTTTAACTGGTGCTACGATATCCTCCAAGATGGATGTATGATGGGGGTACAATAATATTCGCATGAAAGAAGGAGACGAGTGGAAGGTGGCCTTTAAAACGCTGTTTGGTCACCATGAACCAACCGTAATGTACTTCGGGTTAACAAACTCCCCTGCCACATTTCAAACAATGATGAATGAGATATTCAGAGATTTGATTGATGGAAAGACCGTAGTGGTCTATATTGATGATATCCTCGTATTTATGAATGGCAATAAGGAGCAACACCGGAAGGTTGTGAAAGAGGTTCTTAAACAACTAAAAGAAAATGACTTGTACCTGAAGCCAGAGAAATGTAGCTTTGAACAGTCTAAAGTCAAGTTCCTCGGGTTGATAGTGGAGAAGGGTGGTGTTTCAATGGACCCTGTGAAAGTAGAAGGAGTGTTAAAATGGCCTGTACCCAAATATGTTAAAGACATACAAGTGTTTATGGGCTTTGCAAACTTCTACCGAAGATTTATTCTTGGGTTCTTGGACATTGCCAGACCAATGAATGATTTACTGCGAAAGGATGTCAGATGGGATTGGACGGAGAAGCAACAGAACGCCTTTGATGAATTAAAGAGGCGATTCACAGAAGCTCCAGTCTTAGTCATGCCTGACATTGAGAAGAAAATGAAAATAGAAACCGATGCTTCCGATTATGCAACAGGAGCAGTTCTATCTCAACTGATGGAAGACGATTTGTGGCACCCAGTAGCTTACTACTCAAAGTCGATGAATGATGCTGAACGCAATTATGACATCCACGACAAAGAGTTACTAGCAATCATTCGAGCATTGGAGGAGTGGAGGCACTATGTGCAGGGAAAACCCCAACATGTGGAGATCTGGACGGATCATAAGAATCTCGAGTATTTCATGATGAGTCAAAAATTAACAAGAAGGCAAGCCAGATGGAGTTTGTTCCTGGTGGAGTATGAATTTATGCTCCAACACAAGCCTGGCATAGTCAATGACAAAGCTGACCGTCTATCTCAGAGAGAAGACCACAGAGAGGGGGTAGAAAATGACAATTCCAACCGCGTCTTGTTAAAACCAGAGTTTTTCACTGTAAAAGCTGCTAAAAGAGGCCAAGTTTTGGTGCAAGGAGAAAAACAATTGCTGAGAAAGATAAGGCAATGCACAGAACGAGAGCCTGAAGTCGCTAAAGCGCTAGAAACGCTAAAAGCAGCACCGGTACAACTACATAGAGGGATTGAAGAGTGGAATGTGGAGGATGGATTGGTGTTGTTCCGAGGATTGGTCTACGTTCCAAACAATAAAGAGATCCGCTGAGAGATATTGGAGCTGTTTCACAACTCTCCACCAGCTGGACATCCTGGACGAGCAAAAACCTTAGAACTTATTTCCAGAAATTATTGGTGGCCTTCAATGACAAAGTATGTCCACAATTACGTAGTTGGCTGTGATAGATGCAGACAAACAAAGATTCACCCAATGCAACCACATGGTCCGCTCAAACCAAATAAAATACCAGCGGGACCTTGGCAATCAATCACTTGTGATTTGATAGTAGATTTGCCTAAAAGTGAAGGGTTTGGTAGTATTTTCATTGTTGTTGATCGATACACGAAACAAACACATCTCATGCCTACGAAGAAGGAAGTTGACGCTAGAGGAATCACGAAACTCTTCTTAGATAACGTATGGAAACACCATGGAACTCCGAAACAGGTGATATCAGACAGAGGAACACAATTCGTCTCGAAGTTTATGGGACAAGTGTCGAAACGCCTAGGCATAAAATGGAACATGTCAACGGCTTATCATCCTCAGACAGATGGACAAATGGAAAGAATCAATCAAGAAGTAGAGCAATATCTGAGAATGTTCACATCTTACCGCCAGAATGATTGGGTAGACTGGCTCTCAATAGCAGAATTCGCTCACAACAATTCCGTCACTGTAACTGGTCATAGTCCATTTAAAGTACTCTACAGATATAATCCCGAGTTTACTTTTTCACCAATTTCCGATTCTAAAGTACCTGCAGCTGATGAACAAGTGGATATGATGAGAGAAGCGAAGGAGGATGCAGAAAGTATGCTGCGAATGGCAAATGAGCGGATGAAGAGGTTCTATGATAAAGGAGTGAAAGATGCACCACAGTTTGAGAAGGGAGACATGGTCTGGCTTAATGCCAAAAATATCCATCAGAAAAGACCAAATAAGAAGCTCTCTGATCGACGACTTGGTCCATTCAAAGTATTAGAGAAGACAGGCGACATAAATTACCGCCTAGAGTTACCGGCAAAATATCAGATACACCCAGTATTTCACGTTGAATTACTTACCCGCCATACTCCGTCGACCCTAGTCCAAAGACCTCCACATCACCGCCCGCTGCCAGAGATCGTATCAGAAGGCAATTCCGAATGGATAGTGCGAAAAGTCCTAGACTCGAGACTGCACAGATCCAAACTCCAATACTTAATAGAATGGGAAGGATATCCGATTGAAGAAGTGACATGGGAACCTGAGGAAAATGTAGAAAATGCATGGTTGAAAGTTCAAGAATTTCACCGGCAAAACCCGAAGGCATTGAATCCCCACAAAATCAACAAGTCGGTGTTTGAAACCAAGGAGTTTTTGGAATGGCATAAAAACTTTATTCGTCCAAATGTCTTTCGCGATGACGCTCAACCTAGAGAGGGGGTAATATCATGAGTTCCAAATACGAACCATTATACTTTCCTAAATTCAAAGTCTTTTAAGCGCACAAGTATAGCGCCTGTACCTAAAGATAAACCTAAGAATGTATTTATAGTTGAGGAAGCGCCTACGGCGTCTATTGTAGAATTACCAAATACCACTGTACCTGAATCACATGATGATGACAGCATACCACGCGACACTCTTGGAATGTTCCAGAGTCTTACTGCAGCTGCGACACATGTTATGACATCATAGTTATATATAGAATCGTACGATACCTTTAAATTATTCTCATTGGTTAGTCAGTTCATACTCAACTTCAATCTCTGTTTCAATATATGTATATAGGTAGTGTCTTGTAGTCAGTAGCTCTTTAGTTCAAACCTCTTGTATCTCCAAGTTGTTACGCTGACCGTCGGTCGGCGTGTGCGAACTAGGATAGGTCTTCTCAGCGACAACTTGAGTGAGTCTACTGAAGCTGAGCGTGGTCTAGCCTTGACGGAACGTCAAGGATTCCTCCGGCGATCTCGGTAAGACGGCGCTCGTCGAGATGCAGGGCTAGCGGATACGTGCTAAGTCGTATGGGGGCGACTTAGAAGTGCGGTCTTCACACAAGGAAGCTGGTAAGCTTAGATGAGCAAGTTCTGGGGATGAACCTAGTAGATTAAAGTAAAGTCTAAGTACAATAATCTGTGTCTACTTATAGGGAAGTACTACAAGTATTCTAGCTCAGTCTGTAATCAATAGTATATCGTAAATCTATGATAACAAGACATGGGGTTCAGATAAGATACATGAGGCTTAACCTCTGATCAAGCATGCTGCGCCAAGGGCAGCTGCGCATAGGTACAGGAAGCGCCAAGCGCGCTGCGGATCTTCATGAAGCGACATGCGGTATGCATGCGCTGATCTAGGGTGACCATGAGGCATACAGCCTCCATGGATCAGGTACAAGGCCATCTAGGCCAGGGGCGGGGTCATAGCAGCAGGCGGGGTCATAGCGCCAGGGGCGGGGTCACAGCAGTCCAGACCGCTATCTTTCTAGGTGCGGACGGCACACCGCCGCGCGGGGAGTCTAGCAGAGCGGGGGCAGGCGTAGGCAGAGCTGGGGCTCCAGTAGGTGTTACAGATGCCTGTAACACAAGTGAGCAATCCAAGACGTACCTGCTGCCTCATCCTTGTTGTGATCTTTCTGTGTTTGAGTCCTAGTCTCTGCCCTGCATTAATTCATTTAAGGGGTTGTGACATCAAGTCCTGGAGAGAGAATAACAAACTGGAAGCAAGAGACACCAGCAAAGCTAGCATGTGCGGAACTTGAGCAGAAAAAGATAAGCACATTTACTTTACAAGCTCACCTTGCAAAATAAAGCACGTGAGATTCCATGAGCACTCTGAAACAGTCCCTGATGGTCGATCTCGTGAATGGGCCAAGTCGTTGCAGTTCACAAAAGTGTTTTACGGCGATCCAGACTGAAAGACACAGTGCAAGGATCTCCCAAACAGTGTTGAGCATCCAAACCATTGTCATCAGAAGCTGAACATCCCCTTCAAGTACATCATTGCAAGTATGAATACCAGAGAGTATTAGCTCCTCTGGTGTTTGTTTAATGAGTTGTGTTCTTCGATTCAGCAAGTAAAGCTTACCTGCTAAACTATACTTGAGTCCTATTATCGCGATTACTCCGCAGGCGATGTTTACAGCTAGGAAGACAATGACAAGGAAGATAAGCATCTTCCTAGATCTCTGGTACATGGCATGCAACCGAGCAATCATGATGACTGGCATTGTATTTCAGTTGAGTCAACATCACTGAGGTATTGCAGCTGGGTAACTCACCGCCCAACATGGCGGTTATGACCATATTTGTCACATTTATTGTGATATACATGACATTGCCTGAAACACCCCGATTAATGATCACCCTTGTACTAGGATTAAATGTTCCGACTTACACCTTATTGAGTCATTATGTTGAACTAGGTTTGAAGTTGAGAATCTTACTCACCCCTATAAATGAGTGCATTCATTGGATGGAAATGAAATGGTTGCGGAATACTCACTGCATCTGTCAGTGAGACAATTGACATATTTCCTGTGTGCCACCGATCAGAAGAATCGAACACGGTGCATATGAGACATACCCAGAATATTGACACTGATATTGAGAGATGGACTATTAGTACAGCACCAGCTTTTTGGCCTAGATAACATACACAGAATATGGTATTCCAACATAGCGTATCTAGACCATTTTGGAGTCAGCACAACTGCCAATCATGCTATAGTACAACATTAGGTACGAACAACCAGGTACAGCATGGTCATGAGAGACCAGCGTTGCATCTGTCACTAATTCATCGTTTTTATTCCGATATGGGACTCTGTTTCTCACCCAGATCAATTCAATCTGACACCGTTGTTAGCAAGTTCGCCACTTCGACAATAGCATCACATACCTCTTCTCCGAGTGTTAGTACTGTAAATATCATGAGAATATCAGCAGTTTTTGAACAGTGTCCTGCTCACCCCAATCATATACCACCATGAGGCCTGCGGCAACTGCAAAGCCACAAGTTGATGTTAGATCAAAACATCACCAAATGATATGACAAACCCATCCAATAGCTGAGAAAAAGATACAAATCGATGACCGGCCACCAACTAGGATCATTTGAGACTACAGTCATATTTGAGAGTTGAGTGTGAATGAGTGGAGGATGTTGGGTTATAACGATCTAGTGTTCGTGCTAGATATACCACTGCTTCAAGTTAAAGGCTGTGTCATCAAAATCGGCGATGACGATGGTCATTTGTTCTTACTTGAGGCACTTGATACAACAACATTCCACCTGTGACACCCACGTAGCCCTTATAATCAGTGTACGAGGTTGCCTGGGCGCCTCCACTAGCAGGTTCAGGCAACTTGAAGGACGCTTAACAGCTTACTTGGTTGATGCCGTTGTATTAATGTTGTGCAAGTTGATTCAACAGACCCATGAGTGAGTACTAGTGATTTGCAAGAATGAATGAATCCTCGACGACTGACCATTATATATAGAGGACACACCCGAGACAGTCAGGGATTTGGTGTGCACTGCGGCTACTCGGATAGTTATTTGGCCGTCGTAAGCCCAAGGTAATTATGTAAACAAAAGATGGATATAATTAGAATAGGACCCTAACGCCACAGGGGCTCCGGATGATATTATGTTCGAGACTTCTGTGATACTGAAACGGGTCGGAACGAATGACGTCATAGTGATTCCGTTCCGCACATCCGCAATTATATTGGCATCAACATCGTATAAAATGAAACTTGGCAAGCTGGTTATTTCCTTGTCACTGCTCACTCGAAATCTTCATTGCACATCGACTCACTCTTGCAACAACAAGCCTTCTTCTACAAATCTCACCTCCCAAGCCAACAATGAATCAAGTTCACAACATCACCATAAAATTTATGGATTTCCCTGCCGAATTACTGTTGGATATTCTTGGTCACCTAGACATATACGATCTAGTCAGAGCACGCAAAGTACGCAAAATCTTTTTTGCCCAAATCGCTACTAATGCAGAATCTCCAGGTATGCAGTGATATTCGACAACTCATTGACTCTTCCTCGGAACTTCAATACTTGATTGATATTCGATACTTCAATGCGATTCCAGCATCGTTGCCTGTCGGCGACATCTCCGTTCCAACACGTCGCCAATTGCTTCAAAAAAGCGAAACTGCGTGGCAGAGAGCCGAATACTCTCAAAGAAATTCCATTCCGATGTCTTACTCTCCCGACAACTACCGTTGGTCGTGCGGCATTCTTGGAATCCCAGCGAAATCTCTCCAACAACTCAAGTTCGTCCAGCCCTCACTATCAGATGGCGACACCCACACCATCGACCTGCAACAACGCATCTGCAAAATCGACAGCACAGCATTCGAGGGTTACAGTTTTTCGCCCGCACAGGATCTTGTGGCTATCCTTTCCAGAACAACCCGTGGGTGAGTGTCTTCTTGCACATGACCATGGGCTATATTGACGGCAACAGAGAGAGTCATGCATATGACGTCACTTTCAGATCATTGTCTGAGGACAAACCCCATCCTGATGCCGGATCCCCCCTCGTGAAAGCACTGGACAATCAAATCCATCCACAGCTCTTCGACTCCCCCTACACGCAATCTATGATCTTCGGAGACTATTATGGCTTGTTCTGCAAATTTGCTCACAAAGCAGACGGTGAGCTGGTCGATTTTCTGCAAATTTGGAACTGGAAGTCCAAGGAAGCTTCTCAGGTGAGTCAAAGTCCCCTGTTTTGCTATGACTTACAACCAACTTGGATTTTCAGTGCCTTCAAATGTTTGACACGGATTGCGGAACGACGAATTTCAGTTTTCTAACGAACGATAGATTCCTCGTCGCCAGCGTGAGGGAACTAAAGTTGTTCTCCCTCGACACTATCGATTCGGTCAATGCAATCCGGCTCGTTGCCAGATTCTCCTTCCCTGCATTGAAGGACCCCTTCATCTTTCACTTCATCACCTTCAGTCCTATTCCATTCCATGCCAGCGCTCATAATCAACTCATCGCTATCAATATGTGCATGTCGGCGCCCACGACCAACAAATCTCCGTATTTCACCTTCTATATCGAGCGGAACACCCTCTTGGAGCTCGAATCCACCTACATCAGCCGTTATGGAGAAGCCAGCCAGGATTCTCCTAGTCTGCCTTGGTCCGCCTGGGGCCCAAAGTACACCCGATTCTTCGAGAACTCCTACAGCTCCTGCATACACCGCATTTTCGGATTCCGTAGTGCCGAGTTGATTGGCGACCTCGTCTCTCATGATGGGGTGTTTCAGCCGCGACCATTGCGCATCCGCGACTTTAACCCTCATAGGGTGACGGACTTCAAGGCTGGGAACATCACTACATCGAACCAACGACTTGTCGAAGGGGAATCACCAAATTCGACCCTTTTCTTGGATCCACTGGGACCTGGTCTCCCGTATATCGAGACGATATCTCAGGAAAAGTTCCTTGCGAATGATATGACCATGGAAGCAAACAGGATAACGTTGTTATCCCTCAAAGTCATGAGTCATCATCAGATCCTGATTGTGGACATGACACTTATAAAAACGCAGGGAAATAGTATGTATGACATTTCACAGAGCATCGAAATGCTTGATTTCGAATAATCATTTACTACACCGAAACTGTTCAAGATACTTCAGTATTTTAATATATTTGATTGATTCATACTCAATGGGCTCTGTGAGATGCGCATTGTGATCAACATTCTCTCCTCATCCTGGTCCTCGCAGACTGTTTCAACATCGAACAGTTTGTCCTGACAAGAACGTGCTTTACTAATCGTCAAGTACGTGTTTTTGGTTACTCCAACTGGTACTTATACGCAGGAGTCACAGCCTTGGACTTGGCCAGATGAGGACTGTACCAAGGGGACTCAAGGAACGGTGGCTTGTGGCATGTTTGTCATCTGGCACCGCCGCGGCTGCTCATGGTAACGTTATCTGGTCACAAATGCATTGCCTCACACTGCCTACTTGCACTTCCAAGGAGCCAAGTTTAAACCAGAGTTCTCGTGGTGAATTTCGGAAGTTGTTCGCGCTCTCAGAGTACTTGTATGGTTCATCCCAGCTTTAGTGCAACTCAACCACGTGAGTGTCCTTTACCAATATTATTTAACTGACTCTCGGCCCAGGTTACCATGGCAGTATAACCAGAAGTCTTATTCTCAGTCCGGTCTCCGCATATAGTTTGGCCATTGCTGGAATTATTGGAGGGGTTGCTCTTGGAGTTTGGGTTCTTTGGTTCGTCCGCACGCACAAACTCAAGTCAAACGTCACATTCGATGAATCTTCCTCTCTCGTACGAACTGACCTCCAGGTGAGGAATTCATTGCCATTCACGCTTACCCAGCGTCACAGGACTGATTGAAGAGGGCGAACAGAGGGATCATGCCACCACGTCAGACAACGAGGCATTACTCTGTTCCATCTGTGCAAATCTAGATTTTTATCAGATATTCCTCAATGGCATCCCAGAGACGGAGGACATCCCGCTCGATAATCTCTCGTCCATCTTACGAAATTCCTATCAATGCAATTTCTGCCGCCTCATATCCTTTCATGTCCGCCGAACATGGATGCTGGACCAGTTTCCTCATGTCGATATCTCAGGGATCGAATGTCGGATGTTCACGAAAGGTTGTGGTTGTCTCCAGTTAGCCTCTTATCCCCCTTCTAAATTCCGTTGCTACCGCCTCTACGTCACGATGGAAGGCATAGAGGACATTTGGAAGAGATATCCAGCTTTCAGGATAGCAGGTGCGCTCAACATTCACCTTATGCAAGAAGACGCTTTCAAGTTTGGAAGACCGACCGACCTTCATTGTCGCAGGGTGAAAAACACCGTGGATATCAACATGGTGAAGAAGTGGATCAAATTGTGCCATGCGAGCCATGGAGATATATGTAAAAGTCTTTCAAGAATAGGCGAACACGACAAGAGGAAACTGCCGGGGTTTGTGAGAGTGGTGGACGTAGTATTGATGGCCGTGGTTCCCGCGCCTTCTGGTTGTCGTTACATCGCCCTCAGTTACATATGGGGAGGCATCGGCGCAGGGTATTGGACGACGAAGGATAATATAGCAGAGCGCGGCACGCCTGGCGGGTTGGGCACGGCAAAGCTCCCTGATACCATCACTGATTCGATTCTATTCGTTCGACAACTTGGTGAACGTTACATATGGATTGATGCTTTGTGCATTGTTCAAGATGACTCGCAGGACAAGTTCGCTCAGATACACGATATGGATCTGGTTTACGGTCTTTCTTATCTCACAGTAATCGCTGCCGGTGGCACTACGGCTCGAGACCCTCTCCCAGGATGCCGCCCACACACTAGAACGCAACAGCATATCGAAGTCGTTCAAGGACTTCATCTCTATGCGGCGCCTCCAAGACTTAAGGAGGCTCTTGCTTTGTCCGCATGGAATACACGTTGTTGGACTCACCAAGAGTGCGCGCTTTCCCGCCGAAGGATATACTTTACTGGACACCAAGTCTACTTCGAGTGCCAGTTCGATGTCTTATGTGAAGATGTCATTGCTGAAAGCGAGTGTGACTCCACCAATTTTCTCAAGGATTCACGAGCAGAATACTTCCCTCAGTCTTTGGACCCCTTCGCGAGTTACATGATGGCCGTGAAACAGTGTGCACGGCGCAATCTAACCGTTGAATCAGACATTGTTGATGCCCTCACCGGAGTGACAAATGCTTTAGCAAAAGCCTTTGGGCTCGGTGAACCAGACAGAGCCTTTCGCTATGGAATTATGTTGACGGACCTACATCACGCGCTTCTCTGGCAACACAATCCACACACACCTCGTACTCGTCGTTCGCTCCCTGATGGATGCAGTTTACCCTGGCCTTCTTGGGCATGGGCTACGTGGTGTGGTGCTGTTGACTACATGTCGGAGCATCGGTATTTGGTGACCTATCCTGAGGATGCATGGCTCGTGGACTACTTCGCCAAGCCTTCGGTGGTGGAAATGTTTGTCGATCCATGGTACATCGTGGACCATAGTGGCATCATACTGCAGCTTGATGTACGCAGGGGTTCTCGCCGGGTCGTTTTGATTCGCGAGACAGAGGAAGAGGGATCAACGTATTCTTCTCCGGGAGGGATTATAGACCCGACGGAGATAACCCCAGACATTCATCGAGCGCTCGACCCAGGCACTCTCATTTTCCGCACGACTTCTAGCCATTTTGCCATTGCACGACGACGTGGTGAAGAATCCCATCCATCTATTCATCACGGTCTTTTCGACATTCTCTCCGCCTCCTCGCCTCCCACTTGGGTAGGTACTGCTGTCCTCCCATTAGACGTTGCCTTGCCGACTTCCCTCGAATTCATCGTCCTTTCCCGTACCGGTATACTCGGCGCGTACGACGAAGAGAGTATTGAGTATTACCAAGAATGCCTGCTACATGTGATGGCGGTTAGTCGGAATGGGAATTTGATGGAACGTGTTGGGTTGGGCGTCATTCATGAGACACCCTGGATTGCTTCTGGAGCGGAAGAGAAGATAGTGTTTCTTCGATAATGGTCGGCGGTGATAGCTACTTGGTTGTTCTTCGGGAGGTCCCGGCTTGTTGATGAATCTATTGTATAGTCGACGCGACCTTAGCCTGAAGGGTATGCGTGACAAGGCAAGGAACTGAGTTACAGGATCCATGCTGTCTGACAATGCAGGAAATCCAGACACGACAATGTTGTGGATGGGTCAATAATATTCTCGCTTCTCTTCCAAGTCGAAAGTACTCACTGCCTCATCACCGTCTTCACCTTCTTTACAACTTGAAGCTAGCAGATTTGGTCCTACCTCGTCGCATACTTGCATGCCAAACGAAGTGTATCTTAGAGATACCGAAAGGTCTTAATGGACTAACGTTTAACGATGGTGTGGGGTGGTCCGCAGATACAGGGAACGTGCCAAGCCTCGAGGCCTCGGCCGCTGGGTAGAGGCTTCGCTGTTCCCAACTTGTAGCTAGAGATGCGGACTCGCCGCATCAAGTATTTGTCAAAGTTTTCAAACACGATGAATTGATTCATAACAGCTGTTGAATTTGTGTGCTGTAATAGATAAACTAGTATTTACTGTGAACGTATGTCGGCGGTCTTTCTGCCCCGTAACTTTGGAAATGATCAAGGAGGTTTTGCGCAAAACCTCTTGCTTGGTGTACTCTCCGCCGCAGCGAAAGCCACGTCGCGATGCGTAATATAGGGTCGCAATCACTGCCCATATGCTGACTGCCACGATTCGCGTCTGACCAAAAATGTAGAACCTATGATTCCAGCCCAAGAATGATGATGAATGTATCTAAAAAAATTAAATGCAAGTCCTAATGGGGGGTATAAACAAAAGCCATATGCTAAAACAATCAGGGTCGTGGACGGGGGGCAAACTTCATGAGGCATCCGTCTTTAGGGAACAAAGTTGCAATGATTCTGCAAAACTTGTTAGCGCGCAATTAACGCGGGCGCGTCATGATACTCACTGGACCTGATCGCTTTCGGGTGTAATATGGTGTTCCCAGTCCATCAACACGCTCGCGGTGGCAAGAACTAGTCCGATGTTCATCGTCGCGTACTCTATACCAACGCATTTGTGGGGTCCGCTACCAAAGACCAAGTAGTTCCTCGGGTTCGTGTTAGCGGAGCTGTTGGGATCCAGCCAACGGTCAGGGATGAGCTTATCGTGCTCGGGGAAAACAGAGGGATCATGCAGGGAGTTGTAGAATGAGGGTATCACCATGCTATTTGCGGGAACAGTATAATCATTAGAGATAGGGAAAGCCTTTGTCGTCCTGTAAGGAACCTAAGTGAAGATGTTTCAGTAAGACGTCGTCAAGTTCACACGAAGCACAAACCATGGTTACGGGAGGCTTGACACGCATGCTCTCCTTGACAAACGCCTTCAGGTATGGCATTTGCTCGAGCATTTCAAGGGTGATTGGTTTGTCAACATCTCCAGCACGAACACGGTACTGTTCTTCCCTGATTTTGGCCAAAATGTCGGGATTGTCTGCCAAGTGCTGGAACCCGTAAATCAACCCACTACTCATAGCATCCTGCGACGCAAACAAGAATGAGAACACAACCATAGCCATCTCGCGGTCGCTGAAATCCTTACGGCCCTTGTATCCTGGGGCCTCCAACTCCTTGACCCATTCGTCCAACATGCATTCAGGCTCGCAGCCGTTGGCGACGGAGGTTTTGGCCTTGGATGCAGCAAGCTCCAACCACTTGATGGCGACCTTGCGGGCTTGTATGGCTCTGTACACTTTTGTACCAGGGACGGCCAAAGGGAAGTTGACGAGTTCGAGGGCTTGCGTGATGTCCCAGTATTTCTCGCTTATCTCAATAGCGCCATGCTCGGGAATGTGATCGCCGCAGAAAACACGAAGGGAAGTGATCATGTTGAGGTGACGCGCGGTCATCATAATAGACTGTGGTGAAGGATCTTTCTGCGCGTCCGCAAGCCATTGACTGAAGTGTTTGCGAGCAATCGCATCCTGAATACCAATGTAGATACTAGAGTGGGAAATTAGGAAAAACGATGTGACGAGAATGATTAAAAGTACTGACCTAAGAGCTTTACGGGTAAACAAAGTGTTCAGGACTTTGCGGTACTCGACATGAGATTTCCCATTTAGGAATACCCAATTGTCAGGCATGAGAATTTGCTTTGCTGAGTGCACCAGGCAAGGCTCAGCGTGAGCCGGGGAATTCAGGATTTTCCGCGAATACTCATTAGATGAAGCCATGACAATGAAACTGAGAGCACGTTCAGAAGAGCAGTCAATCATAACTGAAGTCAAACCAACATGTTAAACACGCTTATAGCACTCAAGGCGCCAGAGTTCCACTGTTTCATGTAGCCCTCCATAGTTGGTTTCATGGAGTCTGCAAACTTTCCAATAATTGGGATTGTCCATGAATCGCCAGGTAAGTGCTTTTTCTTGGATCTGTAAACAGACTGTTCAAGCAAGAGGAGAGCGCCGACGATGGCAACGGTTGTATACAACCAGGTTGCAGACTTTGAATTAGAAATAATGAATGATGGGATGGGAATATCAACGAATGAGTTGGAGGTGGAAGATGCTATAGGCAGTACCGCGGAAGAGGTGAATTGGCGGATAAATGATGCCATAGCCAATCAAGCGAAGAGGTGACCAGAAGTACTGTTCGTAATCTTGACTGTAGAAGGAATAAGCGTAACGAGGGTCGCCGAGAACAAACTCAAAGGCTTTAAGGAAAAACAAAACTTTGGATGATTTTGATTGGCTAGAATACAAAATCAGTCGATGGGCCTGGGAATGGGCGTTAGAGTCACGAGTGCGGTCCGTAAATAGCCGCAAGGCATGGACAACGTACCGAAGATGTTTGGAAGATGTCCTTCCTACGCAACAATGTTGACCAGCCTGTGAGGACGGAAACCATCAAACTCAGGTACCCCCCTGCGATACTAGCAAACAAACATCTTGCATTTACCTTTCTATTTCCATGTGAGCCATGATGGCATCATGTATTTACAAGGCCAGTCGCCTGGCTGTGCAAATTGATGCGACTTTAATCGCATAACCTGGGCATGATGAATTCAATGGAGTGTGAGGACGTTGGTAAGAAAGGTGAGTTTTCTGCGCACCACTTTTGTTGACAGTTGATGTGGCTACTTATAGCTTTAGATGTTACGCTCCCTAGGCTAGCCAAGTGGAGCCGAGAGCGCATATCTTCTCCATATTGAGACACAGCACGAGGTCTGCGTTAGATGGATGACTATACATCACATCAATGGTGCTCCTGGAACCAACGCGAATGACATCTCCAAGTTATCTGCGCGTGACACTGCTTTGCTCTTACTGGAAAGAACAACTATCATCATTTCTAAGATGTATAACTGAGCAACGAAAATGCATACCACCATGCGAGCTGCGCCAAGATCGTCCCCATCAACTGGTAGAGACATATTTTCTGAATTGCTGCATCCTTCGGAGGGCTGCAAAGATAGTCTCGACCGTATACAAGCCAGGTTTGTGCTGACGAAGTCCTTGTGTCCCGAGATTTCCACGTTCTACTTCTTTTCTATTCAAGCCGCCTATTTTGATGAGAAGCGCTGAATGGTGGTATATCAGTTTGAATAATGCCAGCGTTACAGGGCGTCCACCGCATTCAACTCTCACTGGCACACATCCTCGAATATAACCCCAGTCTGTGGCCGTACCTTAATGTATATCGTTTTTTCAGCTATTTAATTGGTGCGTGGACTCACTCGAATAATGGTGGTGATTTCTCATTTAAGTTTTATTACGGTCCCATTTCGCAGTTGCCTCTGTTGCTATGATATACGATTGGAGTGAGCAACATGACACCGAAGAACTATTTCCGTCATCACATAGTATTTCCAGTCTTGTCATTCGAACAGGAGCCAAGTTGACATCATTACAAGAACTTCACTCAGAATCGTTTCACAGGTTAATTTGATCGGGGTGAGCAGGGTCCCACATCAGAGGAACGACATTATGATACAATTGATTCGAGGCAGAACCAACGTTGGTCAAATGATTTTCCTATATCTCAGTGTGAGTAGCTCGTGTTATCGATACGATTTGCAAGTTGTGCTAAGTTCGAAATATTCTACTAGGTGGGCTACATTGTGGCACCATACGTTGTGTATGTGTGCAAGCCTACAAGTCAGCGCTGTGCTGGTAAACCGTCTCGCAATCAGCGTCAACATACTGTATGTTTTATCATGCGTGCTGTTTCATGTTTTCTAAATAGTATACCATGCTGGGCAGTGAGTTCGATACCTCGGTGATATCGGCTCAACTGAGTCATCATGGGAGTCATCATGATCACTCGGTTACATGCCATGTACCAGTAATCTAAGAGGGTGCTGATCTTCCCCGTTGCCATCTTCTCGACCGTCTCGATCGCCTGCGCAGTAATGGTCGTAATATCAGATAAAGATACTTCAGGAGGTAAGCTTCAACTATGGTCGAAAGATTCAAGGGCATGAAACTCATCAGGCGGATTTCAGAGGAATCCGTTTTCTCTGGCAACTACCAGTGCAATTTTGACTTTCAGGGAGATGACCAACTTCTGAGCCCAAAGACTTAGATACTCGGTACCGTATGGGAGGCCATCACACTGTGTCTTGCAGTCTGGGTTGCTGTAAAACATTTCCGTCGACAACCATCGACAGGATCAAACGTGGGCGACTGTTTCGTGGTGTCGATGAAAATTCACATGCTTTATTTCGCAAGGTGAACTTATAATTTGAATTTGGTCATCATAAGTTTTGGGCTGACATTCTGCGTGCGTTAGCTTTGTTGCTGGTTCCTGCTTCCACCTGGGTGATTTCTCTCCCAAAAGGTAAGCCGTTTGTTACTGTATATGCCATGCCCCTGTTCATTATTTCCGTAGGAATTGTTCACTGTGGGAAATCAGGTTTATTCTCGTATTCTTGCATTTTTGGGGCTCGTGCAACTGTTTGTGCGAGGACTACACCTTATCCTTAGCGTTAGAGAGTTTAATGCTCAGCATTTGGATGACTCCGATGAAGTGGGATGAGTTCTACTATTGAATTTCAGTGTAGGTATGTCAACTAACGATGACGTATAGGACGGGAGCGTGTGTATGAGGAGGCTAGGAGAATGATGCATCGATGGGCAACGAGCCTTTGATTTGCCTTTCTATATCTGCCAAATGATCCTGATGACAGAACAACAAAGAGGGGGCCACCACAGCTAGCTTCGACGCATTGTTCGGTGTACTCTTCCGGAAGTTCCAGATCCTCGTGTTCGGCCCGGACTGGGGTGGCAACTCGATATGATTGATGAGTCATGACGAGCATCCCAGATCCTACGAACATGTGTTCTCATACAAATTTGGTTCACGTTCTAGATTCAGTCTGAAATGGTCGCGGGTCCGTTGGAGCTGAAGGCACTTCAACCCCATGTCGAAATTGCAAACCAGAGAAGTGCATCGTAGCCCAATCGACTACGATAGGCAATTTCAATGACTGGAGCTGTGATGCAAGCAGTGAGAAAAATAAGTCGATTCCTATCTTGCATGGACGTACGTCGGCCGTCTTTGGTGGGATGGGAATATAATAACATATTCTCCCCTGAACTCAACAAACCCACACAGTTGTGACCCTGTTAAACGTTGCAGGGACCTAATTACCTTCGCGCATCGCATTACATTTTTCGGTCACAAAGTCGGACAATCGGAAGCAACCCATCCCGCTTGTTCAATGAACCCACAACCGTCGAACAAGGAAGATATGAAATTGATTGCCCATATATCTTCGAGCGTACGCTCTGATAACGGGAAATCATCGCGAACCTGGTGCTTTGAAATCCTTCAACCACTCCATGACGAAAACAATCATCTCCCCATGAATCTTTCTAATTTCCACAGGCTCATTGCTGATATTCTTCAATCCGTACTCATCATAATGATGAACAGCGTCTGAATCGACCGCCGTCAGATGCATATACATGTAGCAGTCAGACTGTCAATACGTACTTGGAATGAGCTTAAAAGGTTGGAGAATCGTATCCTCGCGGTCAGCTGCGTAATCGCTGTGGGGCGTACAAGGCCTCCAAGGGTCGACTTGACACGGGGATTAGCATGTTGCGCCTAAGTGAACAGCACGATGAAGAAAACTCACCCTCGCCATCGATGATGGCTAGCCTGTCGGCAGAAATCGCGAAATCACCCAGTGCGTTCACAGCAGTGATATTGGGCATGGGCGGTACAATAAAGTACTTCCCAGCTGGGTAAGCCTAGTCGATGTCCACGTAAGTCCCGCTGCTTGCGTGAACCAACTCCAACACACCTGTCTGCAGATCTTCGACGAGTATTCTAGTGTCAATAACTTGGAGACGATTCGTGGGTGGGCTGGGTCGGGAGGGGCGGTCTACAATGAAGGTATGCATGCATTCATGAACCGCTCGAGGAAAGCGCGTGTTTGACAACTCACCGAGAAGTAACCCCATTCTGTGCAAACCTGGAATAACCACAACCGCCATTCCTGGTCTACACCAGTGGCAAGAAAATTGCTATCGTTGTAGGTACCGAAACACTGTTTGTTTTCTTTCGTCAGAAAGTATTCGACATGCGACGATAGGGCTTACATCCTCGACAGACGTTTTGCATTGTGAGACATAGTTCTACTGGTGCTCAGAGATCACATCCTACTAGCCAGATTCAATGATCCTTACCTCTTTGATATATTGGGCGTAGTTTAGGATTGAGAAGTCGAGCTCGATGCCACCAGGAAGATGAACGAGGCGGTCTTCATGACCGATGGGTAACGACGAAACACTACCATTTCCAAGGATAGGCTTATCCAAGAAAGTACAGAATTGGTCAAATTTGGTGCTCCCGACAGCAGGGTCCCAGACTTTAGCTTGCCAATAACCAAGAGGAGACTGGTTTTTGCACCGTCAACACACGCAGACGATTCACGACGGGTTGGAGGCGTACCTCCAAAACGGAAACGAAATCATCGTCGTGCGCGAGATCCTCGAGACCAAACAATGACTTGATAATGCGCTTCGCAAAAGGCACGCCCAGGAGGGCATCGATTGCTAGGGTGGTGTGCTCGAGTTTCCTAGCGCATGTGGGGTCTGCAGCGTTTCGAATGATCTCGTAATATTCCCAGTTTGATAGTGTGGCGTGCGTCACGCCTGTTGGCGAGTCAATTCACAGATGGACTTGTGTGTATCGTTCCTATAACTTACCGCTGGAAGCAATTGCGCCGTAGACGAGATCGGGATATAGAACTTTCATATGAGCTGCTCGAGCGCCGGCATAGGAACCCTGTTATTGCTGGTAAGTAACGTTGTCTTATCCACCAATTATGATGCCCTACGCCATAGTATATCCACGGAGTATTCGGAGCTGTCAGATCCTCATCAATGCCAGGAAACGTCACTTTTGCCATAAAACGAGCCGAGTCAGCGGCAGCTTGATCGTTGTTCAACCATCTATACGCTGTCAATTCTCAAATGCGTGTGATACGTGCATGCAGGTAGTTCACCTCAGGTTGTCAGTGGAGAAGTCTGAGACAGGTATAGACTTTCCTGCGCAATTATGAATACGTCAAATGCGAGTAAAGTTGTCTGAGGATCCTCGGGAGCTCACCATAATAACGGTGCTCGAGTACGATTCCGATTCCTCCTGTCGCCCTGGCTAATATCTCAACGATACCAGTATCCAAGAAGGGAATACGGTCCTCGCCGCTGGTCTCACCGCCATCCAAAACGATCACTGGGCCATTAGAACCGGGGGTATAATGTCGTGTATTGATCCAGTACCGCTGCTTGAACGTGTCTGACGAGTTTGCAAAATGATCTATGGGTTGCGTGAACCATTGGTCCGGGAACTCATTGGGTTCTTCGATGTTGCTGTTATCTTGGACGACCAGAACTGGTCTTTGGATGATATGGCTATCCTTTTGTCTTCCTTGGTTGGCGAGCCTCCAGAGGTTGACTCCTTGAGCACCATAGGCACGAATGTAATCTGCTCCGCTTGCAGATGCTGCATTAGCTGTGAGCAAGAGGGTTGAGGAAAATAGAGCGATGGCCAGCCTCATTGTGGCCCTTGGTTTCGAACTGGTTAGTAATGTGTCAGTTACTACCAAGTTACAACTAGAGTCGACGACTGTTGAACGTTGAGTTGTGAGTAAATTCGGTTCCACGACGTTCAACACATTGCTTTGGTGAGAAATGACATATCTTAGCGGACGGGCCGCCGCGGGCGCGGAACCCCCGAGTTTATCACAGACAACATCGTTGCAAACGACTAGCAAAGATTGCCACTTGCAGCATCAACTAAACAGACTCGTCAAAGTCATACATGAAATTTCAAGGACAAGATTAGTCTGCGGGTCTTGAATTCAATTACCAATACACGGTTCTAAGCCACGTAGCCCGTACTAAGAGAGTTGTCACCGCGTCACCTATCGTCACTGATCATCACCACAGTGCAGAGCCGTTCCACTCGGGGATATATGTACCCGCACAGCCTATTAGGCGTGCCAGGCCCAGAAGGTTGGCTCATCACAAAGGCTAGGTCTCATACCGTGATGTACTGCCATGATGATATTGTTACTCGAACATTTTTCCCTGGCAGATTTCTTTCGTTGAACTTGCCAGACAGTGATAGACCCGAAAATTCGTGTTGTCAGCGCTCGTACTGTGTGTCAGTGCATAAACTTCGAACAGAGATTTGGATTGATGCCATCGGACCGCAAGTGCGATCAGTATTCAGTTGGTAGAATCGATTACGCACGCGTACACATTTACACGGCCGTTTCAGTGCACGGGAGGTATAAAGCCAAGAAGCGGTGTAATCAATGTTCCAACACGATGTGGAGTAAGTGTGTCGGAAATTTCTAAAAGTGGAGGTATATATTCTTACTATTTTTCAATAAATATATCAGCAATATTACCATATGACCCACATTTCTGTGGATGACTCTACTATTTAGAAGGCCATTTAATCGAGTTTAACTCTTGTTCCTCAGCAGTCTTTAAAATGTACTTCAGAGTTAAAATTTGATAAGTATTAGTAAGCGATAACAGGGAGAATGGCGTCATGGTCTAGAGCGTGATCTAGCCCTTATGACATCAGATCCCGTGACAAAGGATAAGCTTGATTCTGTTTCGAGTCCGAGAACCAAAAATTCAAGGTAAGAACGTAATTACAACCTCACGGTCACTGAGGCCAGGCGCCCTTTGTTACTACTGTCTGCGATGAGCAACAAAGATTTCTTCACCAGCGTACCGTTCTCTGGTCAACAGGGAAGAGGACATTCAACAGATCAAGAGAATGTCGCTTCATTTGCTCATGCTATCGCAGCACGCTTCGGATCCGCTGATCTTCTCACCGCACGTATTCTCCCCGACGAACAACAATCACTTCCACAAAATTTCATTTTACCACCTAAACCAATTCTTCCACCCCCCTCGAAACCTGTATCGTTGTCGTCGTCATCATCCACCTTCATACCAGTTAACCCCTCCGACCTCGCAGCTTACCTCGCAGACCCCTCCACTTCTCATCCTCGATATCCGCCCACATGCCGCTCATACCGCCGCCCGTATTCACCGAGCCCTCTCCCTTAGCATACCAAGTACTCTCATCAAGCGCCCTCTCTTTGGTCTCTCCAAACTGATTCAAATGCTCCCTTCCTCATCTGCGCGCGCAAGATTCGCAGCATGGCCAACCGCAAAACATATATTGGTATATGACGCTGATTCTGTCCTCGTTCCCGACACCAGTAATATTGCTGGTCTGTTCAGAAAATTTCGCGCAGAGGGTTTCACAGGCGAACTTGCCTGGGTGAAAGGCGGTTTTCAGGCTGTGTGGCGAGATGCACGTCACTGCGCCACAACCGATCACCCTAGTCCAGACGAGGACGATCCAGAAGGCACTCCCTCCTCTGGAGCATTGCGCACAAAACATCTTCCAAAGGCCGCCTTTTCGCTTTCAACGACAACAGCTGCAAACGCAGCTTCGGGTACACCGGCAATCGCAAATGCTGCTAACCCTTTCTTCGATACCATCCGCCAGAACTTGGAACTCAGTCAGGGAATAACGGAACGTATCCCCCTCCGTCTTCCCAGGCGTGTACGAAGACGCACCAAAGACCTCCCATTTCGTTGGCTTCAAGATATCGCTGGTCGTTCTGCCATTCGTCCCTCTCGCTCTTCTCCATTTCCAGGGGAAACCAGTGTAGAGAGCGGCAGCGAGAGTTCTGATGATCCACATGAATCTGAGCCAGACTCGAATGACCCTGACGTTGAGGAAGGCGCTGAAACTCTTGCCATGCAGTTTTACCGCATAGAATTGGCAGAGCAAAGGCGTCTGAGAAGCGTCATGGAGCACCATGCACGGGAAAGCGAGGTCAGCGCGTATGCTGCTGCTGGTCAAGCCTATACAGTGGGTGAGGCCGGGCAGGGTATCATCGGTGTCGGTGCACGTTCTGCTACTGCAGCAGGCGCAAAGACCCTTCCTTCCACCCCCGTTCAAGGTGCATTTCCATTTAGTATTACGGCAGGCGTCGAGAAAGGAGCCAAGAATAGGTGAGCCTTTTTATTCTTATTGTCGTGTTTGTTTCGATGTCGTTTGGCTTCTTCATGGTTGTATACCCCACGATGTTTTGACCCCTCATTGCGTCACTGGTGTGACATGGCACACCTGACCAATGTGGGGCTCCACACGTCGTCATCTGATGTCTTAAACGTTTCGTTTAACTCTTTCGTGTGCCAAAGCCGCTCTGCCAAGCTCCTGCTAATTTATGATCCGACGATCTTGGATGGGTTTTCTTGATGGTATTAGTGATTTTGCGCCTGTCATCGTAGTCATCGTGCATTTTTTTGTATTTAAAAATTTACTTACATTAACACGACGTCTTTCCTCCGCACGTCCTATCAAAACCCCAACCCAAACTCATTCCGTTTCTTCAGGTACAACCATATATGGCCCTTCGAGCATGCTCGTGTTCGGCTTCATGATGTCCGTCACCGAGGGTCACATCCAGGGTATAGCCCCAAGCGAGACAAGGACGACAAGAAAAAAGTCGCTTCCGGCCGTGCAGCTATTGGGACGACCGGCTCCGAATCGAGTACCACGTTTCCATATTCGCCAGAATCCCAATTCGCCTTACTTTCAGCAGCTCCATCGCCAAACGTACCGGAAGATGACCGGAATATGCTTATGAGCATCGATATAAATCCCACATGTACGGCATCATCGTCAGGTATGCCGCCTCCGTCTTTTGTGCCGATGACGCCGTTCTATTCGCAATCCGCTTTCCACACACCGCTCTCCATGCCCGTGACACCTTTTGGCCCTCCCTCGTCTACTCTGACGCGCGGGGGTATATCTATGACATCCTTCCATTCATTTCCACGCAGTAGTGGCGGCGGACGTGACGCCTACTTCCCAGCCTTCCCTTCTTCAGAAAATTCGCAGATCCCTCCGATTCCAGAAGACGCACTGCTATTCCCGCCTCGGCTGGACACGCGCGCGCAACAACGATCGGGAGATTTTCTGTCACCGTCTAGTTTGAGTACTCTGCCAAGATCGCCTCAGAGTGCAGGGCCCAAAACCGTCTCACCATTGGTCATACCCTCTTACACACCCCTTGGGTATCAACGGGAGATGTTCAACTTGACGTTGCCCTGTGGACCTATCAGCCAAGGACCGACTTCGGCCACGAGCACGATTTTGCCACAATTCAACATGACGGTGGTCTCTCCGAAAGATACACCACGCGACCCCTCACCCGTAGATGATTACGTCAACGCGTCATATGTGCAGCCCTTGGGCACGCGTAAACGTTATATCGCTACGCAAGGCCCGTTACCTGCGACATTCGTTGATTTTTGGACGTGAGTCCTATTTACTATCAACCTTCTTTGTCTTCGTGAATGCTAATGAAACATTAGTCTCGTCTGGGAACAGAACGTTCATGTAATCGTCATGCTCACGCGCGAGATTGAGAATGCCATGGTCAAATGTGGGACGTACTGGGTAGAGTCATCCTATGGACCTCTTCAGTTACAGCTCCTCGACACCTCCCCGCCCATCTCACCTTCTGTTTCCTCCAACAGCTCCGCTGACATTGGGTTCTTCATGTCCCCGCGCGAGCGTGATAAGGGCTCGACGCAGCCAACTATGATCGTGAGGACCTTTGCGCTCAGCCATCGCGGTTACCCAGGCGTTCCACCTAGAAAAGTGACGCATCTGCAATATCTGGATTGGCCCGACATGAATGTACCTGACGATCCTCGCGGCGTGCTAGAGCTCATGAAGCGCGTCGAGCGAGCTGTCCAAGAAAGCACTCCAGGTCCATCCCCTTCTGGTTATCAATCAAACTCCGGCTCCTCCCTCTCACCATCCTCTGGGTCCCCAGGGCGGAGCTTTGATTTTATATCGCGAGGAGGGTACTTTTTCTCGTCCCCGCCGCTTGGAGATGCATATTCTAGGAAGAAGCATGGACGCAAGGGGTGGCGGCATCCTGATCTTGACTCGAAGACGGGCATTGCTGCGTTTGCGCTTGGGTCCACCCCGCCTGTGCTGTTGCATTGCTCGGCGGGTGTGGGCAGGACAGGCGGGTTCATTGCTGTGGATGCTGTGTTAGATGCGATTAAGAGGGAGTTGAAGCAGAGGAGGGAACTCAGGGCTCGAGCTCAGGCTCGTGTGTGCGTTGCTGTTGGCGCTGTTATGCAGAGGGGCGAAAGTGTGGTTGCGGAGAGCGGTGGGATAGATGTGGTTGCGAATCAGGTGAAAGAGAAGGAGATGTTGAAGGAGAAGATTGTTGGGACTGTCCCTCTCGTCATAGGCGACCGCAAGAAATCTCGTCGTCATTACCCACACAAAGCTACAGCCAAAGAAGGCGAGACGAGCTCTTCGGAGTCGCTTGTCGTGCACGTACCTTTTACAGAAAATACGGCGGATCTAGATACGAGATGGCAGAACACGAGCTCGTCGACGAGGGAATGGGCCGAGAAAGTACTGGACCAAACGCACCCCGGCGAAGAAGAACAGGAGACAGAGTTGCCTCCACCTTTGCCCCTCTCGATGTCTTTGAACTTGCCTACCCCTAGTCGCCAAAGCTCGCCCGGGAGCGCGTCGAATAGTAGTGAACCGTCTGCGCTGAACTCCGCTGACGATTCTGTGGGGAGTAATAGTGGCAGCGGCATTGGTGTGGACGTCAAGGCAGGGAGCGGGCGGTCCGGTTCCGGCTCTGGAAGCAGTGGTAGTAGCAGCATCTCGGGAAGTGGTAGTGGTGGGCCCTTCCCACCCTCCTCCTGTGTCTCCATCTCTCACTCCAGTTCTCAATCCAATTCAGTTCCTGACTCGATCTCCGCCTCCAACTCAGGCTCTGGGGCGAACACATCCAACTCTGGCTTTTGGGGTAGCACTGGCGCAGATTCAGGGTTAGTGGGCCTCATGCGCGCTCGTCTGAGAGACAGCTCAGTGACCTCGCTTTCGAATTTGAGTTCTGATTTTTCGAGCGAAAAACTTTCAAGATCACTGGCCCAGCCGTCGGGAGTGCGTATTGGCACCGAAGAGGAAGATGCCATGGACGTTGATAGGCCCTCGCATTCTTCATATACATCGCTGCAACCAGCCAACAGTGGTGGTGTTGTTTCGAACGAGTCCAACGCCCCCCAGGCCGACAATTCCAATTTACGTCCCCGGGTACGACAGATCATCGGTTCGTCTCCTATGGCGAGTTCCTCCACGTCCGCACTTCCTACGATGAGTGGGATTGGTAGTGGTCCTCTTCTCGATGGTGAGGACCCTGTTTCGCGCACGAGCTCGAACTCTAGCTCGGACGAACTGTTGAGCCTTTCGAGAAGTTTTGAAAGCGGGAAGAACGCGGATTTGGAAGCTGCCAGTGGTAAGAGCGGCCTTTTGTCGTCAGATGAGTCGGAAGATTCGTCAAGGAAGACGAACAGCAGGTTGAAAGCGGTCGAAACGACCTCTGCCAATAGTGCTGCACCAGACCAGGAAATAATGATCAAGCCTACCGGTACACCTATGCAACATGAGCCCATCAACAAGACCACTGCAGCGCCAGTTGCTGTTGCGCCGCCGTCAATACCACCTGTACCTCAGTTCGTCGAGGAGAAGATCCCTGACGCCGAGCAGGCATCATCTGAGTTGGACCAACGTACGGCGGGTTACGCCGTGATCGACTATAAGCTTCCACGACAGCTGCATCAGGATTTGTCACCCGCACCATTAATGTCCCATACCAATCCTATCTGGACGGTCGTTCAAGATATGCGCGAGCAGAGGATGAGTCTTTGCCAGAGCTTGCGACAGTATGTGTTCGTGCACGCAGCGGTTATCGAGGGTGCCCTTATGATTGTGGACGAGGAGAGAGAGTTGTGGGGAGAATGTACTGGAAGCGAGGGGAGTCCAGAATCGGTGAGTGTGTCGATTATCAGCGAGGGGAAGGGTAGATTGGATGATGATGATGTCTGCAAGACGCCCTCCAGGAACCCCGATAACATGGAGATCCCTAGCACAAGACGCACTCAAGGTTCCCGGACGTGCTCGTTCCCTGTGGTGGACATTCCGAGCTCGGCTAGTGGCAGCCAGATGCACCACACGTCCTCGTCGCCGTCGAAGTGGAAACGTGGCCCCAGCCCCACCGAACTACTTAGGGAAGATAAATCCGGTACCATATCCTTCGCGAAGCGCCCCAGTATCAAACCCCGGACATTTAGCGATGAAAAAGTTCTTACCGTTTTCGAGTTAGCCGCTGGCGCTCCACAAGTTTTGCCAGGTGGAACTGGTGGAGTGTCGAATATTGAAAGTGGGAGCACAGGTATGGGACCTATGACACCAGAGTGGAGTGGACCATCTGCCACCGCGAGGTAACGATCGTGCAACTTTCGATTGCCGAGAGCCACTAGAAGTAAGTTCGCATACTGCTTTACCCGTGATTTGTTCATGAATGACTTCAGTTTTCTGATTTTGATGCGGCCATGACTTCCTATCTGCTCCCACTCCCGCTACCCACTAACCATCGTGCTCCACTCATCCCATGTCTACGATGCCTATCTCCTCCGACGTCATCTGCATCTGGCTAGCAGGCTAGCTTGAACTTGCACCAATCTCTATGATGCAGAAATGATACGAAGGAAGAAAAAACATCACTCACAGCAACGCTACCCACCATGCGATCCCTCGGGCAGACATCCTGTCTCTGTTTCTTTTTTTCTTCTTGTAGTTATAAATTAATACGACCCCATCTCTATCACATAGATGTACATCACTCACCATCATGCACCGCTAATATCCATCTAAATATTCACCTCTTGTATCCATGCCCCACCAGTCTTCCATGTAATCCTCATAGTCCACGAACTGTTGTGTTTAGACGTACTGCATAGTTTGTGTGTTGTAGGTGCTGAGAATCCCCAATAAAACCTCGCTCTTAAGTTTAAGTACTGACGTGACGCAGACAAGCTCCACTCTTCTTCGTTCATGACACCTGCCTTGTATATTCGATTGTGGAGCAGGGTGGAGCTTACTACTTGGTAGCATTGCAGGTGTGTTTTTCGAAAACGAAGTTCTACACCTGAATTTGGACCGTCGTGGGTATTGGGCACTGGTATCATATCTGTAAGCTGTAGCGACCATCAACGAGCTATGATCTAAGAAGGGAATTATACCGCGATCCCCCTCCCCAAGAACTTTAATTGCGGCAGTAAACAGACAGGAGTATTAATGGCGTAACATGAGCGCATCAAATTTGATTATAAGCACAAGCGCAGCGTCCGCGCAGGAGTACAAATTCAGATTTGAAGGATCCTAGCCACCAAAGAAACGGGGGTGCGTTATGCAGTAGACATAAACAAGAACTTTGAAGTGATATAACCGAATTCGAAGAACCCAGGCCCATCAAACGAAGGGGAATTATAAATTTACTGGGAATTCGAAGAAACCCGACCTCCTGGCGCGCACTCCTGACCGGGTACACGAGAAAGGGGGGATGCTATGTAGTGAGTTATTCGTATACAACTCGGAGGCGAGAAGGTGTCAGCGGACGCCCGTCGCGATGTACTAAGCGTAGGTTCGCCGATTTAAATTTCAGAGGGTCGTTTGCAATTTACCCGGCTGCGACTAATGCACAATGTAGGTCGCAAAAAATATTGTCTGGTACAAATCACGGTACTTTTTTTTCCCACGGCTGCCAGCTTACCCTGCAGACGGTGTTGATATTACTGCTGAGGGTAGTGCATCCCACAGACCGCAAAAATACGCTGCGAATCTGTTTCATTTTCCCGCAAGGAAAGGGGAAAGCATTTGGTTTAGGTTCAATAGGTCACTGCAGTTGGAATCTCGATAACTGAAGCTTTATTGAATGGACTTGGGATCCGCTATGAAGGAATCGAGGTTCACCAGCTGGATCGCCTGCTGCTTGTATGGTAGTAACGAACTTACAAGGTACCTGTTGCCATCATCCATATCTCACCCGTTACCCTTTCACTGGTTGAAACGGATAATGCAACTGCCCAGCCAGTGATGATGACCTCCTTCCGGTTTCATGGTGGTATAAGCCTTGTCGACGGGGTAAGAGGGAGGTCGTTGTGAGTTTATTTTGCATTACAACGGTGTTCAGTGTCAATAATGATGGCAGACGGTGAGGGTATCGGAAGGGGAGAAGTACCAGAAGGAGGAAGACATCAACAACTTGAGACAGTCAGTCACCAAGAATACTCACGTCTGTTGTGAAACGCATGTCGGGCACATTGAGAACGGCTTCAAGTGGTATAATTTTTTGTCACACCGTTTGTTCCCTTCCGATAACCCAATACTCAACGAAAACAAAAATCATGGGCCAAACGAACGCCAATAGCATCCTGCCATACGTCGTAGCTTGGAATCTTTTGATATATTTTGATACGACATTGTAAAAGCTTCCATGAATGTTATCCGGGATCCTGGTAAGAAGGAATTAAGCACTAAGAAAGAGATCAAAACTTAAAGTATGAGCTACCATACGCCCAAAATTCAATGCATAAAAATTCCCGTTAGCTAACAGACTCTGACCGGTTGTGAACTTGTTCGACATCAAGACAATCATCACAAGATTGTCCACATCCACAGCCGTCGGATGGACAACCACACCGCCCTCCACAACGTGCAAGCTTCGGCACGGTGACTAGTCCGAATACTGCACCTCGGTCCTCGCATTTTTTGTTTGACTTTGAAAAAAGGTCGGCAGGATAGACTGTAATGTCCGTTGGATCGATCTCAACCCCAACTTTACGATTCGCAGGAGGAATGGGTAGGGACGCGGCCCGTGCGAAAAATTGGTCGATCATGCTGTTTCCACTAGCTCCTTGCCCTAAAGTTGGAAGCTCAATGCCTGCTGAGTGGTCGACACAGTGGGTACACCCATCAGCACAATCTTTGTGCTCCTTCAAAGCATGGATAGGCCCACGATGCTCCACGCAGCCTGGACAAGCGCACCGAAGTCCGCAGGTGCACCCAGACCCGGCGATTGAGTTCAAAGCGCTGAATGGAGGTATTGTGGGAAAATCTGGTACAATCATCGAAGACGAAGGTGGCGACGACGTAAGAGTGTGAATATGGACGGGGGGGAGGTCAGAATGGACTGAGGGAACGACTGCTGTTTGGGCGTCTTTAGTACAGCACGACTTCGAAGATACAGAAGATTTTTCGGAGCGTTGCGTCGTTGGACACGATACGGTATCCCCACAGATTAGTGCAGCCGCGTTGGCGAGCATGGCTAGACCGTTTGGAGATGATTCAGTTGCAGATGCTGGAAAACCTCTAAGAGGTATAGATCGGCAGCGTCCCAGGCACTGCCGAACATTCTCACAATGGCAAGGGTTGAGCAATGAATCAACTAGAGCCATGTAAGTCATCGTGTGCAAGTAAGTTTGTGGATGTTTATCATTACCTGTCTGTCTTGTATTCGCAGGCTGCGAGGAAGACGAGGCTAACAAGGCATCTGATATTCCATTCGGCAGTGTAGGTACCGTGGGCATGAAGCGTTTCGCTGGGAGACACTGATTTAGAAATGATGGTAGTAGTAGTATGTCAATATTGTGACATACGTTTCCTGTCAGGGCGAGCTGCTGGTATAGGGATTTTGTCGACTACCTCCCTAGGGTTACAGGTGCACTTTGAGTGGACTCGCTTTGAGTTCCGCAGTTCGCGGCATGTTTTACACTGCGATACCGGGCGGCCTTTCTTCTTTACTTCAAATAACGGTCGTTCAGAGTGATGACAAGAAGAGGATCGATGTCCTTTGATGCAGGACTCGCTGTGATGTCAAAGTCAACACGAACGAAGGTACAGACCAGAGGAATGTGGGTACCAGGCAAACTTCTTGTCATTGATGTGGACCTAATACACAGAGGCGCTGTGAGTCGGTAGAAAGGCTTTCGAAAATCATGATAGGGTATTCACCATCGCAACCAATACCAATATTTGCGGCTAGGACAACCCTTCCATACAGCTGAGAGTGGACGCCGTAAGTTGTAACTCAGTAAATGCCAGGATATATGGGACCTGATAAAATTAGAGGACCATCATGGTCAAACAGTTACGTAATTTTTGGTGTCCCTGGGAATACCGGATCGGTTGAACGGGCCCCACGAGCTTGAGCTGTTTTTGCATGATGCATAGTGGTTCATTTCATTCAAAGCAAATGTGTACATTTGGTACGTATCGTCTGGCGCCACCGTCGATTTTCTGACAGCTCATGATGGCTGCGTCACGCTGTGGCAGAACTGTCCGATTCATGGCATATGTGCGGCGTTCAAAATTTCACATCATGCTCCACTACTAATTTGTCCGGACCCATCCTGGCCAGTGACTACTACCAGGCTCCCACCCAGCCTGAAATTGATCAAGTCCTCTCTTTGATTTCGTGCCTAGCCCCAACTCTCCCAAACTTGACATAAGTGGACTTACTTTGGCACTCGTGACATCAGTACTCCAGGGACATCAAAGTGGGCGATAACCACGCTATTCTCCAGTCCTATCAGGCCTTGGTCACGGACCACGATATAGCTAGGCTCTGTGAAAAGGGAAATCATGGTTATTTGCTCAATTCACCCCACTGAGTATTAATATAACGTTTGGTGTTTCTCCTGAACACACCTCAGAGTCGAGAATACCTTGGTGATGTCTTCACCCATCGTTGGAAGGCAAGAGACAGCGATGATAACGTCCCGCCAGAAATTTGAAGGAAATATCGATTGGGTCACTGGGGCCATACATCTGCCAGCCGCACAGCGGATGATGACTTGTTCGATTGAGCTTGAAGAGTGGAAAACAGATAGGAGAGGACTGGCGAGATGGAGATAGTGGAGTGTGGACCATCGCGTTGTCTCCGAACAAGAAGAAAGTGGTGAAGTATCGGTGAGGTGCCTAGGGCCCTAGATGAAAAAACCGGGTCATCCGACAACTCCATTAGCACTGAACCATAAATGAAAAATAACACAATCTTCACAGCTTTCATCCAGCATAGTCCAAACCATCACTTATGACGACGGTTCTTAGCAGTCTCGATGTCTCGACACCAGGACACAATGGGCATACAGTTAAGGAGTGCACTGGAAGTCTGAGCTGGTACGTTCTCCAAGCATTGTTCACTTCACAGCTTACAGCATATGCTGTGTATGACGGAAGCGCCCAGCCTCTTTTTTCGATTTTTGTCCATTGAGGAGGCTATTCTATGTAGGACAACACTTTTAATCTACTGGACCACCATGTGTCCTTTGTTTCCAGATTGCGAATGCCCTGATGCGAGGCGCACCCCCATCAGTCCACCGTTCCCGCAGGCCGTTTTAGACGCGCATCTCGCTTGGGGAGTGGGTAGATATGAGAAACTGCTAATGACGGTGTGTTTCGTGCGGTTATGTTTTTGTGCGGAGACTTGCAAGCCTCATTTGTGATCATGATTCGCATTCCATCATTCACAATCTTGATCCCCGGTTCTACCTCTTGGACAATCATAATCATAACGCCTCAGATCATGCATCCATATTTCCCCAGCCAACTCCTCGAACGCAATCGTCATCTCCAAGTCGTCAATGCTCGACACATGTCGTGCGCAAGGCGTATATTTTACCGTGTCTCTCACCACACGGGAAACTATTCGGAACTTTTGCAATAACTAATACCAACCACCATGTCTTCGGTTGGTGGGACCAGTTTCGCTCGTCATCAACTCGGCAGTAGCGCAGTCGGTCAACTGTCCATACATACCGCCTACTAGTATTTCAGTGGAATGCTCTCGAGCTTCGTTCCGTTTTCGACTATGTGCTGGGATCAATTATCACGTGTTGAAAGACATGAGCATAGCATCACAGATTTATGATAAACCGAATGACTCGGAGCAGTTTGGAGCAAGCGAAACTTTTGCGTGTCTTGAAAATGAAAATGAATGCGCATAGCCAAACCTTTTGCATGTGGAACAACAGTCGGAGTTCAAATTTGATGGTATTAACCAAATCATCATCACATCTGATCAAACTCCGTATCTATTGCATAAGGTTAGTGGCAGTAAAATCGGTAGTCTGCCCGAATAAAGAAAATAGCTGATAATGTTCCGAGTTGAGGCGTTAAACGTTAAGTAGGCAGTCCAAAAAAAACAAAGTTTACGAAATACGCGTAGCGGGGCAGAGGATGTTATAAAAGCTGGCATCTAACTCCACCTGTAGACTCACTACTGCACGATTGCAAATATGCAGCTCGACCGCGATACGCAAAGCCACCAGCACCCCCCGAGGCAAAGCAAAATTGTATCGCAGAGGCAGTACCGAGTCAAAGAGGGGGATGGGTTTCAGGAACTCAGAGCAGTGATTCGCTCAGTGACAGGAAAACTACCCCAGACTAGGCGCGATACCTTGAAGAAAGGTATGCTTGTTCTGAAATACGTGCTTGCATGATCATTTATCGCCTCTTCACAGCTGCAGAATTGTTGCGGCAGTTATCGAGAGAACTTGGGGAAAATTCTGGGCATGAGCCACTCTCGGAGTTATTGTTGGCATCGACCTATGAAGTTAACCAGGGGTCTCACACGTCTTATGGTACGCACTTTTGGATTGTCAGCGACGGGTTCTCATAGACATTCCTAGAACCCCCTTTAATCCACAACAACGAGACATGGACAAACACTATTGCACCAGGGACAAGGAACAATAGTCCAATGTCAGATACATCGGTGACGAGCTCGATGCTGGAGTATCAAGGCCATCCTCAGACAGAGATCTACTATGTTGTCGGTGATGGGGGCGACTTGGGCTGGAACTTACTTCAACCAACCCCTTCGCAACTTCAACATACCTCCGAATTCTTTGCGCAGCAGAACGACCTGTCATTTCTTCACTCTAACATAAATCAAGCCCCATACTACTGAGAAAGAGTAGGAGTAAATTAGATTATACGTCGGACTTCGAGGATCCCTGAATATTTAAATACATGTAGCGTCTATAACTTATTACTTTTTTTCGGATTCACATACCTTGTAGCTTCTAGTTGTATCATTTAGCGTATTTATCAGACCTATATACCGTTCGACATCCTGGGTGTTCTATGTTCACTATATTCGCGTCAGCCACAATATCCGGCTGCAGCAAGAGTACTTCATACTATAATAGTATTTCAAGTGTGTCAGATATATTGCCCATATCATTTCGGGGCGCACAAAAAATATAGTGGAATGCACAAAGCCTTGTATGAGCAGCCCGAAAAAGTCTGCATGTGCGATAATAACCGCGCACGATATGTGAGAGTTTGTATGCGCGTCCTTACCGGAGGACTGGTAAAAATGACAAAGGTAAGATTGTAGTTGACTCTGATTCGCAAAGAACGGAATGAAATCACTGCGGTGTACTTGATGCAATTGCAACGATCATCGAAGAATACGTCCTGAAATGCAAGCGCGCAGCTGTTGTTGCGATCATAAGATACACAGCGGCAAATGAGCACAACCCACTCGCGATTGGTAAAATAAGACGCCTCTACGGTATCCGAGGTTGGGGTAACGTAAGATGAGTGCAACACAGTGCACGGCAACCCGCGGGTTGTGCTGGGGTGAGATGCGTCGACATCCATGGCCGTCAACCTATCGCAAGGATCATTCCGTAAGATGTGTGGTTGAGCTGAGAATTGCAGATATGTCAACCATACGAAGAGTGGCAGAGATAGATCGAGCAGCCATCGACCACTTTGACATGTACTGGGAACGGGACTTCATTTGGCCTTGTACATAGGAAACCATCAACAAGTTGGTTTGCATTCCTTCGAGAGGCCGGGCGGCCGTACCCATTTTCAAGAGGCCGATCAGGTACAAAGTTTTTTTCAATAGTCAGAGTGTGGCCTAGTAGTGGATGAGACTGTCAGCACACTGGAAGCTGATCCGGAGAGAATGGGAATCAAGCGCGCGCTTAGAGAACCGGTGCGAAAAAGTTGATAGCGCTTCACTGATGCTGTTGACTGATAGTAGTAGCACCAAAGGGCGGCTTAATTTGATCTATCAGATTTCATTGATTACTACAGAGGAAATCTGTCACAATAGCGCAACAAGGTTTACTCAGCTCAATGCTGTATGATGGTAGTCCTAAACTTTCAGTTTTTCTGTATGTAGATCGAATAGGATAGCGAATTGAAAACTCGGTTCTGTAATTAGGGTAAGTAGCAACACCGAGTCACTGCAGATGTGGACTTGCGTCGTGCGGGTAACTGTTGCCTCAGCACCACAAAAGTCTTGAACGTTGTTCGATTTACAGCCTGCCAAGTCACAATCAGAGTGAATGCACCTACAGAACAATCTCATCGGTTGCGGGTGTGAAATTACTTTTTGGCGACGAGGGTGCGAATGCAAGCACGCTGTCTTGAACGTTTGCCTGCACGTAAAGAGATGGTGCCGCCGCACCTACTCCCCATCGTGGCACACCTGACGGCGTCCTTTCATCTACTGATAATGTTCGCTCTGATCCAGATTTCATTGCTAATTACCCGGCATCACCCGGCATTAATTGATGGCACTGAAAATTTGTTCAACTATCATGAAGGAACGTACTAAGAATCCGTTATGTGATACTGGCATTCTGATGAAAAGGAAGAACTCACGTATTCTACTTGGCCCCGCGGAAAGATCCAGTTGGACCCGGCGCCATCTGAGTCACTGCCAAGAAACTACTGCGCCTGCATCCTGGTATGTGCAGATTTCTGACATCGTTGGGCATCACCTAGCCGCCCATCATCTTTGTCCCGAGATATCGTACACTAGTTGCAAACCTTAGTTTTATGAGAAGTCGGAGCACACTGGTATGATCATTGATCGAAGAACGTTCCAGTCGCCAAAGGGAGGTAGGTACCTTTGTACTGTCTCCTTACCTTTGTATTTATTCGGACAGAACGTGCCCTCCGAGTCGTTACTACACATGGATGATCGCTGGGCTGTGTAGAAAACACCATTGCGTTTGTGTTTCCTGTAGCCTGAGAGAATGTAGCGGTTTATCAGGATCAGAAAGCAGGGGGTGTAAAATTGCCAGTTAAAGCTTGACTTGAGCTTCCA